CAGAGGCCTGCCAGGGGCACCACAGTCCTTCCAGGGGCATTACAAGCCTGTCAGGGGCACCAGAGGCCTAGCAAGGGCACCACAGGCCTGCCATGGACACCACAGGCCTGCCAGAGGCACCACCGGCCTTGCAGGGGCGCCTCAGGCCTGTCAGGGGCACCACGTGCTTGCCGGGGACACTTCAGGCTTGTCAGGGCCCAGGGGCACCAGGCCCGTGGTGTCCCTGCTAGGCCTGTGGTGCCCCTGGCGGTCCTGTGGTGCCCCTGTCAGGACTGTGATACCCCTGATAGGCCGGTGGTGCCCCTGTCAGGTCTTTGGGCCCCCGGGCCTCAAGGGGGGGGGGGCCATGACCCATGTGACCCCCCCCCCCTTGGATCCGCCCCTGCGGCCGAGCCGGAGAGAAAGTTACCGAGTGAAGTTCATTCAAATTTCAAAAACTCAATGAAAATGTCACTGGGGTCACGAAAATATTTGAGTAGGTAGGTATACCATTCATTAACCCGCGCACCGACGGGGGGAGGCGGATATCCGCCCCCCTGAGGTTTTTCGTAGATAGCGGTGAAACGGCGGCGCGTAGCTTGGTACGACTATTCTCTCATCAATTTTACACATGGTGTGCAAGTTTGAACCTCCTAACTTTTAAGGTCAGGTCACCAGGTCACTTTGAATGACCCAACCTCAAGTCACTTTTTTGCAACTTTTTCACCGTGCCAGAGCTACAGTAGATGTCGGAGGCCTTTGAATTTGAAAGTCCCAGGATGTTATAAGGTCATTAGTAGCTACAATTTGTATATCTCGGAATTTTAATATCGATGACCTAAGGTATATAGGACCTAAGGTTTTATTTATATGCAGAAAAATAGAGGCGTCAAAGGATATGGCCGAATATCAGCGACCCTTGCTGTGTTAGCAATGGGGCTTGCAATGGGGTATGACAAATAGGGGTAATGGCCCTGTCCAGCGCCCATAAAGTGGGCACCACTCGTGCGACCTGCCGACCACTGTTCTAGAGCCATAAAACACCGTGAATGTTTTAACCCTCGCATGTGTAGGGGGGTCCATCTAGGGGGGTCGGATGGACCCCCCCTGGTTTTTCGCGAATAACTCGTGTAAAAAGCGGCCTATCGCGACAAAACTTTCAGTACCCTCACATTGATCAATTTTACACCTACCCTGAAAATTTCATGACCCTGACCCCAATGACCTTGGACCTGTGACCTCTTTTCCGAGACCATGTTTGGCCAAAATCGCGATTCGGCGTATGTCGGCTCGCATTAGCCGCGCGTTTGCAAGCTTTTCGTGGTTTCAAACGTTCAAACATGTGATTTGATGTTGCTCCCAAGCATAAGGGAGGGTGTCAAGGTCACCTGAAGGTCAGGTCAGGTCATTGACCTTTGGTTGCTAAATTCAATGCCAAGTGCTGCCCCTATGAGTGCAAAGGTCAGGTCAGGTCATTGACCTTTGGTGACCTCGGTTCACTTTTTCGAGTTTTACATGTTTCTAGGCTAGTTTTTGGAGCTGAATTCGAATTTAGCAACCATTTGAACATTAACGAAGTAGTTTTGGTGACTTCGTAACATGTTACGAAGCTGTCAGAGGCGGTTGACACGTACTACGAATACCCGTCATGACGCCTACTGGTTGACCTGACCTGACCTGACCCGACCTGGTCTAAATGCTTAAAGACATCATCTGCGATCAAAACTAACACGTTATTCGTGATCAGCACCCCGAAAAACCCCTTAGCAGCCACTTTTTACGACTTTCTAACAGGTCCCGATTTTCCCGACTTTGGGTCATTGACCTGAACTGGAAGGTCAACCAATGACCTAGGACCTTAAAATTGGGTATCATCGGCTTCCTCTCGTCACGGGCCACACGCTCGTTTTTTCCGCGAAGCTCTAGCTCGATCAGGGGCCAAACGGCAAGGGGGGTCCAACCGACCCCCCTCCCCCCCTACACATTAGAAGCTGGCATACGCCGCACACATGCGAGGGTTAAGCTTGACGATACGGATCGACTGGTATGCAATATGTTTTATTTCTGGTGAGGTTATGAACTTGACCTCAGGTAAAATTTTTAGATTAATTTTTGTAAAGTCAAATTAGCCTATAACATTTATCGCATTATGACGAGAGAAATGCTATATTATCCCGGAAAAATAAACGTTATACCGCTGAGCTTAGGTTGAATCTGAAATAATTACTTAGAAAGAGTTATAAAAGAACCGTCGAACGTGTCTTTTATGGTCCTTAAATACCAGTAGGTATGCTGCCCCCCTCAGATGCCAAGTGCCGCCCCTATGAGTGCAAAATGCCGCCCCTAATTGTGATTGCCGACCCAGTGAAAATCCCTTAAAATACGCCCTGACAATAAAGCATAAACCATTACTGTACTCCACACGCATGAAACGGCTCATCAAACATGGCTCAATCTCTGATTTGCCTTTACTGCGACGCCAAGGGCACCATGCATTGCCATACTGACCGGAGTTTGATTTTCTGCACAAAATTTACGCCCAGGTGAAATGGAGCACGCTATAAGCAGTCTTGGGTAGCCATATTTAAACATGCCCCGGCCCTGCGGCGGCCGACTTTCTCAAGACTGAACTCAAATGTTTGTTTACATGAAGAGGCTAGTGCGTTTTACTTGGTGATCTTACAAAAGAAATCATCGCTTAATTTTGTGAACATACATTCAACATTCTTACACAAATAACCTTGACAAAAAACGACCCAAAGTGTTGGCCAGCAAAAAATACTTTTGCTGTCACAACTTACCCCAGTGCGCCTACAGGGCGACATGGCGTTCCACCAGGTCTGAGCCTGCAGTGACATGTAAAATGTGCGTAACCTTTCTGCTAGCGTAAATATTGGCGCCATATCAAGAGTATTTTTAAAGATATTTCCTTTGTAACAACTTACCCCTGTAACAGCTAGCCCCACTCTCCCCTAACCTACCTATAAGTCAATGGGGGAAAAATGAAAACTGCTATTCTGGCGCCGGGAACTATCTCCAACTATCTCAAGCACACAGAATCGTGATTTTATGCACTCCTTGCAAGGTTCGATGCTCACTTTTGCAATGTTGATCTTGCGTGACGTCATTTATGACGTCATTAGAGTCATATTAGTTTTTCGTCAATAACTCCCGATCCAATAAAGCTAGCGAGTCGGAAAAGCCACCAATGGACTCAGGAAGACCTGCCGAATCGAATGAAATGCGACATGACATCCTTCGACCAACTTCGTGACCTGGGGGCGCTGACCTGACCGTGACCTGAGGTCAACACCCTAAGTTGACCTCACCCAAACAAAAAGCATATCATTCGACGCGCCTGAGCGAGGCGAACACGAGGCTGCCAAAATCGCGGCTCTGCGGCCGTTTTTGCGAAGTTATTCACCAAAAACGGAACCGTACCTTGGGGCACTTGACCTGACCTCAGAGTTCACCGGTTGACCTAGGACCTTAAAATCGGGTATCAATCTCTGTGTCTCGTAACGGCGCACACGCTCGTTTTTTTTTTCGCGACGCGCTATCTCCACCAGGAGCGAAACGGCGAGGGGGGTCGTACAACCCCCCCCCCCCTCGGCCGGCGCGTATGTAGAAAACCAGTAGGTCCGGCGAGGGGTAAACTGTTAATATGCAATTTTGTAAATGAACTTTTAATTTTGTTTCAATTAATGAAAACTGCTGCAATTTTAGAACTTTTTTTGCATTTTGATGGACATTTTGATGGAATTGGAATGCATTGAAAGATTTTTATCAGTTATTACGCTTACATGCTTCGATGGTTAGAAATTGGCACGAAATTGGGAGGTGCTCGGCTTTTTTCGACCCCGGATATGGCTTTATCACATGATGAAAAACATGATGGTGAACGTTTTATTTGTCATAGCCTCACAAAAGTATTTCAAAATCATTTTTCAAAAATAGCTGTTCCGCTGTAGCTTTCAGCGCAAGGTGCCGTCGGTCATCCCCGACGTTACGTCACGCCGAGCATTGCCCAGATTCTCCTACTAGACTTCGACGCCCCCCGCTTAGTTCTATAATGTTCGTCAGTTCTATAAACCCTGCATTGACACCTATAATTGCATTGACACGCCTCGCGTATACCTTACATTTTGCGTGCGTTCGGCATCCGGAAAATGAGGGAAAATTATCTGGGATAACCAGTAATAATTTGGTATTGCAGGGACTATCGAAGCAAAGCAACAAGTCATATTGCTTTTGCTTCAGTAATGGCTATTTTACTCGTTTTCATCTCCGTTGTACACGGTGTTAGCCTAAAACACCGAATGATCCCGGTGATCCCGGAAAATAACTATATTTGAAACGAACATTTACCAACATACGGGTTACAACGGATACAATATAATGCACAGATACCTAACGCTAAAGCTCAGCTAAACACGATATAGCAGCGCACTGGGCTGGGTCACACCGCGCACCAGGTAGGGAGCCAGCTCTGGGTCGGCCAGAGGATTCCGGCTCAAAGCGAGATCTTATGTTTCAAAATTTGCCCTCATTTCCTCGTACATTTTCTGTACTTTGCCAGGCGAGTTGAGATTGGACTGATGGATTTTGGGGGTGATGGCGCTATATCGTGGTAACCGGTTGGTGTATGGTATTCTGTAAGTGTGTCGTGATCCCGGAAAATTATCCCTGAAATTCCGGATGCCGAACGCACGCAAAATATATTAGCAATTTATGAAGACATTAACTGCGCAGTAGTTTCATTGAAGGAAGACAACGTTTCAGAAAACATATCAATGACATCATAGATCACACCACAATGAAACAAGTATTCTGAACAATATGAAAGAAAGAAATGACCTTTAGTGCTTTAGGTATATTTTGTTAATGTAATTTTGATTAATTGAGTGACTCTTACAACTTTTTTTTTTTTTGGATAATTTTGACCTAACCTCTTAAAAGGGATATCTTTTCGATGACGTCATCCAACAAGAAAAAGGTGACCAAAGTGACTACTAGGGAAGTCTACGGGGATTTCCCCCGATTTCCCCGCCCCGCATATTTTATGGAGCAAGGCCATGGGCCAGTTTGGAGACTGGCAGGGCACTGAGTAGATGATACTTTTATCGTGCTTTTATCAAGCAGTACTCTATATACCGTGTATCAAGCCTTGGATGGTACAGAATCAAGAGTTTGGAGTCAGAGTGTGAGTGGGTCGTCAGTCGTGGCGATATTTACGAACTCTTATGCGGGCTTGTTGTGCACTTTGTTTTGACATCAGCTTGAGCTGAGGCGTATCAGTATAAAATCGTTTGATTGAGAAAACTCCTGGCTCAAGATGACATCCTCTAGCCTGGGAGTTGAAGATGTCTTCAGATTTGCAGATGTTACTTCTGAAGAGGGTGGATGGCTTGTTGTCAACACTCTCACGCTTGATCCTGATTCTCCATCTGATGTATCAGCAGATGCAGTGTCATATCCATCAGCCATTGATTCCGATTATGAAAGATATTTGACAGAAGATGATCTACAGGACATAGAGGGTGACCTGTATCCAGAAGAGGTTGTCCGTATGTTGTTTCTGGCTGTTGATGACACCCCAGCTCTAGTACTACAAAAATGTGTGGTGAAAATGACCCACAGCCAAAGGAGTCAAAGCCAGACCAAAAGTGTTGACTCTTTCTTTGATTGGGCTCGTGCTGTCTCAGACTCTAAGCATAGCTGGAAAGCACTTTTTCTTGAAAGTTTGGCAGTAATTGGCCGGCATGACATCCTAGTGGACCTAGGATGTGATGATGCAGAGATCAGAAGACTGGAAAAACCTGTTCATCTTTCTTCATTGAAGGTAACACGGGCACCTATCAATTGGGTAAAGTAGGCTTCTGGAATCAAAATATGGAGGCATCAATTATTTGATTCTGGCAGGAGGAGCCATGAGCACATATGGGCATGTAATCAATTTTTTATTCATTTTGGTGCACTTGACTTCAAATGCATTGTAACGGTTGATAAAGGACCATGACGGAAAGGTTTTTCCGTTCCGTTCCGTTCCGTTCCGTTTATTGATTATAATTTGGGATCAGACATTGAACAATTCATAATTTATGGCACTGTCAAACGGGATTGGTCGGAAAGGATTCACATGTTAGTTTTGTTAGAATACGGACAGTTAGTGTTAAAGGTTATATTGGGGAGTTTGACAGTGCCTAACCAGACGGTAACACAAAGACGAGATCAAAAAGACGAGTCAGCGGTCATTCCAGAGAGCGGCGACCCAGCACCGCCGCCGAGCGCAGCGGCCATCCGGCACCCGGCGCCAAGCACCAGCCGGGCCTTGGTCGATGGGGATGGTGCCCGGAGAGCGGCGACTCAGTATCGCCGTCCAGCACACAGTCATCGGGCGTTCGACGCCGTCATCCCGCCGGTCCAAGGTCGGCAGTAGCGCCACAGAGGTGGCGCCTGCTCCACCAGTGGCGCTCGTCCCACCAGTGGCGCCACCCCATGGCAGCATGAAGATGTAGCCCGTTGTCAAGTCAGGAGAGGGGGCACCGCTGCCGCTCACCGCAGCGGTCGCAAGGTGCCGGTCATCATACATCCAACGGGCCGCGGCCGAGAATGAAGTCTAGTCGGCTGCCCCGTAGTCATGTCCAACAAGCTCACTGGGACTTCGACAGTTCGAGAGCGGCGACTCAGTATCGCCGCTCAGCGCAGCATTCATCACGCGCTCGACGCCGTTAGCCAGCCGGTCGGCTGTACCGCCTCAGAGATGGCGCCTGCTCCACCAGTGGCGCTCGTCCGACCAGTGGCGCCACCCCATGGCAGCATGAAGATGTAGCCCGTTGTCAAGTCAGGAGAGGGGGCACCGCTGCCGGTCACCGCAGCGGTCGCAAGGTGCCGGTCATCGCACATCCAACGGGCCGCGGCCGAGGATGTAGTCTAGTCGGCTGCCCCGTAGTCATGTCCAACAAGCTCAGTGGGACGTCGACAGTTCGAGAGCGGCGACTCATTATCGCCGCTCAGCGCAGCATTCATCAGGCGCTCGACGCCGTTAGCCAGCCGGTCGGCTGTACCGCCTCAGAGATGGCGCCTGCTCCACCAGTGGCGCTCGTCCCACCAGTGGCGCCACCCCACTGGTGTTTTCTATCTATTTTGTTAAAATAGATAGAAAAATGTAGGTATCTAATAGGTTTGCAAAAAGTGTTTCCTCCAAAATAGGAAATAGTCACTTTGGCCTTGTGAATGGGAAAAGGACAGAGCCTGAGCCACTCTCCATCATGTAAAAGCTGTTTTGAGAAAATCACCCTATGTTATTTTTGTAGCATGAATCACATTCCTACATATCAACTATCAAGTAGTATTTGTGTGAAATGTTAAACAAGGGAGGCTATAGGCATCTGTTGTGCTGAAAATGCCACTAAATGAGATTGATAGCAAAACAGATGTTGTATTCTTGCAAGCCATTGCTGCATATCTGTTTATGTCATTACATGTGAAAAAAATGATTAGCCAGCTGAGGTGCAATCAATTATCTGTTCAAAGCGAATCAACTTCTTGATTGCTTTCACGTTACCTGTAGAATTCAGCTTGTCATAATAAGAGCAATATTATTGTGCTCAGTGCCTAGTCCAACACTTCTGTTTAAGATCAGGCATGCTCCTTCTCGAAACACTTGCTTATTTGTATATGGCTGGTGATTTAGAAATGGTCTGGTCTGCTGTTATGCCCAAATATGATCATAAGGAATCAATTTTTTGATGCCTCCATTTTTTATTCCAGAAGCCTAGTCTGCCCAACTACTATTTCTTTGTGCTTAGTGGCTAGATCAGGTTTCCACGGGCACTTGTGATCCAGCTCAGTAAAAGTGGTACCTAGCCAATCGATAGGTATGCTTAGATGCTGTATGAAAATGAAAACAAGGAATTAAGTGACTATTAAAGGACAGGTACCTAATCTGCTTTAATTTATGGCTTGTCACGAGTTTAACCCTCGCCCATATAGGCGGGGGGGGGGGGGGATCGAACGGACCACCCCCTCGGTTTTTCGCGAATAACTCTCGTAAAAGGCTGCCGGTCGCGACGCAACTTTCAGTACCCTCGCGTTAATCAATTTTACACCTACCCTGAAAATTTCATAACCCTGACCCAATGACCTTTGACCCTTGACCTACCTACTTTTCGAGACCATGTTTGTCCGGATTCGCGATTCGACGTATGTCGGCTCGCATTAGCCATCCGTTGGCAGTCTTTTCGTGGTTTCAAGCGTTCAAACATGTGATTGATGCTGGTCCCATGCACTAGGGTGGGTGTCAAGGTCACCCGAAGGTCATGTCAGGTCATTGACCTTGGATGACCTCGGTTTACTTTTTCGAGTTTTACATGTTTCTATGCTAGTTTTTTTTTTTTAGCTGTGTTTGAATTCTATTTAAACATTTACGAAGTAGTTTTGGTGCCTTCGCAACATGTTACGGAGCTGTCAAGGGCGGTTGACACGTACTACGAATACCCGGCAGGACCCCTACTAATTGACCTGACCAGGGTTGGCAAGGGGTGGCAAAAACTGGTTTTTGCCAGTGGTTTTAACCGGTTTAAACCGGCTGGCAGAAACCCTGGTGGCAAAAACTGGCAAAAACTGGCAAAAACTCAGGTAGTCAAGACTTGCAACCTTTCTGGTTAGCAATTGGTTTGAAATGTACAAATGCATTTCTGGATGTTTAAGAGACGCGTTAACCATTCTGAAGTTTGCCCCATTAGCTACCCGGGCTGCAATGTCTATGCATGTCGGTAGACATCCGTCAGACAATGCATTTCCGAAGAATCTTGGCATTTCCATGCATCACGGTTAGGGTGCTGCCTACTGCAGGTGCACACGTGCAGGGGTCGCTTTCGACCAGATCTCGAGAATGGCTCTGCCGATTGCGCTCAAATTTGGAACACCGTTACAGACAGATTAGTATGGGTGTCGCAGATAAGTCAGTCGGGGTCAACTTTCTACGAGCGCACGTGTGGGACGACACTTCCAGTTCTCAAGAACGGCTGCGTCGATTGAGCTCAAATTTGGTACTAATACCGTTAGGAACCAGGGAGTATGGGTGCCGTCACGTGCACAAATCAGTGGCAGGCATCCCTTCGCGCTTCTGCATGTGCAGTGCCAGTGCACTCTTGCACTGGCTCATTTGTCGCTCCAAAAAGACTTACTGGTTACAAATGGAAAGCGGGAAGCCCATGAAAATGCTTTTGTTGTATGAAACACTGGTCGAGTGGTCAATATGTCACTTCTTTTTGAAAGCATATAACTTTCACTGAATCCCCCTTAGAATGTTTCCAATTCAAATGCATGTCTAGGCAAATCATTGTAATGGTTTTGAGTTTTTGCCAGTTTTTGCCACTTTTTGCCGGTTTAAACCGGTTTAAACCGGCAAATGGCATAAACTAGTTTTTGCCGGCAAAAATGCCAACCCTGGACCTGACCTGACCCGACCTGGCCTAAATGCATGAAGACATAACCTTGCCGTTTCGCCTCTGATCGAGCTAGAGCTTCACGAAAAAAACGAGCGTGTTGCCCGTGACGAGAGGAAGCCGATGATACCCAATTTTAAGGTCCTAGGTCTTTGGTTGACCTTCCAGGTCAGGCCAATGACCCAAAAGTCGGGAAAATCGGGACCTGTTAGAACGTCGTTAAGTTTGGCTGTTATGTTTTTTTTTTCGGGATGTTGATAGCTGATCACGAATATCATGTTAGTTTTGATCACCGATGATGTCTTCATGCATTTAACATGTTACGAAGGCACCAAAACTACTTCGTAAATGTTCATATGGTTGCTAAATTCGAATTCAGCTCCAAAAATTGGCATTGAAACTTGAAAACTGGCCTTGAAACATGTAAAACACGAAAAGTGAGCCGAGGTCATCAAAGGTCAATGACCTGACCTGACCTTCAGGGGACCTTGACACCTACCCTAATGCATGGGAGCAACATCATATCACATGTTTGAACGCTTGAAACCACGAAAAGACTGCAAACGCGCGACTAATGCGAGCCGAAATAGGTACGTACAGTCTGTCTTAAAAGTATCGCGCAAAGTGACGGTGGATCCATCAAGCCTGACCGAGAAAGGGCCTGCTTTAATTTGGACGTTACCGACCAATTGAACAAGGGAATGGACGAGGATGTCCATTGCTTCGGTGACCCAAATCTAGCAGGCCCTTCCCCAGTCAGGCTCGATGGATCCACCGTCACTTTGCGCGGTACTTTTAACCCTCGCCCGCACATGGGGGGGGGGGGTGGTTGCCACCCCCCCCAGGTAGTCTTTCTGCTCTGCACTCAACATTTTTAGAGCTAGAAGGCTGATTTTTCGTATAGCTGCTCCTCTATCCTTTCTTGATGTCCACTGAAAATTTCAAGTTTCTGTGATTTTTGGTTTCGGAGATATGACCTTGTTTTTCAGGTCATGTCATGACCCAAATGGCCAATTTTCAACATCTTGCGTTTGCCATGGGCCTTATGAGCTTTTGACACCCTGATTTCGGCCTTTTTTGCCAGTCTTACCTCCTACCTATCATGGAACATGTTGTTCGACGATGTACAGGGGTCAAGGTCAGGGTCAAGGTCAACCTAGGTCACCTAAGATAATTGCGTTTTAGGCAAGCTGAATTTACTTTTTTTGTAGTTTTTTGACTGCATTTTTGGTAAAAGCTTCTCAGATCATGATTTCATGTAATATGGACCCAAAAACAATCGGTGCACACATCAGTATACACACAGACACACACAGACATACAAACACATATAATTGACCTTGACCTAACTTGACCTGAAATGACCTCAGCAGCAAAATTCTGGTCGGGTAGTGTGACAAAGAGGTTCTAGCTGGCTTGGCACTAGAAAACAGCATCGTCATCGGTATTTGATAAGCAGCACACTTGATATCCAACGGTGACCCAAAACAGCAACATTTTTTAGTTTGACCTGACCTGGAAGGTCAATGACTGACCTGAGAAGGTAAAACTGGGTATCATTGGATTCGTCTCTTCCCAAAGAATCTTTTTGGTCTTTACTGCTAAGCTCTATCTCCAACAGGAACGAAATGGCGCGGGGGGGGGGGGTGGCAACCACCCCCCCCCCCCATGTGCGTTCTAGGATGGGAAAATGGCATGTGCGGGCGAGGGTTAAGACAGACTGTACGTCGAATCGCGATTCTGGCCAAACATGGTCTCGAAAAATAGGTCACAGGTCAAAGGGCATTTGGGTCAGGGTCATGAAACTTTCAGGGTAAGTGTAAAATTGATCAACTCGCGGGTACTGAAAGTTTCGTCGCGATCGGCCGCTTTTTGCGCGAGTTATTCGCGAAAAACCGAGGGGTGGGCGTTCGACCCCCCCTCCCGATCCGGGCGAGGGTTAAAATAGGGTATCATCGGCTTCGTCTCGTCACGGGCAACACGCTCGTTTTTTATGCGAAGCTCTAGCTCGATCAGGGGCCAAACGGCAAGGGGTGGGGTCCGGGTGGGGTCCGTCCAACGCCCCCCCCCCCCCCCTATACGTTCGCGGCTGGCAAAACACCAATACGGGCGAGAGTTAAGAATATGATTAAAATATGGTAGCATGTGGTCAGTGTTTCTGATATACCTACAGTTGACATTTGAAAGTAGTCTATAAAGTAACCCAAATAAATAATATCCTTACGAAATGTATCATGGTGGGTAGGCATGGTATGGATTGGAAGCATAGAGGCTTGGTAGGACTTATCACAGAATGTCCCCAGCCATAAAGTAGTTATTCCAAAATTGCATGTCATATTTTTAGCATAAATTCTTGCTTTGAATCACATGTCGAATGGAAACCATTGAATTATCAATTTGAAATTTAAAAGGACTATCCCACCTTCTAAAATGTTGTTAAAACCAGTTAAATTGTGCCCGACTTTATAGATTGGATGACCAGGAACACGGTTCTGGCATTTATTTTTCATTAAACATCTTAGGCATCCCATTTTCCAAACACAAACTTTCAAATATGTGACGTCACAGCCCAAAATTACCTCCTTCCCCAGGCCACATTACTGTCATAAAGCTGATTCTGTTTACTCTGTAGGCATCACAACAAAGTTCAGACCAAGTTTTAAGCGATTTTTCAACGAACAAACCCGTTTAAATCAGAATGACTAAACGAGGTAACGTCACACTAACGGTCGCTCCATGTTGAAGATAGGGCCTTGCACAAGGCCCATTTTCAAATGAAGGGAACTAATTTCTTCAACACCAAGAGGCCGCGGGGGTTGCAACCTAGATAGATAGTGGTTTCTGAACCTCGCCGCAAACTTGGCTATCTCAACTCAAACCCCATGTTAAAGGTGGATAGTCCCTTTAATCAGATAGGCGGTTATCTGTTTGACTCTTTGGTCCTAAATGCCTTTCTTTGAAAGTTTGTTTAGCTGGAGCTGACTTTGACCCTGCACCTTCTATTAAACTCATTTGTAAGCCATGATAATTCATGAATTAAGTTCTGAATAAATGTGTCCTCTTCTGTTCTGCTCAACAAGCCATTTAAGTTGACCTGCTGTATTATAATCTTACCTTGACTTATCTTGGTGGACAGATTTCAATCAAACTGTTGTGTGCCAGGCGCCCAGTCAATTCAATCAAGCTGTTTTGCTGCATCTGAGCGCTAACTTGTTAGACACTGCAGCAGCCTGCTCCTTAACACAACTCTGTCATGCTGCTTTGCAGGTTTCGCTGAACCAGGTCTGCTGCAGCTTGAAACAAGGTGAGACAGCTGCTCTCATCAGCTATGTGTCAAAGCAGCATCTGCAGAACCGTCCGTCGACCCAGTTCCCTGAGGGAGTCATCATCAAGCAGCTGCTTGAGCTGAACATCCTCCAGTGGATGCAGGAGGGCATCATGGACCTCATGAACCTGACTGTGCTGGTCGAGGCATTAGAGCACATCGGCCGACCCGACTTGAAAAATGTCCTGATGGGACGGCCAGTGTCTCAAGGCTCGTCCTACACATCACACGTCTCCGGCCCTCCCTCTGGTGGTCACACGAAGGTCGTGTCCCTGCCGTCCCTGGCTGGGGTCCCCACGCCGCATGTGTACCCCAACGACCGGGGCATCTGCGTCATCTTCAACTTGGAGCAGTTCAGGTGCGTTCAAAACCCTTCCTGTGTGCTCCAAACCCTTCCGAACCACGGATTGCGACTTGGGTCCAGTTTGGACGCTGGAAACCTCTCGAGACTCTTCGGGAAGTTCTCGTGTCGCACAAAAGTGTTCACCAACATGAAAGGTCATGAAATACAGACATGTCTCAAGAACCTGGCGAATGCGAAAGACCTTGCGCATTTCGACTTCGTCGTGGTGTGCTTCCTGTCGCACGGCGGCACCAGCGACGGTCGTCAGTTCATCTACAGCTCCGACTGCCAGCTGATGTTCATCGATGATCTGATCAGTCCGTTCGAGGGCGACTCTTGTCAGAGTCTGCGCGGCAAGATGAAGATGGTCATCTCGCAGTCGTGCCAGGGCGAGGGTCAGCTGACGCACCTGCAGGCTGACGGGCCCCCGGTGTCGCCCACGCCCTCGTCCAGCGCGCGCACCGCCACCGCCCAGTCGGACTTCCTGTTCTGTCAGGCGACCACTCCCGGCTTCAAGGCGTACCGAGACCCGCGCCGCGGCTCGTTCTACATCATGCGCCTGTGCGAGGTGCTGGAGAGCCGAGGCCACTTGGAGGAGGTCTCGCTCTGCATCAAGGACGTGCACAAGCTGCTGATCGAGCAGCCGATTCTGCTGGGCGAGGAGCGCGTCCCGTGCGCCATCCAGCCCCAGATGATCGACCGCACACAGGGCAGGTTCCGCTTCAAGCGCGCTGGGGACGTGCAGCCTCAGTCGGTCTAGGCGCCGGCGGCGCGACTCATCGGATCGGCCGCTCGCTCCGGAGATCGGTGTTTGGCAGTGGCGGCCCGGCCAACGGACTGAAACAGTGAAACTGAAACACTGAAACAGACTGCTTGGATGTTCGCGAACAGAGCGGCCGAACTGGCTCGACTCGGGTGGTTTGCGGACGTGCTTTGGTGGCGTTAAGTGATACGGCCTCCGAGAACGGCCCGCTTCTGATCCATAGTGTGTTATACCTGTCGTGTGATTGAGGCACAAACTGCCACTTGTACCTGTCATCTATTTTTTGACCGAATGTTCATGTTAACGGTCTTTTCTATCGCTCTTGGGGTCAATTTCGAATTACGGAGTTTGCCTAAATGCTTGGGTACCTACACAAATACTTCGGGCGCATTATCAATCATTCAGCCGCGTGCCATAATGCTAGTTAGTGGCCTGATTCAAGTGCATTTAGAGTCGTCCGGTACTGCAGGGCCTTATGGCGACAAATGGTTTATGACATTGCCGTCTTGCGAGGAGTGATTGTGTACGGGCGAAATGCTTTCCACAGAATATGATTGCTCACGACGGGTGTTGCTTCTGCGCGAACATGTTTATCCCGATATTTGAAGTATGTTCTTGAATGATTTTATGAGCTTAGAGAGCTATTTTGTGCTTGGAATCAACAAGTTAATGAATAAAATGCAAACGAAAAAAAGCTAGTTTATGTGTTCACCGAACAAACGCGACCGAAGTTTGTAATACAAGTATGTATTAACGAACGATCGTGACATACCACAACAATCACTTCACCGCGACCCTAGTCGCCATCACAGCGCCGTCGTCAGCTTCATCGGAGAAAACTGCACCCGTAAATAATCGAGAACAGGGCGTCCGCGGCCCCGCTGCTCACCAGCAGGCGTACAAGGCTCCGTCGCGGCGTCCGTATCACTCAGCAGCGACCGTGCGCGTCCAACGGCTCAGCTGCGCTCAGTCACATCTAAAAACGCGACAACCTAAAAACGTCACTACTGTGTCGGCGCAACTAAAAACACAAACAACCAATCACAATCGCTCCCCAAGCGGTGCGGCTCGGGCGGCGGTATTGCTCACGAGCCAAGCGTATAGGCAGTGCGGACTAGTGGGCGCGCATCGGGGGCGCCCCGCGCCGGTCCGCCATCACACGGGTGGGGCGCCGTTCGGGTAGATCAGCATCGTCTCCAGGCTGGAGGCGAAGTTGTTGGCGGCGGCGTCGCATTCGGAGCCGGGCTCGCAGGCCGGGTAGAGCGCCAGAGCCGCCAGCGCCAGAAGCAGCAGCGCCTGGAAGGGCAGCGAGGCGCGCAGGCCGCGCCGCAGAGACAGCAGCAGGCGGCCCAGGGCGCTCGGACGGCCGCCCACCGCCTGCAGAAGGGACGGGGAAGGGCGGTCAGAGCCGAGACACGGAGTAGGTACCGACCTCCACCTACCGCACAGCACACCGGTCGCCAGGCAACAGTCACCGAGAACGGCCGAACTCGTCAGCTTCTTATTTTCATCCGTAAATCACTTACCCGTGTGAAGGTCCGTCCAAATTGGAATTACATGCCGGCTTGTTTCGGCTATTTTGGTAAGGTAATTGAGGAAAAAAATGGTGCTTACGGCTGAAACCTGTACTTTTCAATGCAATGACAGTACACCGGTAAGTCAAATCACACGCGATAGGTTATCTCGATCTCGCGACTGAAATAGTCTGAGATAGCTCCTGGGTCTGACTTTGTGGAGTGGTAAACCGGTCGTTAGTTCAAAAGCAGATAGGACATGACCGGCTGAATCAATACGCGAATAGTTATTTAGCAACAGATTCAGCCTCTACTCTAACGCAGTCCCCACCTGGTCGTCAGTCGTATCAGCGGTGTCACCGCCGGCGGCGGCGGGGGCCGGGGCGGGTCGGCGCCGCTGCAGCTCCACCAGCCGGCCACTGACGGCGTCCCAGCGGCTCTGCAGCGCGGCCAGACGGGACTTCAGCTGGGCGCCGTCCGGGCGGCCCGCCGCCGCCGCCAGCCGCCCGCCCGTCAGCGACACGCTGACCATCAGGTCCGTGTGCGACTCCAGCTCCACGCCCAGCCTCTGAGGGAGAAGTTAGACAGGGGACGTCACACACCAGCCGTGCAACAGCCTGGCACATCGGGCGCGATGGCGGTCACGGAAGCAGTAAAGAATAATAAAATAGTTGAACAGTAAACCATTCGCGACTGACACGCCCGGCGGCGATCGAGCGCACACGCCAACGGTCGATCGAACGCAGCACATCCAGTGTCGGCGCCGCAGTCCGACCGACCGACTGCGCAGTCCGCGCCCGACTCTCACCCTGAACCGGCGGCTCTGCGTGTCGTCCCAGAGGTCGGGCCGCTCCACCGGCGGCAGGCCGTCCAGCTTGTGTTCGGTGTGCTGCAGCCACTGCTCCAGCCGCCAGGCGGCCAGCTCCCACTGCAGCCGCTGCTCCCCGGGGCCGTGGAGCCGGCCGGCGGCGCGCTGCTGCAGCTCAGAGAGCTGCCGGCACAGCTCTGCGGCGCGCGGCCGCCAGTCACCGTCACCCTCTCCCTCCCGTCCCAGCAGCACACCCAGCAGGTCGGCGGCGCCGGCGCACGCTCCCAGCGTCTGGGCCAGCTGCGCGGGCGCCGGGTCGGCCGCGGCCAGCAGCTCTGTCAGCGCCGCGCGGCCAGCCTCTGCCTCCCGGAGCGCGGCAGCCACCTGACCGGTGTCCGTCGGACTGGCGGAGCGGGCCGAGCCGGCGTCCGACGGGCTCTCTGGACGGGCAGGGCCGGCGTCCGGCGCGTCCTCAGCGTCAGAGCGACCGGCCGGCAGCCGCTCCCCGGCGGTCGGCTGCTGAGAGTCGTCAGGTACCGGGGCAGCGGAGACCTCATCAGTGACCTGTCGGGAAGGGACGGACTAAATCAGACGGGTGTCTTCAGACATCAACTGTGCTAAAATGTACATCATAGTGCGAATTAGGCGCTTAGCTTACTCACGATACATTCTGTGACAAAGACCCTCCGACAGAACTGCGCATAAAATCAGTAACAAGCCATAAAACCTAACAAGCCAGCACGCGGAGTTTAGGCTGGACAATCGCCAATGCCTGCTGAAGCGTTGGCCTGGTTGACTCGCCTGTTCATCAGTCGGTGTCCAGAGCCGCTCTAAGTGCTGCAGGGCGGCCGGGATCTGCAGGCAGGCGGCCGGCGGCGACAGATCGTACAGCTCCGCCTCGCGCGGACACCGGTCGGCCAGCAGTCGCTCAGTGGACTCGGTCACCTGGGTCAGCTGGGCAGACAGCTCGGCCGACTCGCTAACCAGCTCCTGGCGGCAGCGGACATCAGCCGGTTATTCAGCGCGTATTAAAGAGTTATCAGCGTGTTATCAGTGGGATATCAGAGCGATCATAGCGGTGGCTACAGCTGTACCTCTCTCAAGATAAGCGCTCAGAAAAGATTGTGACAATGTGCCATTAATGAAGGCGTGCCAGGGAACAAGACTGTAGACCACATGTCACAAGAAGTAAATGTCAAGATAAGCTCGTGGCAGCAGAACATGCAGAATATGTGTTATGGCTGTGCTAAGGCCCGGCCGCTGCTAAAATACCGGTCTGGTGACCCGGTCTGCCCACCTTCAGCGCGGTCTGTCCGTCGGGCAGCTGCTGCAGCTGCTCGGTCCGCCGCAGCAGCCGCTCAGCTCTGCGCTCCAGCCGGCGCCAGCTGTCCTCCTGAAGATCGTGCACCTCGGCCAGTCGCTGCGCCGCCGCGCGGGTCGCCTCCGCCTGCCGGCGCGCCGCCTCCCAGCGGCCGAGCAGGGCGGCCAGCCGGCCAGCCAGCGCGCCGCCCGGCCTCAGGTGGCCCTCCAGCAGGGCGGCGTCGAGCCGCGCGCGCAGCCGGCCGGCCGGCTCGGCCAGCGGCTCCAGGCGGGCGGCGGCCGCACACGCCCGGTCCCGCTCGTCAGGCAGTCGGGGCCGCGGTATGGGCCGGCTGGACGGCGGCCAGACAGCCGCCAGCTGCTCGGCCTCGTCCAGCTGCGTCTGCAGCTGGTCGGCATCCTCGGCCAGCTGCTGTACGGCTGACCAGCTGGCGGCCAGCTGCGCCGGGCGGGCGGCCGACCGCTCGCAGACGCGGCCCCACCTGTGACGCGCGGGAGACGGACGCTGAGTCACACGGCAGTCGGCTGAGTCACCGTAAGTGCCGGGAACAGTCCGACAACGATGATAACAAGTTCGGTAGATGAGGGGTATTCCCCGAGCATGAGCGACCATTTAGCAACCGATGAATGTTCATGGTGTCAGAAGTAACCGGGGTAGACACCCAGACATCGTAACATACCCGAATCACTTCCTGCTAAACAGCGAATTTCTCAACCCTCGCCGGCCGGGGGGTGGGGGGGGGGGGGTGCAGCCCCCTGATAGTTTTTTTCGTGATAGCTCCGAACACGCCGGCGATACAGCTGAAACCTGGCATACCTGACCTTTGATTCAAATCAGATCTTGTGACACCAACCGCATTTTCAGGTCAGGTCACTGATCTATGACGTCATAAGTGAACGTCCTCTGCACGGCCCTCAGATGTCGCAACTTCGCAACGCCCTCAGCGCCAGAGGAACTTCCACTGGGAGATGAAACTTACAGGACGTAGTATCCTCCATAGGTCTCACAACTTGCATATCTCGGATTTTTTTCCCAAAGGTCACATGAGGTTAGGTCGGTAACGTGACCTCACCATTGTAATTCAATGGGGAAAAATGAAAGCCACTATTTTGGCGACAGGAGCGATCTGAAACTATTCTCAAGCACACGGATTCGTGATTTCATGCACTTCTTGCAAGGTCCAATGCTTTGCTTTCGCACTGATGACCGTGTGACGTAGTTTATGACGTCACTAGGGTTAAGTGTTTTTCGTTAAGCGTTTTTGCGAAATTATTTATTCAAAACCGAGCCCGTGCCTTGGGCCACTTGACCTGACCTTAGAGGTCACCGGTTGACCTGAGGCCTTAAAATCGGGTACCAGTCGCTGCGTCTCGTAACGGCGCACACGCTCCTTTTTTCCGCGAGTGTCTAGCTTCATCAGAAGCGAAATGACTAGGGGGTCGTACCACCACCACCTCCCCCCCCCTCGGCCGGCGCGTATGTAGAAAACTAACAAGTCCGGCGAGGGTTAGATATTGTAATAAACAAATCATTGAACCAAAAATAACATTAAAATATCCACAAATAGGGTCAGTCAGTGTGGTACACGTCCATCGAAGTAGCGTCGCTCCGAATCCAGACCATAATTTGCATCCCCTGGTTCGGTAAGCTTTCTAATATGAGGTGCTGTGCCCTTGACGTGACGCACCTGTCCTGCAGCTGTTCGCCGGCGTCTGTGACGGCGCGCAGCTCCCGTACGTCCGGCGCGTCCGCGTCTCCGGTGAGCAGGTCACAGAGGCCGGTGACGGCGGCCACCGGCCGGCTGGCGTCCCGCACGGCGCGCACCGCCGCCTGCCGGGAACGGGGGACGTCAGCTGTATAAATAAGAAAACCGTCCATTCTGAAGACAGCATGAAACAGCAATGATCAAAAACAATTTCCACCAGTCTGCGGAAAGTAATGAGAATCCCTTCAATTAAGACCCCCGGTAACGAGGGTCCCTGAGCGTCCCCAGCGACCCCGCCCACTGACTTCGGTGTCACGGACGGCGGCGCGGTGGGTCTCCTCGTCCGCGTCATCAAACGCCAGCGGCTGGTCCAGCGCTGTCTCAATATCAGACAGAAGCGTCTCTAGCTCCGGTCTTTGGCGCTCAAAATCAGTCACCGTCTGTAACATGGGCCGGGGCGGGTTTTCCGGTCACTGGGTGAGCAAGCGGACGGCCCCACTTCCCGGGTAGATAGACAAGGCCGCACGTACAGCTGCAGACAACCAAAACCACCAACATGAACTGATAGATACGGCTCACATTGCGATAGCTACGAAACAAAACGCATCCGTTCCGTCGTTTTCATCCTCAGGACAATCTTAGACTTAGACTTAGACTTATTTCGTCGACTCCATCTAGTAGATGCAGGATCATTTCTGATCGTCTTCCAATTATGTTAGCTGTGTGGATGATATAAATTTTCAGGACATCATAGTTGGGAGGACTCTTTAACAGTTACTCTTCTTGGTTATATTCTCAGTGAGTTCCTTGCGCACACGGGCTTGGTAGATGTAATGGATGATCAAGCTTTGTGGCTTATCGGCGATGATGATAAGTTCTGCTGCTGGTAGCGTTCTGTTCAAGATAGTTTCGTATATTTTTTGAGCAGCTACTCTATCGTCTTTCAGTTTGTCACATTCAAAGAGCATGTGTTCCAGAGTTTCAATGGCATTGCGACATAATGGACAGACAACAGTTTCTTTGTGCCTTCTAACCATGCTTGTGGCCACCAAAGAGTGGCCCGTTAGTAGGACAATTTTGGTTAGTGTCGCTTGTCTGGTAATTGCGCTGTACTTGCTTGCTGGCCAAAATGTTTTCGGCGCCTCGTACTTTTCGGTTTGTGGCAGTAGCGAAAGCCAAAACAAACTTGTCATATTCTCTGCTGTGTTCCTGATGATTTTTGTCATACTTTGATCCACTGATGCAGATGCTAACTTGTTCCATGCTGTCCGCGGTTGGTCTATTTTTTGATTAGCCAGAATAGAGAGGCTTGGTAAGTTCAGATGTTGGAGCAATGTGTCCCATTGGCGCACAAGACTCGTGGTTCGATCAGCATTGACTGCTCCATGGGTGATGATATATCTGGTTAGAGTGTGTTCCTTCGCAGCTCTCAGAAGGAAACCTATGAATTGGAGTGCGGTTCTCATTACGAGGCTTGTGCATGTCGGTGCACCCAACATCACATATGTCACCATTTTTTGCGTTTTGGTTGGTAAACCTTGGATGAGACGGTAAATGCGCATGAGCATTCCTTCTAAGTACATGATATCTGTTGGTGAAAGGGATGTAACTGCTAGGCTGTAAATTAGAACCGGTTCAGCATATATTCTCCACGTTGTATAGTGTGACATCGGATTGTCCATTTTGAGGTTGATTCCTTTCTTACACTTAGCAAAAAATGTTCTTCTTGCTTTCTTCATGCATTCTTCTATCCTTCTCTTTGCTGGACTTCTGGTTGTCATAATGATTCCTAGGTGGGTGTATTCATCAGTTTGCTCTATTGATTCAGTGCCAAGCGTCCACTGTACCGGAGCTGTCCTGCCAAAGACCATTATTTTGGTTTTTGATACGTTATATCTATAACGCCACAAGCAACTATGGTTGTAAGCGATATCAAGCATTTCTTGGAGTTCGTTTGGATCTGTGCTTATGAGTACTTCATCATCGGCGTAAGCGATAACTGGTACTTGTTTACACCCTATCTTGGCTCCCTTATGTGATTCCAGCAGCATGCGTATCTTGTCTTCCATAAATAGGATCAGCATGCTCGATGATAAGACGCCTCCCTGTTTGAGCCCTTGCTCTATGCGACCATCGGTGGATACAGTTCCTCCAACTTTCACTTTGACATAAAACTCTCGATACAAGTTGCGCAAAATGACGATCAACCTTGGTGGCATGTTGGCGCATATGAGCTTGTAGATTACCCCGTTGTGCCAAATAGAGTTAAAACACTTGCGTACGTCGAGAAATGCAACATAGGTCGTTTTCCCAATGTCTCTATTAGCTGATATGACTTCTTGGAGAACAAAGTTTGCTTGGAGTGTCCCTCTACTTTTTTGATACGCAAACTGTAGTTCTGAGTAGATACCAGCCTCGACCATCTTTGGGTGAAGTCGTTTCACGATCAGTATCTCAAAAACTTTACAGAGGGTGGTAAGGACAGATATGTCCCTATAGTTATCAGTCTTAGAAGGATCGGTTCCATGTCCTTTAAAGACCGGGGTAACTAATCCAAACTTGAAGTTATCTGGGATTTTGCCAGTATTAATGATTTCTTGCATAATACCTGCTATTGTTGCGTTTGCTATTCCTTTTGCTTCTTTCAAATGTTCTGCAGTTATTTCGTCGAATCCTGGAGCTTTTCTATTCTTTAGATGGTATATAGCTTCATCAATCTCGCTTTCGTCAATCGGGTCCAATTGGTCGAGACTATCAAAATCAGCTTCATATCTATTGCATATGTTTTCTACTGCTGCATCTACTGCCTCTCTCCACTTTTCATTGAAGGCACTGGATTTGATCGGTTTACCTGTGTGGACAAAATGAGTCAAAAAATTATGTGCAATCTCATCAGGTTCTAATATCTCTGTACCATCATCCACGATTCTTGGAATTGATGTGCTTGTTCTATGCTGTCGCATTGCCAAAAAGTATTTATTTGACAAGTTTTTACATTCAAATTCCCTTTCTGTGTCTTCTGCTTGCTTCCTTGTCAATTGATGTGCTCTCTGTGCGTTTATATAGTGTCTTTTGTGTTCTCGAAATATTTGCTCAGCTTTCTTTTTCTCACACTCGGGAGCTGATTTCCACATTGCTTTAGCCTTGAGACATTTTTTCCTATGCTCTGTGAGTTCATGATTCCACCAGTTACTAGCTTTGTTTTTCTTGCGTTTTTTCGGGAGCACTTGTGATGCTCTATTGAAGGCTTCATTTAATTCTGCAACACTGGTGATATCTTCTAAGAGATCATCCAGCTTTCTGATATTGTTCCGTAGTCCCTTCTCTTCTTGCCTTTTCCCAGTTTATCTTTGCATTTTTTGATGTACCTCGCCCACGAGCAGTTTTCAGTAGAATAGCTGAGATTACTAATTGAACCGGTTCATGGTCCGATCTATTCAATGCGCTTCTATCAGATATTTCATACTCTTTAACTAAGTATCCATGAGCAGAGTCAACAAGAAAATAGTCAAGTAACGATACTGGCGTCGTATCTTGGGTATAAAAAGAGCAAAGCTCATCCAGTTGCGTCTCCACCGGGATCATAAGGTCATGATCATCGATGAGGGCTGAGGTATACTTTTTGTTGTAGTGGATGTCTTTTCGTAGGTCAACATTGAGGTCGCCTCCAATTATTACCATTCTATTTGTACTATGCTTGTCTATAATTGCACTGATCCTGTCTATTGTTTCTTGGTACTCTAAGACTTTCTCTGTAGTTGTTCCGGTTGGCAAATATACAGCTACGATGAGAATTTCGGGGAGGAAGCCGTGTAGGACTGCGGCTACTATTCTTGTGCTGCCTGTATCGCCAATAGATAATAGATTCAACTCTTCTTTCGCTAGGATGGCAGCTCCACCGTGTCCTCTCACGCCGGTTTTATCTATCGATGCATAGTCATAGTACGCGTCGTAGCTTGTAGCGATCGTTGTGTACCCGTCTCTTCTCAGGTCGGATTCTTGGCTTGTTTTCAATGTCCATGTCTCATTCAGAAGAATGATGTCAGCATGGACTAGTAGTGAGTTCGTAAACTCATCATCGGGTTTGTAGCCCCGACAGTTGTACTGAATGAGGTGAAGTTTTTTGGGTGACCGCAGAGTTCTGACTCCACTCTGTATTTTGAATTCCAGATGACATTTGTTTGGTTTCTACGGATTCTTCCATTTGTGGGCCGGGCTGTGCTCTTGTTCCATGTGCGTTTTTCTGTGATCATTGTTGCGGTATTTCTGTTTGCCACACTCCTGCTTCGAAAACTTGCATGTTCTCTGTTTATTGCGTGACTCTGGATCCCTAAACGGGTTTGATACGCATTATGTTTTTCATGTCCTATTCCTGTTGCAGATGGGCCGTCATGTTTGAGATGCTGTTGTTGTCTGGAGTAGTGGGGTCGATGTGAGTACCAAGGTTTCTCGAATCTTGGTGTCTGTCCAGCCTGGAAATTACGACTGTGCCGGAACAGAGGAGCTTGATATGAATCTGTCCTGTTTGTTGGATTCATTGAGCTACTTTGTTGGATATGTGACAGTGAGTTGTTTTGCATATGATGCTTCTCCCGATTAGCTGTGTGCTGTTGGTCTTTGCTCTGGCCATACTTAAGAGCATGTCTGTAGTCCATGTTTTCACGTTTGATTGGCTGAGGTGATGCTGCTCTGGTATGCTGCATCTAAAAGGATTAATGCCGTGTCCCAGTTGGGTTGATACGTAGCGGCTTTCGTTGCCAGTTGAGGGGCCCTCTTTCCGCTTAAGGTTTGCTTCAGGTGGTCTCAGTTTTCCAGTTGAAAGGTGGGATGCTCTCCGTTCATCGTCCTGTTTATGGCTTCGAAGCTTCTCTTGTCCGCTGTGTGGTTTCTCATTGGCGGTTTGTCCCTCCCATTTCTTCTGAGCGCATTCCACTTCTTGCTTACTTTTGTCACCCTCTTCACTCAAAGTTTTAGTTTCGTCTCGACTAGTGGTTTGCGGTTGGGCTGTGACCTTACAATCGTCATGCTTTTGGTTACTCAGCCAGAGTAAGTACTCGGCACATGGCTGACACAGCATGTGTCCAGGCGGGTGTCTAGTGGCTAGGTTGTTTTGGTTGCTTCCCGGAGATGTCTGGTTTTCTTCTTTTGTCATGAGAAGGGCGAGCTGTGTTCTGAGTTCTTGATTTTCAGCTTGAAGTTGGGCAACTTGCGCCACGAGTTCCGCCTTCCGCTTCACTGATTTCGACTTCTCCGTTTTTGTTTTGTTGATGTTGGGGCATCGGTCGTCATGTCCTGCTTGATAGCTGCCTGAAGTTTTTTGATCGTCATTGCAATCATCTTCTATTCGCGGCTCATAAGAGCCGCTTTTTGCTTCGCTGGATGTCACGTTTTTGTATCGTAGATCGATTACCTGTACTTCCTTGTCGATTTCCCTGATCTCTATGGTCTCATAGAAACCTGGTGATTGACAGGTTTCATGGAAACCTTGCAGTCGGCAGTCACTGACTTCATGGAGACCATTTTCTGTGAGATGATACACTCCAACTTTCTTCAGCTTTGTTGCGCATACAATAGCAACAGCTTCTGGTCGTTCTTTTTGAATATGACACTGGGTATGTATGTCGACCGAGCTCATGAAAGTGTCATACATTGGGTGTGTATGTATCCAGCCCTTGATCACTAGCTTCTCTTGCTGCATTGTCTGTGCTAGTAGTTCCTCGCTCGTGCTCTCGCATGTTGCTGTCGTTCCAATTTGTTCCGGGATGACCAAGTGAGTCACCTCGTTAGTTTCTGGGCTGTCATCTCCGGCAAGGTATCCAAGAGTTTCTATGTTTTTCTCTGTGTTGGCATGGGATAATGCCAGAAACGCGTCAACTGTGCTTCCTGGTACGCAGAGCTGCGGTGGTGCTGTCGCTGGTTTATTAGCGTGTTCCGTGCTTTTTTCAGACGTTATCCATTCATTTTTGGTGGGATCGTATCCATGAACGGAGTCGTCGGAATCGCTGTCTTCATTAGTTGCCATTACAGGTGACTTTATCTTCTTCTTCTTTTTGCCAGCGATACTCCACACTTCATTACTGGTTGTGTCCCGATAGCCGGCACCTTTCATTTTTTGGTTGGCGTGAGTCTTGGTATTCTAAAAGGCTCTGACACAAGATTACGATAATCTGAATTTGTAGTAATGAAAATGGAAGTGTGTTGCGACAATATGTTACTGGTTTTGCTAGTTTACAGTAGCCTTCTTTGAATTAGCTCGAGACTTATCACAGAAAATCAAGAACAAAAACGTCGTGGTGTTGACCCAAATTTTTTGCAATTGGGTCAAAATAATCGATTTTTTACAGCCCTATATTTACCCAGTCCCACATTTAGTTCCAGTGAAAATACAACCAAAATGATCTACGTTAAATCACGATTCGTTTGGTATAAAGGTTAAGTCAAGATGTGGGATAGCTACGCTAAAACACGCATTACACGGGAGCACTGTAAAGCACGTCTGACACCAACACGTCACCGTTTGAACGCCCAATCAAATCCTCCTACTCCACGCCTCAGCACCGTGTTCCGGGCTGGACGGGCAACTTTATCCCATGCGGGAAGCTCCTATTGGAGCACGCCCATAGCCGGGTGTATCAATCAGGGCTGGGTGGCCTGTCCAACTGATAATGGGCTATCGGCTAAGCCCAGATGACTCACTAGGGTGCCCGCCCAGACCAATATCTCCCCCTCCCCCCCAATCCCTATTTTCCTTCCGGCTCTGCAATGGTTACAATTGCCCGCAAAAGCCCCGCCCCCCAAAAAAGAAACAAACAAAACGACATTTGATTGAGTCTGCCTGAACTGGCCTACGCACACATGAGAATACATAATCATCCTCCACCAGACACTAATTACGAATCACGATCTGCCGCTCAGCGAACGGTTCTCTACTGCATCCTTCTACTACGCTACTATTACGCTACTACTGCACGCCTGTCCCTCACCTCCAGCAGTGAGCGCAGTTTGACCAGGCGGGCTCGCCGCTGCCGCTCTGGCTCCGTGTCGCTGTCGGGCCGTCCCGGCTCGTCGCCGGGCTGCGGCAGCTCGCCGGTGAGCTGCGCCAGCTCAGCCGGCAGCTCGGTGTCGATCCGCGCCAGCAGCGCCGGAAGGGAGCGCTCCCTGCTGACCAGCTGCTGCCGCTGCCACTCCAGCAGCTCCGTCCTGCGGCACGGAGGCCAATCTCATTCCAACAGTCTGCCGTGGCATACCACACACACTAGGGCCACCTACTTCGCTACTGACAATCACTACAGGATACAACCAAAAGGTTATTATGGAAAACCTGAGGACGCATAGTTCACAACTAAACAAGTCTGCCAGCAATGCATGCTATCGCCCAGAGCATAATTGGTGTTTCTCTGCCACCGAATGTTGAAATAGGAGTACGTTGCAGTGACCCCAAATTGATTTTGAACTACCAACACTGCGCTCGTTCAGCCCGCTCTGAGGCTGCCCCGACCACCAGCCCCCACTCACCGTATCCTGCCCAACTCGGCTGCCGGGTCGGCGGTCTCCACTGCATCACCGCCCAGCCGCCGCAGCAGGCGCAGCACCAGCAGTCGCAGCCGCAGCTCGGCCAGCTCATCGGCGGCCTCGCGACCGGCCTCAGCGCTGACCAGCTGCTGCACGGGCCGCCACAGCCGCTCCGCCTTCTCCAGCTCCCGCTCCAGACGGTCGAGCTGCTGCGGCTCGAGAGGCGGCGCCGACTCGGCTTCTGCCGCCGCCAGTGCGTCGCGCACGCCGGCCACCACCTCTCCGCGCCGCCGCCAGAACTCGGACACGTAGGACACATAGTTGGCCCAGGTGGCCACGCCGGCAGACAGGTTGGCCTGGCGCCGCTCCAGGGCGGCCAGCGGCGCCGGCGGACGGCCGCCCGCCGCGCCGGCCGCTTCGGCTGCCAGTCTGCGCAGCTCGGCGAGCCGCCGGCGGCCGCGCGCCAGCCGCCGACTCAGAGCGGCCAGCTGAGAGCGGCGCGCCGGCAGCTGGCCGGGCGGCAGCGGCACCGCCTCCAGACGCAGTTTGTCCGCGTCGGCGCGCCGCAGCCACACCAGGTGCCGGCTCAGGAGGGCCGTGTAGGCGGCCCAGGGAGCCGCGCGCTCACGGCCGGCGCGCAGCTGCGCCAGCTGCCGCAGCACAGCCGCCAGCTGGGCGGACAGCTGCTGGCGCGCGGCCGGCGACAGCTGCGGAGCCGACAGTTCGTCGGCCAGCTGATCGCGGTGCAGACCCAGAATGGCGTCCGCGACCTGTCGGTACAAAGAGGCGTCACAATCCAGTAGAATCCACCGCAAATGGCAAGTCGCCATACTCGTTCCGGTATGCCGAATACTCATTCAAAAATAGTAAGTTAAACATCAACGGACTTAAAGATTGACACACTATCGGATCAAAAAGTGTTTTACGGTGCAGCAGAGTACATAATGCTGGCAAGCGCCACCAATGAGCTCAGACGTTTCACGTGACTGACCTGTGCCTTGAGAGCCTGCTGCACCACTCCGTCCGCGGGTAGCGGCTCAGCCCCGGGCTGCGGCACCGACACCAGCAGGTGGTGCTGGACCTCGGCCAGCTCGTCACCAGCGTCACCAGCCAGCGCCTCCGACAGCACGCAGCGGTAGTGACGCACCAGAGCGGCCATCGCCAGTTCCCAGTCCTGCAGTAGCTCAGCGGGCTCCGTGTCGCCCTCCGGGCCGACCGCCGTGCCGCACAGCTGGTGCAGCTCCTGGCCGAGCTCAGCTGCCGCCGCCAGCTGCCGCGTCAGCTCGGGCAGCTGGCGCAGCTGGCGGGCCTGCTCGGCCAGCTGCAGCCGCCGCCGGCAGCCGTCCAGTCGCGGCCGCAGCCTGCGCCGGCGCTGTGCCAGCTCCCGATGTCGGCGCAGCTCTCCGTCGAGCCAGTCGAGCCGGCGGCCGGCGGCGGCCAGCCGGGCCGAGAGGGCGCGGCACGCGGCCGCCGACACCCGCGCGCAGCTGACAACGGCGTCCAGCCGCTCGGCACAGTCGGCCACCTCCTGCTGCCCGCTGGTCAGCTGACCCAGCAGCGCCTGCACACACAGACACACACGTCAGTCACAGTTTCTCAATGAGATCACACCTCACACAATCAAGAAGTGAAAATAATACCAATGAGAAGTGAGTCAACAGTGAGTACAGCCAATCCATCACAAGTCAACTGATGTGTACATGACAATAGACAGAGCTGATAACGATAACCTCCTGGCTCCCGTCCTGGCACTGACCTGGTGCTCGGCCTCAGTCCAGTCCTGGTGGCGCTCAGCAGTTGCCGGCAGGCCGTCCAGCCAGGTGTCCAGCGAGTCCAGGCGCTCGGTGAGACGTCTCCAGTCGGCAGCCGCTGCTCGGCACTGCTCGGCGGCGGTGGAGAGCGCAGTGCCCGCCTCGCCACGCAGCTGCAGGCACCGGTCGGCCAGCGGCGGCAGTAGCGCCGAGCCGGCCCCGCCAGACACGGGCAGCGGCACCGGCAGAGACAGCAGGCCCTCAGACGACTCCTGTGGGACGGGGAGGGGAGTCCGCGGTCAGGGCGGCCGCAACATTCGCTCTACTATTCACACCGCAGTTACACGAACCGGAGCAGTACGGCACTCGTGCAAAAAAGGAACGCTTCTTAGATACACATGACAAAATTAGTCGCGTTAACACCGTAAAAATCATTGACCAGACCTGTACCGATAACCCCATAGCAGTCTTGACCAGTGAATCTCTCAGACGACCGTACGCCTTGGTGTCTCACCAGTGTTTGCTCCGCGGCCTTCTGCAGCTCCAGTTCCGTGTCACAGTCGCCACAGCGCTGGCCGGTCGCCCACTCGGCCTCCACGCGCTGTACAAACTCAGTCAGGTCGTCTAGCTGGTCAGACAGCCCCTCCGAGGGGCGGCACGGGTCTGTCAGCGGCCGCAGGTCGTCACGCAGGGGCTGGAGCGCGGCAACCTCCGCTGCTGCAGCCTGTAAGAAATAGAGCGGATCAGTCAACGGTGAGGTGGTGGGAGAAATATTGCTTCTTTGTGGGGGGCTGTGGGAGAAATAACAACTGCAAACCAATACTTCATGTTCCTGAAGAGTGAAGAGTAAGCAGCTGACTCAGGCCCTTATCCCGCTGTCCAAGGCTCTAAGTCCTGCCCCCGCGCGGGCCCACTCACCGTCACTGCGGCTACACCGGGCCACTGGTGGGCCAGCCGCGCGGCCGCTGCTGTCAGCGCGTCCAGCTCGGCGCGCAGGGCGGCTCCGGCCGGCCGGTGCAGTCTCTGCAGCGCTGCCAGCCGGGCGGCGGCGGCGGCCGTGTCCGCGGCCAGCGCCTCCAGTCGGCTGCGCAGCGGCACCAGCTCGGCGAGCCGCGCGGTCAGCCGGCGCCGCAGCTGGCCGGCGCGCTCGGCACTCTCGGCCGCCGCCAGCCGCCACTCGACCGTGTCGACCGGCGGCTCGGCCTCCCTGCCGGCCCGCTCCAGGTCGGTGACCCGGGTCAGCAGCCGCTGCAGCGCCCCCACGGCCGGCGCCAGCTCGCCCTCGGCGGCCGCCTGCAGCAGCGCCTCGGCGCGCCGCTCCAGCCGCGCCAGATCCGAGCCGTCTGCGCCGCGCAGAGCCGCCGCCAGCTCGCGCAGACGCCGCTCGGTGACGGCTAGTCTCGCGCGCAGCGACGGCTCGGCGGCGGCCGGCAGCAGGGCGAGCGCAGCGTCCAGTCCGGCACCGGCCGCCGCGCAGCGGTACTCCATGATGTCTACCTGCTCCAGTACAGTCTGCGCGGAGAACAACCGGCGTCAATCGCTGGGGAACTAGTGGTGACCCATCATCGGCAAGGGGATTGCAGATCATATAGTCACAACAAGACAGCGTGGCATCAAACCAACGGGTGACATTAATGCTTATGCACTTAGCCTAGTCACAAGCTAGCTGCGACATTAATGACTTGGTAAGCGCCCGGAAGCCAGCGATTTCCTAGCTTTGGAAACCACCAGCTACCCACACTGTGCCCCCTGCCTACACTGCTCTCACCTCCATCTCCTGTTCGGTGAGCGGCCCCTCATTTCGGCGTCCCTCGGTCCGTCTCAGCCAGCCGTCCACCTGGTCGCAGTGTCCCCGCGCCTCGGACAGATGGCGCTGGCAGTCGAGCAGCCGGCTGACGGCTGACTGCAGCCGGTCGCGCAGCTGCACCAGCTGCGGCCGCAGCCGGGCCAGCTTCAGCTGGGCGCCGTCGGCAGTGACCAGCTGCTGCAGCCGCGTCACCAGCAGCTGTAGGTCGGCCAGCTGGTCGCAGCCGGCTGCCGCCTCCCGGTGCATCTCCTGGCCGGACAAAGGGGACAAACGTCACATTCATGGATGAATAATTCTCTTCACATGAAAAATCGAAACTTCATTGGCGATATTCCGGAACAGGATGGTTAACACGACCAGCACATAATTAAGACCGAGATTAAGACTAGGACTAAGACTAAGACCAGGATGGCGAACTACGGACTACGGAGCCTAAACGATAGATTCCGTTACGTGAATGCTAGACTCAATACACATAACTTGAGTGCGTTCCATAAAATTCGACTTAACACCATGTCCGTTCGATTCCCCAGCCCTGTCCACCCGTCCCCGCCACTCCTCACCTCAAGTCTGGTCAGCAGCTCCGGGTCGTCCGTGTTGACCTCGTCGCCCAGGTAGGTGGCCAGCAGGGCGCTGCCCAGCGCGCGCTCCGCCTCCAGCTCGTCCAGCCGCAGGTCGGCCTCCTTCCAGAGCAGCAGCGCCGCGCTGAGGCGCGCCAGCAGAGCGCGGTGCGGCGCCGCGGCCGGCTCCGCCTGGCCCAGCTGGGTCGACAGCTGCCGGTACAGCGGCACCAGCTCACGCAGCTCCGGCAGAGAGTCGACGCGGAGTGGCCGCTCGGCGGTCGGCAGGCGCGCCAGGCCGGCCGGCGGCCCGCTGGGCGGCGGCGAGTGGTGCAGCGCGGCCGGCGCCGCCTCCAGCGCCGCCTGCGTGTCGTGTAGCAGCGCCTGCAGCGGCAGCAGCGCCTCAGGCAGCCGCTCCCCCTCGGGGCCGGCCAGCCGCTGCGCCAGCAGGTACTGACACCAGAACTGGCGCTGCTGACCGCGCAGCCGGACACGCGCCTCCGTCAGCTGCTGCTCGCGCGCCGCCGGGTCCTGGTCGGCCGACACGGTGGTCAGCCAGCTCTGCAGCTGCGCCAGCTGCCGGCGGCTGTCGGCCAGGCCGGCCTCCAGCTGGCGCCGGTCGGCTCCGTGCCGGTCCAGACTGCGGCGCCGGGCGGCCACCAGGTCCCGCGTGTGTCGCACTGCGGACGCCAGGTGGGCGACCAGCGCGCGCAGCAGCCGGCCGCTGTCCTCGGGCAGGTCGCGCAGCTGGTCCAGCCGCGCCGGCAGCGGCTGCAGCGCCTGCTCCATGGCCGCCAGCTCCGCCAGCTCCTCCAGGAGTCGGTCGTCGCTGGCGGCCGGCGTGGCCAACAGGTGGTCGACGCGCGCCATCAGCCAGAGCAGCGCGCGGCTCCAGTCGGAGCGCCGCTCGGGCCAGCTGGCGCCCTCGAGCAGCGGCGCCGTCAGCCGGCGCACACGCGCCTCGCCGCCGTCCGTGGTGGACGCCGGCAGCAGCGGCGGCGGCGCCACACCCGCCGGCCGACCCAGTGCCCCGTAGGCCGTCACCAGCGGTAGCAGGACGTCGCGTTCGGCCGCCGGCAGCGACCCCAGCTCGGGCAGCGGCGGCAGCACCAGCGCCGGCTCCGTCTCCTCGTCCTCCTCCGTCGAGACGGGTCCGTCCAGCAGGCTGTCCTCCGTCTGGGAGCCGTCCGAGCGGCCCGCCATCGAGTCGTCCGGCGGCGCCGCGCTCACCAGCACACTGTCGTTGACCAGGAGAACGGTCGGTTTGATCGGCGACCCGGCAGGAGTCCGCGTCGGGTCGGGGTTCTCGTCTGGTGAGTAGATCTGCGATGAGTCTTGCAGAGAGGATCCGCGCTGCTTATACGGAGTGCTGGATGGGATCTCAGGACGCAGTCCAGTCGGCTCGTCAAACTCCGGCAGCGTGGAAATAGGCTCAACGTCGTCAGTAGAAGAAGGCACAGAATCTTGTACGATTTTCTGTGTTGAACTCTCCTGGGTCTCTTTCTGTTCCGTTATTGATTTCCCTGGTGGTTCCAGAGCTGCCTCCTGTCTCGACTCGCTGTCTGCCGTGTCACCTGCTCCGTCCACAGTTGCCGGTTCAGCGGAGGGTGGTGTCTGGTCGGCGCCGGTCGCCGGCTGGTCGCCTCCAGCCGGCTGGTCGCCTCCAGCCGGGTCGGGTCCGTCGAGCCAGGTCAGCGTCGGCTCCCCGACCGTCTCCTGCAGCAGTACGGTCAGCCCGCCCACCAGACAGGTGCGCCGTGTGACGGGCACGGTGCGCCGGCGCGGCCGCCAGCCGCCCGGCGCCGGCGCCATCTCTAGCTGCGTCACCAGCACATGGGTCACCGTCACCGGCCGGCCGTCGGCGCCCGGCTCCGTCTCCGTGCGGCTCTCCACCTGCACAGGAGCCGTCAGCGCGCCCTCGATCAGGTGCGCCGACAGCGACACGAAGTGACTGTCGTCCGCCGGCCGCTGCACCACCGCGCCCAGCAGCTCCTGGTGGTCACTGCGCGGCGGAGACTCCGCCCGGCCGCTCAGCGGTGCAGTCAGCTCCACACGCCGCCGAACCACCACCGGCCGGCCGAACCGATCCTCGGTGCGCACATAGGCGGTCAGCTCCGCGCGGCGCAGCGGGCCGCGCGCGCCCTCCACGTGCTCCCAGCGCAGCTCGGGCTCCTCCAGGGCGCCGGCGCGCAGCTCCGCCAGCGCCGCCGCCACACGGCCGTCCAGCTCCGGCAGCAGCACCTCGTCGGTCGGCGTGGCAGGCGCCGTCGGGACCGCCTCTCTCTGCTGCTGCCTTGCAGGGGTAGCGTCACCGCTGGGCTCGGTTGAAGGTTCTGGAGCTGGCGACGCCGCTGACTGAGAGTCTGGTAGCTGCTCAAGAGAAAGTGTTTCTTTCGGATCTCCTTCGTTGGTGGTTGAATCGATCGAAGCTGCAGGCTGTTCAATTTGCACCAGTTTCTTGGTCTTCTTCGGTTTCTTCTTTTTCTTCTTGCCCGCTGTGTCGGTGACTGGGGCCGGTGCTGCGGCTCCCTGCACTGAGTCCGGCTGAGCGGGGGCGGGGGCGGGGGCGGTCGGCGGCGGGAGGAGCACGGCCGTCGGTCCCTCTGGCCAAACCTCCACCACCAGTCGGTCTTCAGTGGCGACCATCCGCCGCAGGATGGCGGCCGTCCAGCGCACCTGTCCGCCGTCGGGCCTCCTCTCCAGCAGCTGGACGCAGGCGCGCCGGCTGAGCGACGGCCGGTCGGTGTCGGCCCTCACCTCGTCACCCATCGTCTCCGAGCTGAGAGTGTCGACGACGAGCCCGCGCGCCGCCGCGCGACACATGGCCGCCGCGGCCTCCTCGAGCTCGGCGTCGGAGGGCTGCGGGCCGGGCAGCGGTCGGACCGTCTGTACCACCCGGCCGCCGCGCGCCGGCACCAGCCGCTGGCAGCGCGTCGCCGACCGGCTCACCTCGCGGGGCACGCCGGCCGCGTCCGTCACACTCTCCGTCAGCGTCACTGTGGTGCGGCGGACCGTCACCGTCACCCCGTCCACCAGTTCCTCACTGTCAGAGACGGACACCGACGGCTGGCTGCACAGAGCGCCCGACACGGACGCCAGCGCGTCCTCGAAGGCAGTCTCTCGCGTGATCTCTGGGACAGAGGTGGACAGCACGCGCCGCGACACCGGCTCCACGGTATCCTCGGTGACAAACATCCCGTCGATCACATACGAGCGCAGCATCCTGACGAACACGCGCTCGTAGACTGTGACGGCGGCAGCCGCGTCTGTTATCTGCTCCAGCACTGTCACCGTCTCAGTGTTGGTCGTCACCGGCCTGCCGCTCTCGTCCCGGTCCTGCTCCACGGCACTGGTGACGCTGGGTTCTCCGAGCATCACACCCTCCAGCGGAAGTGGCAGCGGCTCGGTGGCGCTCAGAGTCCCGCTCAGCTCACTGTCAGTCACACCAGTCACCACCGGCCGGCCGAACACCTCCCCCACGCGCTGACACCTCCTCACCGAGCGTCTCAGCGGCACCTCGGCGGCGTCAGCGCGCGGCAGCATCTCCTCCGTGGTGACACTCACTGTCCGCAGGGTCACCGGAGTGCCGTCAGGACCGCGAGTCTCTGTCACCTGCGTGTCTGTGACGGGGTCGCTCACCAGCCGACCGCGGGCCAGCGGCAGCGCCTCCCCCAGCAGCTGCTGCTCAGTCAGCTCCGGCACCGACACGGCCAGTGTCACCGTCCGCATCGGCTCGGTGTACTCCTCGACAGTCCAGCGGCCGTCCGCCGGCACTACGCGCGCGATCTTAGTGAACACGGTCTCTGTGATCGCCCGACCGGCTTCCTCCACAGGAATCTCTTCGCGCGCCGTGACGACGATCCTGTACACAGTCACCGGACCGGCGGCCTCGTCCACCACCTGGCTAGGATGGACGCGCACCTCCGGCTCCGACAGCAGCGTGCCTTCCAGCTGTGACAGACACTCACCGACAGCGGCGTCTCGCAGCTCCTCTGCAGAGGGTAACGGTTCTGGTGGCGCAACGGCCGCCGCCACAGTGTCATCAGTCTCGCCGGGAGGCGATGGAGTTCGTTCAATCGTTTCTGAGTCTAGGTCAGTCTTAGAAACGGCTTCATGCGTCTCCAGTGGCACTTCAGGTGACTGCGAACGCGTCTCCTCAGTGTTCCATGAGGTTTCCTGCTTCACTGCTTCTGCTGCGTTCAATGAATCCTCTTGGATGCCCACTGAAGTGGCTTCAGCTTCCCTTACAACGTCTGAATCCAAAGACACTCTTCCAGGATCCTGACCACTTTGCAGCTGGGCGTCTTCTTTCTGTTCACTCTCTATTGGGGTCTCTTCGTTTGGCGGTAAGTTGGAATCATCCTTTTCTTTTGGGGAGCCATCAGCATCCACAGACTGTGCACGAGCATCTTCAGCTTTTTCCGGACTGCTCACAGCGAGGTCGTCTGGTACGGACGTCTGCTCCGTCTGTCGTGTGGTCTCCTCCGGCCGATCCCGCTGTCTCTGCTCCTCCACTTTCACGATGTTCTGGGCTGCTTCCAGGACCTGCTTCACCAGCCTACCGCCCGCCTCCACAGCCGGCAGCTGCTCATCAGCGGCTGCTTTCTCTTCCGGCCCGGCGTCAGACGGACTCTGAGCAGCAGGCGTCTCTAGAGGGACAGCACTGGTCACAGGTTGGCTTTCCACCGCCTGAACCTGGTCTTTGCCACTTTCCGGGAGAACTTCATACTGTTCCGGTCCGTCGCACTCCTCGACGACAGTTTTATCGTCAAACCGGTATGCCAGTCTGTGCTTTATGATGGTACGTTTCACGAGGTTGGCAGTGCCCTGGTCGTCTAGATCACGTTGTAGACCCGTGATGGTGAGGGTGTTGAGAGCGGCTGGAGAGTCCACCCTGCTCAACACCTCCATCCGGCGGGTCTCCGACGTCGGTCGGCCCAGATCGTCCGCACAGACAGCGGGGAACAACTGCTGGATGGCCTCCTCTTCGAGTTCCTCCTGCGGCGGATCCAAGATTGGCTCCATGACGTTCTCAGTAACCCGGATACCGTCCACCTCGCGCGTCCGCTGGGTCTTCTTCACCACCAGCCGGACGAGTCTGGGCACACCCTGGTCGTCCACCGTCTCCTCCAGCAGCGAGATGTGAAGTCGCCGGGTGGTAACCGGCGCACCGCGGTCGTCAATGCCTTCCAGCACGTCCACTTCGACCTGCGGCTCCACCAGCGGCTGGGTACGCAGCAGCGGCAAACACTCGGCGACGGCCTCCTGCGTGGTGAGTTCGGGCACCGTGGTGGCCAGCTCGGTCACCTCGTCAGGCTCGTCACACTCCTCCACCACAGAGCTGCCGTCCAGCTCCGTCACACGGCGAATCTTCTTGATCCGGCGCCGGTAGATGGTGGTGATGCCGTGCTCGTTAACCAACTCCTCGATCACAGTCACACAAAAACGGATGATGGTGACAGGTTTTCCGTCCTTGTCAACCGTCTCCTCGTAAGATGACTCGACTTTGGGAGTCTTCAGCAAAGTACCCTCGATGCGCGGAAGGCACATTTCGAGCACGCGCTCCTCCTGTTCCTCCATCGGTGGCTCTTCGATGAGCTCGTAAATATCGGCCGTCACAGGACGTCCGTTGACCGTTGTTGTCTTCTGAGTCTTCTTCACAACGCGCTTCACATGCCGCTTGACACCAGTGCTGTCCAGGACGTCCTCGTAAATGGTCACATACACACGCTTAATGCGCACGGGTCGTCCCAGCTCATCGACAGTTTCTTCAACCGTCGTGGAGAGTTCAGGATCGCCCGTCAGCTCACCCGTCACGGTCACCATCGAGTCTTCCAGAACAGACGTCTCCGTAGCTTCCGCCACAGAGGTGAGAAGCACCTCCCGCTGCTCTGGATATTCGGCCTCTTCTAAAATTGATGTTCCGTGCATATCTGTGATCTTATGACGCTTTCGGATGACTCGCTTCACAATGATCTTCGTATCAGATTCGTCAACGATCTCTTCCATAAAGGTGATGCAGATGTGATGGATGATTACTGGTCTTCCTCTCTCATCAGTGTCCTCTTCAACAGAGATGTCCACCAGCGGATCTTCCAATAACGTTCCGCTCACGCGAGGGATACACTCCCCAATCACCTGTCTCTCCAGCTCTTCCTTAGTCTGGTGCGGAAAGGGCTCTTCGAGATCCTCCACCAGCAATGCTTCATCTGCTTCAGTTGTCTTCTGTGCCGACTTCACAGTGCGCTTTACCAGAAGTGTCTCCCCGAACTCATCGGTTACCTCCTCCAAGAACCTGACAAATATCCTCCTTACCTTCACCGGTCGGCCTTGCTCATCTACTGAATCCTCCACCGCGATATCCACGGTCGGATCTTCCAGGAGCTTTCCGTCCACCAGCTCGACGCTCTCTTCCAGCGCCTGTTTCTCGGTCTTCAGTGGCGTGGCTGGCGGCAGTGGAGGGGGCGACATGGTCCTCTGCGGCTCCGGTGTGCGTACTTCACTACGGTCGTGGTCTGGGGCGACATTAGCGGAGTCGGTCGGTGCAGGCACATCAGCACGGGAATCAGAGGCTTGTGCATCTTCACACTGATCATCCGTGGGCGCACTAGCAGCAGAAAATGCGTCGGAAGATTCAAGCGTTGTGTCATCGGTGGTCGTATTCTTCACTTCGTCGTCTAAGACACTCTGCATTTCCGGTAGCGGTTCTTCCTTCTGTAGTAGAGGACTGTTCACATCATCCAAAACATCGCCGGATGCCTGATTTGTATGCGTTTTGGATTCGGGCTGCTGAACTGATGTTGGTTTTGATACTTCCGACCTGGGCACATCCTCCAAAGGTTTACCATTCCCAGTATCCGGAACCTCTGACGGCGATCCCTTATCTCCAGAAACTGAGTCTGAAACTGAGTCTAGAGAGGCACCCCCGGTGTTACGTTGTTCTACAGGTCCACTCTGTGCTACCCTCTTGTCTTGAGTGACACTAGCGGCGTCTGAAGCGTAGGACGGTAGTCGATTAGCCAATGTCTGAGCGTTTGGTGATTTCTTGTTTTTCTTTCCTTTCTTCTCCAAAGGTTTACCATTCCCAGTATCCGGAACCTCTGACGGCGATCCCTTATCTCCAGAAACTGAGTCTGAAACTGAGTCTAGAGAGGCACCACCGGTGTTACGTTGTTCTACAGCACCACTCTGTGTTACCCTCTTGTCTTGAGTGACACTAGCGGCGTCTGAAGCGTAGGACGGTAGTCGATTAGCCAATGTCTGAGCGTTTGGTGATTTCTTGTTTTTCTTTCCTTTCTTCTTTTTCTTTTTGCCACTGTTGTCGGGAGTGTGCTCAAGAGTCAAATTATTAGCGTCCGGTGTTGGACCATCGTCACCGTCTGGCCTCACACTAATCTCCTCGACAGCTGGTACCTTTTCAGGCAAAACCTCAGGTGGAGTCTCGACAACAGGACCAGCTCGTGATTGCTCCTCGTCTTCCACTGTTACTTTTTGAGGATCAAGATGCTTTGAGTCGCTGCTGATTTCAAGAGAAGTATCTTTCACACTTTCAGCACCCGATGCTTGCTCTTGCTCAGGTCCATCTCCTTGAGAAACGTCCTTCACATCCTCAGGCTCCTTGACAGGCTGCTCTGGAGAGAGCTCTTCCATCTTAGCTCCCGTGTCGGTCTCAGCACTGTGGCCCTGAGGGTAGTCGGCGTCAGCAACGCTGGTCTCCTGCTGTTTCGGCTCGACATCATCCTTCGGAGACACGATGACATGCTGATCGTCCACAATCTCCTCCCTCGGCGGAAGCTCCGTCGCATCCCGAACCTCAGTCCTCTGGTCACCACTGGAATCATCCCGACCAGGCTCTGGCCACTCGAGTGTCCCCGGCAATGTCTCATCATCCATCACCTCTCCCTCCTGCTGCTCCAGTTGCTGTTCTCCCTCCTCACTCTGCTGGTCGCCCACTCTCACCGTTCGCACCACCCTCGTCACCAGGCGCTGAACGCTGCTGCCGTCCGGCTCCGTGTCCTCCTGGGTATGGACGGTGCGTTCGGTACGCACCCGCCGGCCCTGCACATCCGTGTAGTGTTCAACCGAGTCAGAGTCGGCTGGCGGCGGCGAGCGGCCCGGCGACAGACGCGTCACCTCGGTCGTGACCCGGTAGACGGGGTCAGCCGGGTCCGATGGAGATAACCGATCTTCAGCGGCAGATGGAGACTCTGAAACGATGGCGGGGTTGACATCTACCGTCTCGGCCTGGCCACTGACACTGCCGGTGTCACCAGTTGTTGGGGTTTCAGTACTAGCTTTGTCCAAAGCAGTGCTCGAGGTTGTAGGCTTGTCGGCCTGACCCCCTGATGCGTTCTTACCGCGTTTCCTTTTCCTCTTGTTCTTGGACTTTGGTTTCGTTTCACTTGGAGGACTACTTTCTTCCCGCGCCATTGTCTTAGATTCTTCTCGCACTTCAGGCTTCCCTGTAGCGGGGCTATCGGTCATTTCGTGAGGCACTACCGCTGATTTATCCTGTGTGACTTCTGGCGCTGCGGGCGAATCGTCTGACGACACAGGTTCTTTGGACCCCAGCGTCCCTGACGTGGCCAACTCGGCGACAGTAGGCAGTCCACGGTCATTGGGACTGACCTCCTCACATACTACACGCGTCATGAGCTGAGCTGGAGACATCATGGCGTCTGGAGCAGTGTCGTGTGGCGCCGGAGGGCTCTCCAGGCGAGGCCAGCTCACATCTCGCTCCTGTACGATGGGCTCAGCGCGCTCAGCGTCCACAGGGAACACTTCATACCCTGCCTCCGGCGACCCCCAGCCGATCAGCTTCTGCAGCGCCAGAGTAGTGTCTTCAGTCACTTGTGCTTCTGCCAGCTCGCTGAGAGTTGGTACCCTCTCCTGATAAGAACTCTTAGGCTGCTGAATGTGGCTATCGTCTGCATCAGCAGCCATCTCGTCTGCGTCAATTTCAGCGGCCCGAGGGGGTGTGTGCTGCGCAGAAGTGTGCCCGGCTGCAGAACTGACGTCGGGGTCTGCGACACCTTCCTCGGACTGCGTCGCGGCCCAGCCGACCAGCCTCTGCAAGGCCAGAGAAGTGTCTTCAGTCACCTGCGCTGCCGCCAGTTCGCTAAGACTGGGAACCCGCTCAGGGCAGGGGCGATGCTCCGGTTCCACATCCGGTCGCAGCTCCTCTAGCTCCGGTAGTCCGCTGACATCTGACTCCGGCGCGTCACTGACGCCGAGCTGACGCGTCATCAGTTCGGCCGGGGTCAGGTCCGCCCGGGTCGCAGCTTTCGCCGGCGGAGATCGCTCGGCCGGTGGCCACGCCACGTCTCGCAGCTCCACGGCGTGCTCCGCCTCTCTGGTAGACGGCGGAGCAGTGTCCCCGCCGTGCACAGGCCCCGTCCAGTCCACCAGCCTCTGAAGGGCCAGGGACGTGTCGGCGGTCACCTGCGCAGCCGACAGATCACTGAGACTGGGCACTCGCTCCGGGGGGACGTCCGGCACTTGCCGAGGAGAACTCTCACTGACAGTGGGCGTCAGCTCATCCAGTTCCGGCAGGCCGGCGTCCCCAGACTTCTCAGTCTCAGCCCACTGACGGGCCATCAGCTCGGCTGGGCTCAGCACACCAGTGAGGACACCGGTCGCCCCTTCCTCCATTCTCGGAGGCTGTAGGCGTGGCCAAGGAGAACCCCAATCAGCTACCGCCACAGATTCTCCGGCGGACGGCACACCGAAAGCACTCTTCGGCGCGTCGGCGTCTTCCGCAAGTGACCTAGGGGCCCAGTCCACCAGCCGCCGCAGGGCAAGGTCACTGTCCTCCGCGTGTGCCGCCGATGAGCTTGCCAACTCAGCAATATCCGGCACGGCCTGCTCCGAGGTGGTCTGCTGACTCGGGGTCTCTGTCGGTGGTAAAAGCTCACTGCTGCTGAGCTGACTGCCTGAGGGGTCTTCGATTCCTGTGGTTGTCTGGGCCAGCTCGCTGAGACTCGGCAGCTCACTGGTACTGGCAGGAGACGTGTCAGTCCACTGGTGCATCATGAGCTCGGCAGCGCTGACGGCGGCTACCCCATCGACGGCATCCCCTCCCGGAGGAGGTCGCTCACTGCACGGCCACTCAACACTCCGCTCCACGGCGGCGAGATCGGCCGGCCTGGGGCGCGCGCCGGTCGCCGGAGCGGTCTCTTCCTCCGCCGCCAGCGTTTGCCAGCCCACCAGCCTCTGCAGAGCCAGATCACAGTCGGGTTTCTGCGCAGCGTCAGCTAGCTCACTGAGGCTAGGCAGCTGAGTGTCATGGGGTCCAGAGGGTGGAGACTCGAACGGACCACGACCTTCTGTCGGCGCCAGATCGTCTAGACTGGGCAGTCCGCCATTCTCCTCGGTCGCGGAGCTCTCAGCCAAGTGGCGCGCCATCAGCTCTGCCGGCGACGGCTCCGCCCCTGCCGCCAGCGCCGACGGTGGTGACCGGTCGGAGCGCGGCCAGGCCTCTGTCGACTCCGGTAGCCGCACAGTGTCGGTCTTGCCTGGAGAGGTGTCTGCAGGGGAGGCGGTAAAGAGGGTGTCCACAGAGGGCGTCTGCCAGTGGACCAGCCGCTGGAGGGCCAACGTGGTGTCCGAAGGACTATCTGGCCGTTCCAGCGGAGGCAGCTCGATCGGGTCAGGCTTCCCTGCCACACTCCCAGGCTCACCCGCCACTGATGGCTGAGTTTCACCAGAAATCTGGGTTTGTTCTGCACCATTTTCGACACTTCGTTCATTCTCGCCAGCAGTTGGAGACACCCGCTCCTGAGCCAGCCCGCTGACAGCAGGAAGCTCGCGTCGTTCCGGCTCGGAAGGATCCTCCTCCACAAGTTCCACCACCACGTCGTTCACGTATACAGTGCGAGTCACTCGCCTCACCACCAGCTCGATGATGGTCGCCGAACTGGGGTCATCGTCCTGAAACTGGTAAGAGGTGGTCGTCACAACTTTCAGCACGACCCGGCGGCCTTCATCGTCGATATATTCCTCAATTTCTTCTCGAGTATGAGGCGGAGGCAATTCCAATATTTCTGAAACGTACTGGGTCGCTGGCTGGGAAGGATGTTCTACCGACATTTCCTGTTTTGTCGCATCACTATGGGCAGGATGTTCTACATTCGTTTCCTGCGTTGTCCCTTCACCAAGGTCAAGGAACATGATCTGGGTTTGTTCGGCACCATTTTCGACACTTTGTTCGTTCTCGCCAGTAGTTGGAGACACCCGCCCCTGAGCCGGCCCGCTGACGGCAGGAACCACGCGTCGTTCCGGCTCGGAAGGATCCTCCTCCACAAATTCCACCACCACGTCGTTCACGTATACAGTGCGAGTCACTCGCCTCACCACCAGCTCGATGATGGTCGCCGAACTGGGGTCATCGTCCTGAAACTGGTAAGAGGTGGTCGTCACAACTTTCAGCACAACCCGGCGGCCTTCATCGTCGATATATTCCTCAATTTGTTCTCGAGTCTGAGGCGGAGGCAATTCAAATACTTCTGAAACGTATCGGGTGGCGGAATGCGACTCCTGTTGGGTAGGATGATCTTCCAACATCTCCTGTTCCTTCGTTTCACTGTGGGTGGGATGTTCTACACTCGTTTCCTGCGTTGCCCCGTCACCATGATCTAGGACTGTGTGGAGGGTTCGCGTATCCACCTTCTCCAGCAGGACCACAGTACCGTCGGTGTCCGTGGTCTGCTCGTAAGTAGTCAAGTATACCGTGCGCACCTCGACTCGCCTCCCCAGTTCGTCCACAATCTCCTTCACCTCCACGCGTTCACTGGGCGGAGGCACCTCTGGTCCGGCGGAGCCCTCGACGTCCGGCTGGGAGTCGCCGTCCTCCACCTCCTCCACCAGCTCATCGCCCTCGTAGATGCGTCTGTGTATCCTCTTCTGCTGCTTTTCAAGGATCACAACACATCCGTCCTCGTCCGTCGTCTCCTCGAAGGTGGTCCTCAGCGTTGTCCTCACTACCACCCTCCGGCCCTGGTCGTCCTCATACTCCTCCTCGGTGACCGTTTCAGTCGGCTCCGGCAGCTCAAAGTCCTCGGGGACGTACTCGACAGCCGGCCCCTGGCCACCCTCCTCTTCCGCCACCTCCTGGGGCTCGCCGTCCACATAGACCACCCGCTGCACTCGGCGGTGCACCCGCTCCAGGATCACGGCGTTACCCTCGTCGTCATCCTCAGCTCGCTCGTAGGTGGTGCGGACCGTGGTGGTCACCACCACGCGGCGGCCCAGTTCGTCCGTGTACTCCTCAGTTCGGACGTCTGTCCGCGGCTCCGGCAGAATCGGCTCGTCGCCGACCACACTCAGCTCCAGCTCACCAGAGTCCGGGGAACGTCCCGGCTCCCCGGCCGCGCCGCTCATCGTCTGTCGGCACCAAACAAGGACGTGATAGGCGGAACAGCATACCGACTCCTGAAGTACCCCCGAAAGTGTCAAGATTGCTTCAAAAGTACGTTAAGATAGCATGAATCATAAGAAGTTGAGCCGTGTCTAGGAAAACCAGGAGTTCCATCTTATCCATTATATCTCACTAAAGATTCGCCGAGTAAATATACCAGCTGTCTGATAGTATATCGGGTAGTATATAACATATACACGCCACAAAAACATTCAGGAGTCGGAGTCGGGACAGTCCGATCGATTCAGACTCCCGCTCCTGACGTAATGTGCGAGTAGGTTGAGCCTGGGTTGAGCTAGCCAACTCCCTCCCTGTCATACAACCCTTACACTTCCTCCTTGTTCTAGAACACTAAATGTCAGTTGTCGCAGACATGGTATAACATGTCTTTTGTAAACCTTCTCTATATGTTTCGTTCATAAGTCGACTCGAGACGGGTTGGTCATGAACCGAACATTGCCCGTCTGTTTACTTTCCGTCTGAAAGTCCAGATGTCGAAATAAGATAACACATTTCAGGAGCGCGCTGTCCGTTTTGAGCGAGGTTATCAGCACACTTCGATGGGCAGCGCGACAACAGTAACAGTCACGCAGCTTGGTAGTGTAAACACTGGTGACGATGCGCTCAGCAGCTGCTTCTGTGCCGAGATTGGCTACATGACAGCATTTTTGGCGTACTTGGCGTGTCGCCCGCTGCAGCAGCTGGCAGCCCGCAGGAGTGATGAGACCCAACTACGTTGTCACGAGCTTAAGGATGACTCACCAGCGACTTTCTAAAAGTGTACATGAGCTTTCAATAGTGTTACCCAGAAAAGCTGCACTACTCCTAAAACTCTTGTCAGTGGGTCAATCGCTGTTCACGACTATGATAGCAAAAACAATAATTTGCCGCCCAATATATCTACAGTAAAAGGTTTGCACGAATAGGCTAGGTGTCACTTCCCCTGCATCCTGCAAACTCATCCGAATAATCTCGAGTACGCTCGCCGTCAGCCAATGTCAACCACTACCCCTCCCCCCCCCCCCCCACTACCTCACAAGTCACAGGGGCCCTCCCCGCACCGACGACCAGCGCCAACCATCACAAATCGCGGCGTCAGCGGTGCCAGCGGCCAGCGGCGCGCCCCTCGCCCCGGGCCGGTCCGCGCCGGGTCACTCTGCAGTGCCCGGTGAGCCGGTGGGAGGGGCGCCCAACGTGACCCCGCAGCCGCCGCGCCGGCTGCGCTGCCGCCGCGGCCGCGTCTGCCGACCTTGAGAGCCGGGCCGGCGCGGCGCGGCCGGCGCCCGCTGACCCTCGCGCTGCGCAGCCCCGCCGGCGGCCCTCCCTCCCCCGCGCCGCCCGCGCACGCGCCGAACTCCGTTTGAACGGCGAGGGAGTGTCAGTACCGGCGTCAGAGCCGCGGACGGGGACGGAAGGGGAGGGGCGGCGCAGTCAGAGATAGCACGGCTCCCCGCCGACCCGACCGGCCTGGACCACCGGGTCGGCCGGCGGCAGAGCGACACCCCGCTATCATAACATACGATAGCGTCAGAGCCCCAGTTCAGACGTGGGTCACGGGGGCACGGGTGTTAACGTTGGGAGGCCACTACGTCGGTAAGGTGAACAGCTAAACAAACGCCAAAAATAGCAATCCATCAGGCCAACTTCACAAGCATCTAGGAAATGTTGATAGGATATCCGGAAACATTCTTTTACAGCGAGTTTACACTCACGACATGTCTAAAGGGCAGCTCCGATAAGGCTGACAGGCCTACAGTCCATCCAAGACACCAACAGCACACCACGTGGGATGTGAGCTACCATCAGACCACAACACAAATCCACCTCCCCCGGACCCGCGTCCACCGTACCTGTCAATATCCTGTGTTTATCGGTCCCAGGATCCGCTCGGCGCTACGGCCACCGCGTGGCGCCGCCCACACATGTCCAGCGTGCACCCACTGCACCCCACACGGGCCGGCCGCGCGCCCAAACTGCCCGGCGGCGGCGCGGGCGGCGCCGACTGCACCGGCCGAGCGGGCGGGCGGGCACCGCCGGCGGGCCCGGCGGTGACGTCACGCTATGACGTCATCCGCTCCCCGATGGTCGCCGCCGCCAGCGGTGCCGGCCGGCGGGCCGCGGGGATGGGTGGGGAGAGGGGGGATGAGGTGGACCGACGGTCTCCCAGTGATCTGCGCTGTGCAACGCGGGGGCGCCGTGGGAGGTGAATGTCGGCCATTTCAAATATCGACTCTGCAGGACTGTCATTTCGGATCAACATAATCGGGTATATACGACATTCTTCAAAAGCTTGTGGAAGTCTAAAAGCAGGTAACCTAACTTATGCTACTCCAAAACAGCCACAGAAACGTGAAAAACGTGAGCGTTAGCCTCCGAAAAAGGAATTATGAGGAGCGGCACAAAGTGTCCCTTTGTAGGCCACAGGTCCGGTAAAAGCCGAGTCGCGTGTGCTCCGTCTAGCCCGGTTACTGCGGTCTTCATTTATCATGTAAAAGGACAGGATGCTCAAAATATGCACGCTTTATGGCCAGAGTTTTTGCACGAACTCGACAGTCAACTGGCGAGAGGCGGCCGTGCGCCGTATCTTTTAGCCGCCCCGTCCGTCTACCTTTCTAATTCTATCGGCAAAAGTGAGTGAGAAACGCGTGATTACGGCCGGGCTGCGGGACTCGGACACAAACAATAAACTTTTCTTATTGAGCAACCTGGCAGGCTAGGTGTTCCCTTCATAGGCGTCGCCAGAGATTTTCGGTTGGGGGGGCAAAATCAACTTTTGTGTTAAAACTTGCCTTTCCCCAGTCCTTACCCACTCGTTTTATATATCATTCGACGCGCAATGGTGCGAGGAATCCGATGGTGACAAAGGTTTCCCTCTAGCTATGACATGTAATTTTTACAGAAAAATTTGAAATTTTGAAACTTCATGACAAAAACGACTGGTAGAATTATAGTACCTATATGTGGCTGCGATTGCCGACGCACTGCAGAGGGCCCCTGTGGAGACGCTCGACGCTCATGATCATTACCCAGAAAAAGGTGAAAAACGCTCCATTTAATCGGATCACCCTGCTAAAACTTCCATTCACGCATGCATGCAGAGGTTTTATGTGAAATGTATAGGATTTATCCCAGCCGCCGATCGTAACTAGCTACGTTGGGCATTCGGCGGAGAGTGAATGTCGGAAGTGTGAATCGGAAAAAATAATCTTTGATCCAGTGAGAGGAAGTGTTTTGTTCACTCGAGTGTGAACAAAAGTTTCTCGTTTTTCGTGCGAAGGGAAGCGCTGCAAACGCGAACAAAAACTGTTAAACGGAACCAAAAGTTACGCACGGCATAGCGGCAAGGGATCCTTAGAGATAGGTTTGGGACTTCCAGGCCATTTCAGGCCACTCAGGGTCAGTGCTGACTCTCAGAAGCATGCTTAGGATCCCGGAGATCGGCGTGGGTCACCTCAAATATTTACGTGTACCTGGTGCTTTAGGGCTTTCCGAGCCTCAGAAGCCAGTGTGGGCGGCGGGCGCTAAGAGACTAGGCCCAGGGTGAGCCTGGAGCCCTCGGGTAACAGTGTGAACCCTCGGGGTCTGTGTCGAATCCCTAAGGACCCTACGTAGGGACATAATAAACCTGTGTTGCGGACCTCAGAGGGACATGTTGGGGACATGTGAGCTGTGACCCCTCAGATGCCGGCTTGGGGTTAGCAAAGTCTGTCGCCTCAAAAGTTTAGCTGAAATATCAGAGGCCAGTTAAGGTTCTCAGAAATGTTCGAAGGCTCAAATATCCCTGTATGGGCCCTCAGAGAACATGGGCACCAGTGGGACTTTCAGAGGCCGGTTTGGGCCCTCTGGAAACTTTTTTAGGGATCAGTGGAGCTCCTTAGGAGCCTTTGTTTAAAGTAAGCTCATGAGCCCTGCGACACTTGTACGGTACTTGAGCCTGTCGCAGACATTTGACGGGAGTTGAGAAAGGCCCCGAAGATTTCGTTTCACGCTTTGAACGAAAATTGTGTCAGCACTCCAAAACTTATGAAAATCAGCTGTAAAATGTAATAAAGAACGAACTAGGAACATGGAATAAATCACAACATTGACATTTCCGAGTCTGGACTCAGAGTCTTGAAGATTTTGGCGACTGCGAGTCAGACTCTGGTTAGAACTGCACGCTCCAACCGAGTCTGACCGTCTCTGACCTCACAGGCATTCTCAGAAAGGTACCCCCATTTTTTCCCGACTCCAAAATCTCATCGGATCTGTATCGATCTCAGGGGGTGCCCGGTCCGAGGTTGGGGGGGGGGGCAAGCTGCCCCGCTTGCCCCCCCGTGGCGACGCTAATGGTTCCCTTTATCACCCATTCACAAACTTTGACAGCTTGAGATCAAAATATCAACTGATTTCAAGATTAAACGGTGAAGAGGTGTTTGACAAGCCAAGCCCGATCGATACATCGCGCTAGGGAAGAGGAGCAAGATGGGATTTTTTCTTGAAAGGATGGACAATTTGTTATGCAGTGAGTGCATCAACCAAATTTATTCATAACGACCAATGGTTGGTCAATATATGCGCCATAAGGCTGGACCGGATTCGTAAGTTGCTTGCAACGACTTCAACAAGTGTTTATCACACCGCATTCTACAAAACTCGTTCACCTTGATGAATGATCAGCCCAAATGCAGCGCTCAAACCGCTCAGCTTCGACTACTATATCAGTACAGCAGCCTGTATCATAACGGTATCATAGACTTTACTGTATCAACAGTCAATGACATGAGTCGAGCCGCCACTGGCCAATGAATGCTCGCTCCACCTGAGCAGCCTGACGGCCACCGGTCACAGCTGGATCTAAATAGGCCCCGCAGTCTTTCCACACTGCGCCGGGGCGACACAAGTGGCCCTCGACCCTCCCGGCAGGCGGCTAATTATCGACAGCAGAAGCTCTGAGTCACAAACTGCGGGAGGACCAACAACTTTGGCTGACGGCGGACCTTCACACACAACACAATATCAGCAGGTATTGTCCCGCTATCAGCGTGGAATCATTTTCACGTGACCCTTGCCTTCTACCGAGGCACACTACGTACTTTTTACAAAACTGAACGGATTTAAATACAATGCCCTTATTTCGAATGAACCCGACGTCTTCCGTGCAACGATTTGCTATATATGCTTTTGCCTTCCCTGTTGTCCCCTGCAGTTGACCGAGAGTTATAATTCAAGATAATTTTGAGGCAAATTTCTATAGGCGTAAAGCTTCGCTGTTACGAGTTTCCTATCAGCATTCGGGATGTTACAAAAGTCATCGGACTCGTGTCGCGCCTCTAAGTAGCGAGTAGCATGTCACTATGTCAGCAACCCACGCCGTTCTGTGCGTTCCGGTTCCCTGTTTGCCATCGGCCAAGGCAGCCAAATCAATCGACCCAGTCGTTACCAACCCCTGCAGGCGGGCGGGGGCGGGGGTAGGGGGCGGGGGCGGCGTGTCAGCTCGTGCCGGTTACCTGTCCCCCCCCCCCCCCCCCCGGGAGTGATGTCACTTGTCAGCGAGCGTGCCCCCAGGGCTGCGCAGTCAGCTAAGTACACAATGGTCGCTGCGCAGAGCCAAGATCGAATACTTCCGTACTGGCGTGACCAAGGCCGGCCGGTAGCCGTCGGCTGAAGGTGTGCTTGTTTGAGTCTCTTAGCCACCGGACTTCATCGGACGGCTCACCACCTCAGCGCAACCATCGGGACAACCGGCCTCATCCTACCACACCCTAACCCAGTTGGAAAGTCGCGCTCACCCCGGCACAACAGACTCCCTAAGGATTATCACCAACCCTCTGACTGTGACTGTCCTCCCTAACCCACCAGGGACGGGTATGTTGCCTCACCCATCAGGGACCCTAATCCTATCATACGCTGACCACCTAAGGAGCCTGTCGCTCACTTACCCGCCAGGGACGACAGACTTTCTGACATAGCAGATGTCCTTATCTGACCCACCAGTGCCGGTGCACTTCCCAGACCCACCAGGGGACGCTGTCCCTTCTGACCCACCAGGGGACGCTGCCCTCCCTTGACCCACTATGGAAGGCTGTCCTTCATGACCCAACATAGCCGCCTGTCCAGCTAGACTATCTCACTCGGGAGCCTATCGTCGCCCGACCCACCTTCGATGGAAAGATGCGTCGCCACCGCAGTTCCTCCAGCCGTTTCCGCAGGCCTGCCACATCCTCTACCAGGCTGTCCGTGTGCCCGGTGTTGTCCGCGGACACTGGCCGGTCGCCCGTGTCCGTGCTGTCCGCCCCGGGACTGACGGCCGGCGTCCGCCGCAGCTCAGAGTCCAGCTCACTGGAACGTCCCCGGCCCGAGTCGGCGCTGTCCCGGCCGGGTGGCGAGAGTCGCGCAGGGTCCAGCTGTCGCCGCTCCGGCTCCGGGTTGTCCTCCGGACTCCCGGAGACCGTCAGAGCCTCAGAGTCGGCACAGGTGTCCGGCCGCTCCTCCGTCCGGCTGGCAGGCTTCGGGCCCAGCTCGGTGGTCGCGTCTAGACTGTCGGACGACGGCCAGCTCTCGAGCTCCGGCATGTCTGAGGCGGCGCTCTCTGCGTCCGAGCCGAGCGAGATCGGCCCGTCGCCGCCCGCAGCGTTCCCCTTGTCGGGGCGCGGCTCGGGCGGTGAGTCAGGGAGGCGGTTCGGCTCGGCTGGGGGATCGGCAAGGCGGCTCGGCTGGCCGTCAGGCGGTGGCGCCGCCTGTCGGGCGGCTACCATGTCCTCCAGAGCTGTCAGCCGCAGCACCAGCGCCTCCAGCTCCGACAGACAGCGCTGGACCGACTCCATCTGAGCGACAGACAGACCGCCGTCAGCACAGCCGCGGGGCTGTACGGCGTACACACGGCGCAAACACTACAGGGAAAACACAATCACTGGATGTCGCTGATGTGCCTTACCTGGCGGTGTTTCAAGTGAAGGTTCTGATACGTGAATTTGACCCCTGAATAGTGCGATATTTCCCGTGACTGTCAGCCTCGTGATCCCGACTGCTCACCTCGATAGTTTCTGGCGGAAGCGCCTCCGATTCCTCGTCGTGGACGCCGCTCTTAGTCGCAGCCTGGAACATCACAACGGCGTTACAACACGAAAACGGCTATAGCTTCGAAACACGTCACGGCAAACGCGATTTCCAAGAGTTCCATACAAATACAAGAAAATCATCCCTACAAACCGTTATTGTCACTTTAGTTATATGAAGTAACCGCAATACTTTTGGAAACTAAACCTTTTCAATCGTGTGTCGTTAATTCAAACAGTTAAAACATTGCGTGGATGTATATAGTAAGTTTCTCTGGTGTGTTACACATGCATCTGTAGTGTAGTGTACTTTATTCATCAGACGGCAGCACTGGCGGGCGTTTTGGCGCTGTTTTAGCTGTGCGTAAGCTGAAGCGTCATCCATTCAGTTCAGCGTACACGCTAGCAGCTCCACTTTATGTAGCCACCGGTTTAGCTCAGACAGAAGCCACTGCTCAGTCGAGTGGCAGGCTGGTCGAATAGGGGATGGGCGTGACAATCCAATTAAACTGGAATGCCGAAATATTCTTCCATTCGAATAGAGGACTACGAATTTTAACTTTCTTTAAGATATCAGGCAATATGTATGTATATCTTATCGAGGCTCTTAGAGTGAAAATTTGTCAGTGCAAAGCGAAGTCGACGTAAAGGGCAATATCAACCATTTTCCATTTCAGTCGCGGTAGTAAGTAATGTAGATTTACATTTCAGGCACCCGTAAAACCGGCACGTCACAATCATCACGCGATTTATCTGTTAATTTCTTAGTCACAGGGACAAATCTCTACGTCAACTGGGTCACTTGCTAAACTACACAAAGCCAGCGCACACACACACACAAACATACACACGGCAGTACTCTACGGGAAGGCGGCGGAAGCACTCCAACCCTAGCCTGGAAAACAGGGGAAGGCAGCAGCAGCAGCTCCCAGCTGAGCTGACGGTGACGTGCGGGGCCAGGGGTGGGGCAGCGCGGGCGGGGCCGGTGTGGGGCAGTGGGAGGTGGCCGGGACAGGGCAGGACGGGGAGGCCAGACCACGTCTCGCGCGCGTGGCGATCACAGACCGCTCGCTGACACGGGCCCGGAACGGCGGTCCGGACGGACAGTGTCCGGCTGTGGCAGAGCGGCGCGCGGCCCGGTCCCACTGCCGGCCGGTGCGGGGGCGCGCGCGGCGCACCGAGAGGGAGGGTTAGTGATCACCGATCAGTTACGGCAGGCGGGCGGACGGCAGCCGACGGACGGTTAGTGCACGCGGCATCGACAGCCGACGGCGGGGGGCGCACCTGGGCGGCAGCTCCTCCTGCTCCTCACCGCTCCTCCCATCTCTCACCACTGTCGGTACCTCGCAGCCATCCCTCCTGACACTCTACCGTAGACTCTGTGTATATTCTACCTGAACGCGCTCAGACATGCACCCTCAGGGCGAGCTGGGCGGCAACACAGGGCCGGCCTGCCCACGGAACACACGTGTATCACAAACTGAGCGGACGGGCCGGACCCCGCTCCGCCCGCGCCCACACACGTACGGGGTCACGACACAAAGAGCGCTCACAACCCGGTACGGAACCCCGACTGTTTTGAATCGCGTCCATGGTAACGCCATTAGGAGCTAGCCGGCCGAGGGCGATATACAACGCCGAGGGGCTAAATTGCCCTGCCGCCAACTTGCACCTTGCAATGCATCGATCGACGTTCGTGCACAGCACCACCGAGCGCCGGCTTCCTAGCCCTCCCTTCCCTTCCCTTCCCTCGACTGGCACTCCGCTCATGACATTACAACCACCATGCACTCACAGGCTCTATCAAACGACAACGTTCGCCTGTCGTCTGCCGCGCAGGGCAGACTCGCGCCGCACTGAACAAAGCTCTCCACACAGCATTCACTCGAAAAGGCACCGGTCGGCCGGCCTGCGCGCGCTCTCTCACAGTCAAGGATTGGCAGGCAGTGGATCGGGATCAGGTTTACCGCGCTGTATCAACAGTTTAATGCGTTCATTCCTGGCGGTGATCTTGGCGTGCAAGCTTTTGATACGCTCTCGACAGTCCTGTGAACAGAGCAGTCGGTCAGCCGGTGCGCCGGCGGTGGCGGCGGCGTCCGGGCGCCGGCCCAACGGCCGCTACCCGCACACAGTGGCGACCTGACGCAGGCCGTGCACGCAGCAGGCACTGAGAGCTCGGGAATACCGATCATCGCTAGGTGCTACTCCACCGCATGCGTTCCGGCCGGCCACTGTGAGCGTACAGCGGCTGATCGGCCGCCGCCTCCCCTGCACTGAGGCCGTCCAGGGGCCGCCGCCGCCACAAACGGAGCCGAGCACTACACATCCAAGCCAGGCAGTGACGGTGCATGGTGCTGAGTGCCGTGCGCGGGCCGGCCGGCCAGAGACAGCCGCAGCCAAATAAAAAGTCCAGAGACCCGACACCGTGACAAGGCAGGGCAAGAGCGTGATTCCCGTCCATGGCCCGGCCAAAAGCGCACAGAACCGCCAGCAAAAGAGCCGCAGAAGCCATCTGCAGTGCGACCGAACGACACGCGTGCGGCCGGCACCCCATACGACAGGTGCGACAGAGACGAGGGACGGGAGAGCCCAGTGAGGGACAGAGCGACAAGGTGCGACATCCACCACCCAGAGGTGCGGCAGCCGCCCGGCTAGTGGCGGCGGGAGAGGGCGGGAGGCGGCACTGCGCCCACCTGGGCACTAGTCACAAAGAAGGGTAGGTAGGTAACTGATTTGGCGTCAGGTGAGCCAATATACTTCCACCCAACTTTAGGTATGAACAAGAGCGTTCTATAATACGACTAACACGTTGACAGAAGGGTTTAAACCCCGCTGTCTGGCCACAGGATGCGCAAGGTACCGCCTCGTCCACCGTAACCGCTGCCACCACCGGCGGCCGCCCTCCCCAGCCACTCGGCTCCCTCACTCACCTCCTGCTGGGCTAGCGCCGCGTCCCGGTCCTTTGCCACGTGTGCCGGCTGAGAGACGGTACGCAGCTGCTGGTCCACCTCCAGAATCCGCGCGCGCAGCGTCTGGACGTCCTGTGGGCACGGCTCGGTCAGAATCGGCGCCGGGAGATACCGGACGGGCGGCGCTAGCAGAGCGAGCCGGGAGACACTGAGGCCGGAAGGGCGCTGTAGTAGGAAACATCTAAGGCTTCCCTACACTCACATGATAAGGTTTCGCGTCGTAAACTTTGTTGGCGACGGCATGAATCCCGACGAGGATTAACTATACGATGCGGTGTTACTGAGATTGATCTAACGCGCGCTCCACTCGGAGTTATCAGCCTAACCCGTCCACTCGGGAGCGGGAGGGGGTAGGGGGTGTATCACGCCTATCTCCGAAGACAATGATCCTTCACAGAAGGCTTATCTCTGAAGACAATCATTTCACGGAGAGGCGGGGTTTTTGGCTAAATTTTTGTCGGAATTATATTCATTACTAGCGGTAAGAATTGGTACATACTCCCATATGTTGGGGAGCACCTTCATGAAATAAGCAATCGGTCGTGAGTACTTCCGGTAAACTGCCTATCGCGTTGGCATTTAACTAGCAAGTGGCTTCAGAATTGAGGACTTTCATGGATGAAAAGGAACAGATTGACCGTAGAGCAATGTGGGGTAAGGACTAAGGAGCTCGACATTCACCCGGCTTGTCGGAGTTGTGATAGGTTTTCGATAGGAATTTTGACACCTACTGACAGGTCGTTGCGGTATAGCGGAGCCTCACCTCCCCGATCGGCCACGTACCGCACACATGCGCCAGGTATGGCGGAGCAGGGCGCGCGCGTTCCGCACACAGCTGCGCAGCTGATCGCCGCTCGTCTGAGGCGTCAGCGCGCGCCGCCGGCTGGCGCGGCCGTCCCGCGCCGGAGTGTCCTCCGCCGGCCGGGCGTCCGGGGTCAGGAAACGGACCACGGCGCCGGCGCCGGCCGCCTCCCGGGGATCCCCGGCGGGTCGGCGGCCGGCCGGGGAGCGCCGACCAGAAGGAGAGGCATTCCCCGGAGAGGCGGGACAGCGCTCAGATGCACCCCAGGACTCTGGTGAGCCCGCACGGCCGGCTGTCCAGGATTCAGGTGACCGCGGCCGGCAAGCGGTCCAGGATTCAGGTGACCGCGGCTGGCAGGCCGTCCAGGATTCTGGCGAGCGTGCCCGGGCGGCGGTCCACGATTCAGGCGAGCGCGGCCGACCCGCCGTCCAGGACTCTGGTGATCGCACCCGACCGCCCGCCCGCGCTGTTGCACAGTTTGAGGCCGATCGCCGTGTCGCAGCCCGGTCGGCCGAGGCAGTGTCGACAGAGGAAGCCGAGGATGAGGAAGCAGACGATGTAGATGATGCTGAGGAAGGCGAGGTGTCGGGCAGCGGTGGCAGGCTGCTGGACCGGCGGCGCGCCGGGCCGAGCTGAAACAGGCGCGTGCACCAGGGTACAGGATCACAGGACTGCAGCGGAATGGGGCGGTTTGATCGGACACGTCAGTGTCAGGGTGACAATCAACGTAATGGAAACTGACAAGACAAGGATGATGATTATTTAGGATGAACAGTTCATGGAATTCGAGTGCGTATATGCATAAATCCTCCTCTGCTCACCTTTCGGTATAATTGCTCTAGGAATGAGAGAGGTAGGAGCGTCCCCTGCTCACCTTTAATTGATGCCGCTTCAAGTCGGCTGAGGGGAATGGTGTCCCTGCTCACCTGTTGGTACTGCTCCAACTGGGCGACACACACGCCCAGCGCCTGGCAGTGCTGGTCAACGGTGGTCTGCAGGGCGCGCAGCTCGGTCTCGAGCTCCGCCCGCCGCTCCTCTACCACCGAGGCGCCGTCGAAGTAGCCCGAACGGAAGTGGACCTGACGACAAACGGAACGGTCAGCCCACTGTGCGTCCGCGGCGGGTGACACCCCGGCTGTGACACTCCGGTGGGTGGGGTCACCCTTTTAACACGGCGGGTTGGCGCCACTCCCCTCACCCGGCGGTGGGGCCACGATTAACCGGCCAAGGGCCGCTATCGGCCGCTGCAGGCCCTGATAGCGGGCCGGGAGGCCGGTGTCTGCCTCTCACCACTGACATCTGACCGCGCCATTCAGATAACAAACACAATATCACATTGATCGTGATTATCAAATAACCTTGTCAAAGACAGGTGAACCCAAAGAATGAGCGCTTGAAGACTGCTGATTATGTATCTCGAGGGTTAGCAATGTCCGGTGGTGGTAAACACCCCGGCCGCACTGAACGGCGATTACGACGGAAATGCCTGAAGCAGGGAGAATTTACCGTCCCTGCCTTTTCATTGCTCGCAAAAAAACGTCGTTCAGAGGCATTTGTAGGTTACTGACGGCAGCAGAGGAAAATATGAAAAGGAAGGCAGATAAAATAAGCCGTGAATCCGGCGTCGAGGGGAGGTAGTCAGCGATACATACGAGGAAGTTCAACCGCTGTACGCACTGTGGCCAAACGTTAGATCAAGCTTATGTCGGGTCTTATAATGAGCTGAATTAGCGCATCTCTTCACCCCTCGTGAGCGCAGCCGGTCCGTCGGCGGTCGGTCCCACTCACCCCCAGTTTGTCGACGGCCATGGCGAGCCGCGTGCGCTGGATGCCGTTGTCGCTGGACATTTTCTCGCAGAAGGCGAGCTGGTCGCGCAGCGGCCGTCGGCGCGCCTGCTGCGACTCCAGCGCGGCGCGCGAGGTGGCGCACCACGCGTGCACGTCCTTCATCTTACGCTCGCACTGCTCCCACTCCTCGGTCATTTCCATCAGCAGTGACATCTGTCCGCGGGGAGGGACGGATGACGAGCAATAACGATGCAACGTATTCCAGACACAAAACCAACCGCCGGGCACAGAAATTGTGCTTGTTATGTTCACACAACCATTGGGCGGAAGCATCACTGAGCAGCCTTTTTTTGTTATCAACTGGTGAGGATGCACGGCCTCTTAAGCGCACCACGTTCAGAATAATCGCTGCTGAGAGGCTCCGCCCAGTCCTGCCCCGACCGATATTCAGTTCCACGCCACCCCACTTTATCGTCTTTTCCATTCAGTTCCTCCCCATCCCCTCCCTCCACCCCATCCACGCCACTCACCCTCTCCTTGAGCAGGGTCTCGGTCTCGATCTTATCGTGCTCGCACGAAGACATCCGCTCGGTAAGGGCGTCAACACTCGACGTCTCGCCGATACTCGACAGCTCGGTGGCCATCTCGTGCAGTTTGCGCGTGGCCCACTTGCATTCCTTCACGGCGGCCTGTGGGCGAGGAGAGAAAAGTGTTGTATAGATGGGAGACGGCGGTCTGCCAACAAACATCAGCATTGGAGATGTCCGACTAACCTAGTTGGTCAGCATCATAAATTGGAGCCGTCGACCATGACTAATGAGCAAAAATCAAAATACATCCACGATCCAGTAAAAGCCACGACCTACGAAAGAATATTAATGCGACAGATCCAGGCTAATGGATTGGTGATGACCAGATATTCGTTTCCGCTTATTCCAAATCACTGCATCCCAAGCTGTGAATCACATGATGTCGGGGTTGTGATCGCGTCGGTTTCGGTTGTGGCGTGCTCGTCACCTTGTACTCGTTGAGGGCGTCCCTGGCCTCTGGCAGGGTGTTGAGCGTGCGTGGCTGCTGGGCCAGCGGAGCCTGCTTCTTCATCCAGTCTCGGACCGAGGCATGCAGCTCGATGAAGCGGCTCCACGAGTCCAACGACTCCATCACCTGGGGATGGGCACCAGTCAGCGGCAGGCAAACAGATACAGAAACATACGGATAGAACAATTACCGATCAATGGAAACACGAAGATAGAGACACGGTGGAAGCACAGCACAAACACACCCACTGTTCGTCAGGGTGGGGTCGCAAATAATCTCATCGGCTTTCGCCCCTCCCCGTCACAGCCGCGGCGGGCGGCACCTCACCTGGGCGTGCCTCTTCTCGAGCCGCTGTCTGGCGGCGTCCAGCTCCTGGTGGCGCCGCTGGACGGCCTGCTGCACGTCGGCCCGCTGCCGCTGACAGCGCGCCCGCTCCGTGATGACGCCCGCCAGCCGGCTGACGTCGGCCATGGTGACGGCGGTCACGGCCAGCTCGGCCTGCAGCTCCTCGGTGGCGGCGCGCAGCTCCTCGGGGTCCAGCGCGCCCGAGCGCAGCCGCACGTCCAGGTCGCCCAGCCACTCCGCCACCGAGCCGAGCCCGGCGCGGTACTCTGTCAGCACGCGGCCGGCCCGCTCCGTCTCAGAGTCCAGGTCGGCGCGCGCCTGCCGACACCCGTCCCAGAGCAGCTCCACGCGGGACACCTGAAAACGGAGCGGCCAGTCACCGTCAGCGGGGTCAGAGACAGAGGCTGAATGGATATAGCCGACGGACAGACTGCAGGCTACGCACAGACGGATACAGCCGGCAGTCTTATCGACTGTTAAAAAAAAATCACTTGATTGAACAACAACGGCGTCAGGCCGTCGGATCCCCAAGTCAGTTTCATTTGGTCCAGTTCCCGCACTTGAATTGTTGGATACAATTTGCATTCCCATCTGCATGAATTGTTGGATACATATTGCATTCCCATCTGCCCAGGCGTGTCCGTGGGTACGACCTGCAACACGTTTCCCGTCCCTCCCGCCAGCCTACCTTGGCAGCGATATCGCGTGGCGTGCCGTGTTCGTATCGCTCAGACACCTCCGAACAGAGGGTAGTCACCTCGGAGCCGAGCGTATCTGACGCCTCTCGGAGTCCCTGGCAACGCACAGGCACACATACAGAATCAATGATACACCAAGCCTAGTCTTGCAGCAAGTCACGTAGCGCATTGGCCGCACAGCTAGCACAATGAATACTCTTCTTTTAGAAAAGGGGCTTTCATGCCGCGATTACTAAACAATCGATCCGGCCCACTGGCTATCATCGTGCCACTCTGTCCCCCAGCCGCCGGTTCGCCCACCTGCAGTCGCCGCGCAGTGTCCTCCTGGTCGGCTCCGTACGGGTCCAGCTCAGACAGCGCCGCCCGGTGCTGCTCCAGACGAGTGGCGGCCGCGTCCGCGCGCCGACCCGCCTCCTCAGCAAACGTGGCCTCGGCCTGCAGCTGCCGGTGACGCTCGTCCAGGCGGGACACGATGCTAAGGACATACGGAAAAGGACAAAGTCGGCGGTCAGGGACATAAAAGTCAATCATACACATGAAAACCGACAAAACTACACTCACGTAGAAACGGTACGCCAAAAAGATGCAGTTCATATTTTATAGCCGACCAGTGAAGACGCGTGGATTCTACGAGTCGAAAGGAGCTGAGTGCGGACGGCGGGTATCACCTTCCGAGATCTCAAAACAATACACGAATGTCTAGTTATTGACATCGAAGTAAAATTAATGGATAACCAAAAAGTAGCCATCCCGCCCGCAGCGTCCCCCGTCCTCTCACCCGTCGATGTTGGTCTGCAGCTGCCGGGTCCGCTCGGCCAGCGGACCGTGCGCCGCCGACTGGGCGCCCTGCAGGTAGGTGACGAGGTCGGCGGCGCGCGGCGCCAGTTCCCCGTGCCGCTGGCGCAGCTGGCCCAGCTCTGTGCGACACGTCTGGACCTGTTTGACCAGCGCGTGCCGGTCCGAGGCCGAGTCGGCCGGCCGCAGCGCCTCCACACTGTCCGAGGCCGCGTCCGCCGCTGACTCCAGAGACAGCAGCTCGCGCTCCACGTAATGCCACAGCTGGATCATGTCGTCCATGTGTGAGGCAGCAGAGTCGAGCCGGTCGGCCGCCTGGCGCCACTCGTCCTGCGCCAGGTCGGCCTCGGACGCGCCGCCCTCGCCGCCGGAGGAGCCGTCCAGGGAGTCCAACAGGGTACGCAGCTCAGAGAGCAGCGGCAGCTTGGACTGAAAGTGGAGACATCATACGATCACTTCAGTGCATCAGTGGCAATGGAAACCAAGTAGCCAGAAAAACGTCCCCTTCATAGCAAAGAGGTAAGCGCATGTACCCTCTTAAAAAATCATAATCCGATAAAGGTTATCAAACAAAACCCCTAAAATCTTACAACTATAACGTTCGGAGGGTGCTTCAGCCACCGTGCGTCACTTACATCTAGGGCGGCGCGCGCCTGTCGCGCCTGGGTGGCCGCCTCTCGGAGCGCCTCCTGACTGGACGGCGGCGTCGGCTGGTGGACGGCAGCCGCCAGCGCCGCGCGCACCTGCGCCAGCAGGGCATCAACGCGCCGGCGCGCCTCCAGCTGGCGGGCGGCGCCCTCCAGCAGCTCGGCGGCGCGCGCCACGATCGCCTCGTAGGAGACGACCAGCTGTCGCTGGTTGGCGTCCAGCTGTGAGCGCGGGCCGGGCGCCAGCAGCGGCAGCAGTCGGTCCACCGTGTCCTGAAGCTCAGAGACCTGGCCGCGCCGCGCTGTCTCCTCCGACATCAGAGTCTGCGGGCGGTAACAGAGGATGGTACATCGTCAGGGGACAGGAGATCGCAAAGACATTGCTATTTCAGCCCCACCTGCATAGCCGAAGTTCCATCAAATATGCAGTACAGCTCATGATATGTCTGAGTCAATTCGCTAGTGTCAACAAGCCACCTCATCAAGCCCAGGATTTGTCCCTAAACTGAAAGTCAGTCAGCCCTATGCCTGCGGGTCTCATACCCGGGCCGCAGCCAGCCCCCCCCCCCTGTCCCCGTCTCTGTCATTCACTCAGCCCCCTGCCCGTCTGGCCCGTACCTGGCAGCGGGTGACGGCCTCCTGGCTCTGCTCGGCGTCTGCTCCCTCCTCCTCTGCCGCCTCCACGCTCTCTCCCACGTGACGGGCCCACTCTGACACCGCCTGTTTGGTGGAGCGGTACTGGTCGAGCAGGCGACGCGCCTCCCGTAGGTAACTGTCGGCGGAGAAAGACCCGTGAGACAGGGGCCATAGCAAACACCGCATGGACAAGGGTGTGCCTTCTGGCCGCAGCAAATATCCAAATGTAGACAGTAATTTTAAGATTATCACACTCCAGTTCAGCCATTCTTCCTACGCATTGGAGACATAACTTATAGCAACTCGATGAACAGGGTTTCAGTGCCTCATAACACAACCTGAAAGAAATCAACTGCTAAACCGTAATTTTTAATAAGGTAGTGCGTTCCAGTGCGCTGTGATTTGACAGTGTGTTAGTGCCAGGCAAGTTAGTGCTTTCCGTACGTCTGCCTGTCGGTGATCTCGTTGGGCAGCGTCTGCAGCAGACCGCGCGCCTGGCTGAGCTGCTGCTGCAGGCCGGCCGGGAGCTCCCGGCCCGGACCCAGGCCGTCGGCTTCTGTGACCAGCTGCTGCAGCCGATCCAGCGCCGGCCGCGCCTCGTCACACAGCGTCTGTAGGGGCAACACAAACATGGTCATACGGCGCCTTACAGCGTCAATGCATGAGGTACAAACATTACCACAGTCACACAGCGCGCCTGCACAATTCATAACATGCATCAACCCACACATTGTGGAATCGCCGGACCTCAAACCGACACCCTCAAATACAAATATCAAATTAGGAGCGACAACAAAATGTGGTCTCAATTTAAATCACGGAGATATTAAATACGCAAAAGATAACATCGTTCCCGGCAGCTGAAGCTGACTACAAAAGCCCCTTCCAAGAATGTTCTCAGAACGTCCCCTGTCCGTCTCCCACCCAGTCCGTCATTGCGCCTTACCTGGCTCTCGTCACAGTGCCGGTGGAGCTCGGCGTCGTCCATGGTGAGGGCGGGCCGCGACTGGACGGCCGTCTGTCGCTCGTGCAGCCAGTCCAGCTGCGAGGCCAGCTGGTCCGTCAGCGCCGCGTGCTTCTCCGCCGTCTGATGGGAACACCGCACGGTGTTAGACGGTATTCCTGGCAAGACACACTGAATAGAGATCGCACGGCTACAACAAAGTCTGATTCGGACAGAGCAAGTCCCAGCGAGACGACTGTCGAGCCGGCAACAGAGAAAGGACTATTCCGCCCGAGTCTGCAATAAATCCAGAAAATAATGCCAAATGACTTTTCTGTATCGCTAAAAACAGGCTCTTCAGGACATCAGAGCTGACGAGATACTGGCGAGATACTGACACCGCTATCTCGCCAAAATGACCCATAACGGTGGAAACTCTATCCCATCCGACTTCCAATGAGTACAGTTGATTTTGGACCAGCAGCGACTACCCGAGTCATCACTCACCTCCTCATACTGCCTCCTCTTGTTCTCCACGGCCCTCTTGAGCAGCGTCACCTGCTGTTTGAGGCTCTGTAGCTGCTTCAGGATGGCGTTGCGGTCGCTGACGGTGCCCTCCTCCGAGATTTGCTGTCCCTTGTCCTGAGCGGCCGCCAGCAGCGCCTCGATGTCCTGCACCTGAGGTCACAGACACACACGATAGGTCAGTGATCGGAGTCGGGACGGGGTAGGCTGGATTGGAGCTAAATTGGAATCTACGTGAGTGAGTATGAGTCGGGTCGCGGCAAGCTATCTCTGCCAGGCCAATATCATAGTGTTTGAATATTGAGTCAAACATTTGAGCACGCGGTATCGCTATCAGGCCCTGGGTCAGTGTAAGACCCCCCGGCCCACTGGCTAAAGCATCTTTTATAGGTCGAGTTCGAGAAGGGTAAAACTAAAAACCAAGGTCGAGGTAGACCTATGGTCAAAGCTCGGGATGCACCTGACAGATGAGCCTGCGCTCAACCCACACTGAACAGGTCAGACAAATTACTTGACAAAGTAGCTTTCTGATCAAGATTCGGTGGTTAACGTGTCACTCCAGTCGAGCTACACTAGCGAGTAACATTCACAACGGGTGGACCAACGACTGCTCAATGCTAATTGACAATGCATATCGAACGATTTTTGTTATCTTGTGAAACATAAATACGGAATACAAAGGATAAAACGCATCAGCTACGACAGATATTACACTGCCTAAACACAACCTAAAATACACATAAGAGTGACATGAACATTGGACATGAAAGCTCTGTCTCTCCCGAAAGAATCCCTATATCACAAACGCCGGCACAGCGCGCTAAGCCATCTGACGTTTGAAAACCCCTGCGTGAGTTGGCCAGGACCTGATGCACCACCATGACAGCAAATCGGTTAATTCGAGAGACTGCAGACTACCCATTTTGAGGGTTTTCACGCACAAAGAACAACTTATTCCGAGAAATAAAAAGGTGGGATAAACATAGCCACAGAAAATTTGTGCCTAAGATTCTTGCCCTTCAGTGAGGTAACGCCTTGGGTTAGTACGTAGATACTCATATACAAGACAAGGGGAGGGTCACGTTTGGAGCGCAGTCGGCTGCTGCTATATCAGGGGGGGGGGGGGGGGGCAGTGAGCGGGTCGGAGGGGTCAGCGTCACACGGGGTCACAGCGGGCGGGCGGCCGTCAGCCGTCACACGGCGTCACGCGCCGTCACGCGCCGCCTCGTTACCATCCGTGTGCACTGGGCTACGCTCAGGTGTCGCAGCGAGTCGGGCAGCGGGAGCGGCAGCTCGGAGCCACCCTGCGGGCCCCACCGCCAGAGGGTCACCGGGGCGGAACGGGCGGGCGCAGTTCGGGGACAGGACGAGGGACGGCCAGCCATCTAACTGAGCTGGTGGCGGCTGATCTCAACCTTTCGCCACTATATATATGGCTACATGTGGGGCTAATAACTGAAATGTTCGCTATGCAAAGGACTCTATAAACTGGCACTAAGGACACGGTACTGGAACTTGGGCGTGTATGCACAGAATGGGTTGCGCTATGCGGGAGTTATAAACTAACAGAATATTCAAAATATGCGTCCAAACAAAATATGGAGATATGCACACACCTACCTACACAAAATTTCCAAAAAAAAAGATACAAGTGACAACAGTTTTCTATGAAAATGTTCGACAACCTCTACATATTATGCATGATGTGCCGTGTATTAGCTCCCCCCAGAGCCGCGTGCACCTACCTTGGCGAGTACTGCCGAGTACTGTTTTATTTTGTCGGGCACCGGCCGGTCGGTTCGCTCCACGTCGGCCACCACGTCGGCATGACTCGTCAGGAAGGTGGTGATCTCGGTCAGCAGGTGCAGGAACTGCTGGCGCAACAGCACCAGGTTCCGCAGCTTCGACACCTGGAGACGGCAGACGCAGAGACACGACGGTGGTCAGACACACGGACAGAACTATAACAGTCATCCCATACTGAAGGTTCGTGACATATTGATCATGCGGTGGTAAGGATGGTGTCGGCCGCCAGCTCACCTGGTTTTCGATGGCCCTGACGAGCTCGTCCTGCTGTCGGATGAGGTCGTTGAGGTCGGAGATGCTGCCCACCGTCTGATCCTGCAGCGACTCCAGCTGGGAGCGGAACTCCCGCAGCTTCTGCAGCACCTCCTCGTAGCTGCTCAGGATGCCCTGTGATGAGGCGCCGGCAGGTCATACATGGGGGTCGCTGACACGCTTCACTATCTCAGCGAAAGGCATCGAGTGGAGGCGACTGGAGCCTTGTTTCGACAGCCTGAGCACAAAACACCGCAACGCCAGTCACAGCACCATGACAGCTTTCTACCAGAACTTAAGGAATAAAAGGCCAGTTGGTGAAATGTACGGACTCGTTAAGCCCATTCTAAAACCACGGCCACAGAGCAAAGAAGTGACAGCCGCCAGTTAGACCCCACCCCAGTGGCTGCTGACCATCCCACCCCAATATTCTCCCACTGTGATACTGACCTGGGCGTCCTCCACTCCGGAGCCGAGCGGCCGGTTCAGCGCGCGGATTTCCTTCTTGATCTCGGTCAGGTAGGTGACGCTGGAGGCGATCTTGCCGTTGATGGCCTCCTGCTGGGCGGTGGCAGAGCGGAACGCCTCCGTCCGCTCCTCGATACGGGAGCCCACCTGGCAAAAGAGAAACGGTAAAAGGACGTGACGTGCGATTCGAAACGAATTGTAAGCAATGTTTTGCGTCCATCATGATGAGCTGGGATTTGAGAAGTCCGGTCTGCCGAGACGTTCGGTGCTCAAACTTATTGCGCTCAAATGTAGGCTCAATACAAGCCAATGTAGCCAGTCACATCTTCAGGTCCTGTATAAAATACGGTGCACAGCGGCCAGTGAGCCACAGGTGCTTATCTTTACGGTATACACTGATACAGTCCAGCCCGATTTACCCTGTACCGACAACCGTTCCGTACCTCCGTGTACTGGGTTTTCAGCGTGCTCAGCTGGTCGGTGAGTGTGAGTTTGTCCGGCGGCCGCAGCTCGGGCAGCAGCTGCTCACTCAGCTCCAGCAGGCCGGCCAGCTGCCGCTGTCGGCTGTCAAAGTCCTCCTGCAGCGCCGCCATCTGGGGGCGGGCGGAGCGGAGCAGAGATTAGAAGTCGTCACAGACCGGACGTGGGAAACACGGGTGGCAAGATGTCCGACTCATCAGCATAATTATTGTCATCAGCGATTGGCGGCACTGAAACTAAGTTATTGTGTCACCATTGCTTCAAATTAACTGATAAAGTAAACTCAACAGGAAGAACAACAACTGCATTCCCCTTCAAGCACCTGATGTCACTAGCCTGCTGTGGAAGTAGACTGGCGTTTGACTAGAGTCCCACTTCTGGGGCAGAATACCAAACCAAGAATAAACGACCCAGCGGACGCCGCAGCTGAGCCGCCGTCTCTCACCTTATGCACGTGTTCGTGCAGCGTGTGCAGGCTGGTGCCGGCCAGCGGCTCCTGTTTGAGCGTCACCCGGGCCGTGTGCAGCCAGTCGCCGCACTGTTCCAGCTCCGACTCCAGCCGGCGGCGCGCCTCGTGCACTCGCAGCAGCTGGTCGCGGCCGGCCTGAGCACGCTCCTGTAGCGCGCCGGCGTCCTCCTGCAGCCGCTGCAGCAGCTCCTGCAGCCGGCCGGCGTCCTGCTGGCTGCAGTCGGCCAGTAGCGGCGCGGCCTGCTGGCGCAGCTCGGGCACCCGCCGCGCAGACACCGACTCCAGCTGCGAGAGCAGAGTCTGGGAACGGACAGCCGCGTCCAACGTTAGTTACTGGCGTGATAGTCGCAACACCCAGTAGGCGGCTCGCGTCAAATGTTGTAAAAACGTGGCTACGACGGTGTCGTGTTACTTACTCGCTTTCCATCCTAACATCCAGCCTCCGCTGTGCTGAAAAGTCTCTAACACCTCGCCATACTTTGCGCCCTTCCGTGTCCAGTTATCTTGCACCGTACCCCGCCCCGCTCGAATATGCTCACGTTTCTCTGGTCGATGAGCAGCTGCACCTGGGCAGCCGGCAGCGGCAGCTGTTCGGGCAGCTGCAGCTGCTCGGCGGCGTCCGTCAGCTGCTGCCGCAACTCGGAGCACGCCTTCTGGAGTCGCTCTCGGTCGGCGCGGGCGCGGCGCAGCGCGGCCGTCTGGGTCTCCAGCGCGGCACTCAGCTCCTTCACAGCACCCTGTGAAGGAGCAGCAGAATCGTCAGTGGAGATAACCTCACAGACATAAATGTTCGTCACCGTTACTAAGGCTGGCTTAATGAATGTTACTGGCGGCAGTTCGTCGAAATAACATCTTTGTTGCTAGCAGGTTTATTAAAAAAGTATATTGATCGACATCACCAATGAACACAACGACCGTCGCCGGCGGGTGACATGTGGCACCGTCCTCAGTACCTCCATCTGCTGCAGGTTGGTTGCCAGCTGCTCCCTCTCCTGAGCAGAGATGTTGGGCGCCAGGCTCGAGATGGCTTTGGAGAACTGCGGCAACATCGACCGCTTCGAATTGGTCTCAGGCTCCAGCGACTGAAAAAGAACGACGAAAAAAGAACGACGGGGCCAATTTAGAGCAAAGCGGACTGAAAGAAACACAGCAGATGAAAAGAGTTTACCTTTGCAAAGTACTGCAGCAGCAGCCTAGAGTGACGCACTTCAGAGCATCAGGTGTTAGACCTCGAAACAATAAGGTCTCCTGACTACTCACTCAAAATTCAAAATAAATTGTCCAAGCCGAATCAGAATCCGGCTGCAGCGCCCCTCAGCTCCGCCCGCAGCGCACCTGAATCTGGTTGATCCTGTCAGTCACTGCCTCGGGCGTGTAGCCGATGGGCGTGGCCAGGCCGGCGGCGGTGCGCTGCGCGTTGGCGGTCCACTCTGCCAGCTGCCGGAGCTGCTCCAGCAGCCGGTCAGCCTGCTCGGCGGCGGAGCGCACCGACTCGGTCCGCTGCTCCAGCCGGCGGCACAGCTCTTCGTAACTGCGCTGCGTGGACAAAACCTGTGGGGGAGACGGATGGGCCGGTCAATGGTCAGCTGTGGTCGCGGAGGGCGGTGGGGGGAAGGAAATTTGACGGAAGAACGGATTTGTAACTGACTGGATAACAGAAATAATCACATCATATCCAGCTTCGCAGGTGTGACATAACGAGCTTTTATCTAATCCCCGACTTATTTTGCGAACAAACACTAGCTGCCAAGCTCCCCCTGCCTCCCCCGAAAACTACCTGCTTGATTATGTCTATCTTGAATTCAGACAATGACTTCCAAACTCAGTCATACTCAGTAGGGACACACACCACCCGTCCCACCATCCCCCCAGTCCCACTCACTGACCTGACTGGTGACGTGCTGCGCCTCGGGCTCAGTGAGCCGCTCCCTGGCCGCCTCTGCCAGCTGCTCCAGCTGCTGCAGCTGCTGCCGCTGATCGTCACACTCGCGGCGCAGCTCGGCCAGTGAGCGGAGACGGCCGTCCGCCGGCGACGACTGGCTGTCCACCGCCTGAAACGGGGAACAGACGGTGATGGTGAGGACGTCGGTGACAGTGACAGCGACAGTGCCAGTGAGGGTGAACGACGAACGTGGCACTGATGGTGACGGTATTGGTAGCGCGGGTGTTTATATCAGCAGATTAAGTCGTGCAGCATGGATCAAGAAAGCCCCCGCTGGACAGAGAAAAGTAACTGGCAAACCCTCCATATTCTAACATTCAGACCAATTACTGAGGCAATGCCCTCATATTCTGCCCTGCTTTGCCAAAACTTGAGCCAAATTAAATAAAGGTATTAAAAACGCAGGCGCTATCGCACCATCAGCAATCTCACGAACGATTTCCGACTATTAGGTCGAGCTCCTAGTGATGCTCTATAGTCCTTCGATGCCGCGTCCGTACCTGTAGCGAGTCGGACGTCTGACGGTGCCAGTGCCGGAAGTTTTGTAGAGCGGTCGTGTACTCTTCCACGCAGCTCTGAGCAGTGGTGCGAGCGTTAAGCACCTCAGCCACCTGGGCAAGGGACGGCGAGATTAGACCAGAAGAGATTGAGTCGGGTGAGACGATGTCAGATGACTTTTTCTGAATGCGGGCGACAACATAACAAATTAATAGAGGTTCAGCCTGTTTGTGGTAGACCTTCAATACTCGAAGTTGCTACGATCTAAGTAATTAAGCGATCCATTGCAACAAGTATCGCTCATATATTGAATTTATTGTTGAACAAGAGGGATGATTTGTGCATGACTATTTGTGGTGAAGATCCCGATATCATTTTCATCACTGAAGCGCTACCGAAGGTGCGGATGTCGTCAGTGCCCCTTGTCTTGTTCTCTGTGCCTGGTTATGAAGTGCACACCAACTTTGATGATACCAATTACCTTGGCATTCGAGGCATATGCATCTATATTCATCATCGACTGAAAGTTTCCAACGTACATTTTCCAGATTCAAGATTTAAAGAGCAACTTTGGGTACAATTGTGTTTGGAAAACAATGACGTGCTACTTGCCGGATGCATTTATCGCAGCCCCTCAGGCGACCCCCATCGAAGTGTTGATGATTTGTCTTGCTTACTCCAAAATGCGATTTCTCTCAAGCACACTCACCTGCTCATTGCTGGGGATTTTAACATTCCTCAGATTGACTGGGAAAACAACTTTTGCGGCGCATCTGAAGCACATTTTGCCAACAAGTTTTTGTCTGCCGTTCAGGATGCATTCCTGTTCCAGCATGTCACCAAGCCTACCAGATTTAGAGAGGGTTGTAGGCCTAGTATACTGGATTTGGTGTTTACAAATGATGAGAATATGATAACAAAGATCAAATATTGTCCTGGATTAGGAAGGAGTGATCATGTGCTACTGAAATGCGATATTGCCTGTTACAACAAAAAATGTTCTTCTGCCGGCTTGAAATGGAATTTTCACCGCGCTGACTTCACGGCCTTGCGTGTAAAACTACATGCAGTTGACTGGAGCTGTTTGTCAACCATGAGTGTAGACGCGGGTTACAAGTGGTTTAGGAGCAAACTTGAATCGCTGATGAGTGAGTGCATACCCAAAGCAAGAAATGTCAAGTCTAAAAAGAACGTTTACGTGAATAGCCGTTCACTAAACCTCAAGAAGAAGAAGAAGGTACTGTGGTCAGTGTACATGAGAACGCAAGACCCCATCGACTATAGCAGATACAAGATTTGTATAAGATTTGCAGAAATAAGCTTAGGACATTGACTCGCCAGTTAAGGAAAGATTTTGAAGCTAAGATATCAGCAAACATGAAAGAAAACCCGAAGGCTTTTTGGAAATATGTGAACAGCCGCCGTAAAGTTAAATCAAGTATTGGTGATCTAAGAAACGACCAGGGCCAGCTTGTTAGCGAGGAAAAAGAGAAGGCCTCGCTCCTGAATGACGTCTTCTCAGGCGCATTCACTATTGAAAAAACGGATGTCGTGCCACAACTAGCAAACCGTTACACAGGGCCGCCGCTGATCGATATACCAGTCAACCTTTTCACAGTGAAGCAAAAGCACTGAACCCCAATAGTGCCCCAGGAGCTGATGACATTCACCCCCGCGTTTTAAGGGAATTGAGTGGTCCTCTCTCCCTTCCCTTGACCTTACTGTTCCGAAAATCGCTTGAAACTGGGTCTATTCCTGCAGGCTGGAAGCACGGTAAAGTCATACCAATCTTTAAGAAAGGTGAAAAGGAAGACCCAAGAAACTATAGACCTGTCAGCCTCATATCTGTTCCCTGTAAGATTCTCGAGTCGCTCATTCGTCATTGTTTAATGGACCATTTGCTGTCAAATGACCTGCTGTCCAAGGACCAACATGGCTTCCGCCCGAAGCGATCTTGTGATACGCAACTGCTTGACTCTATAGACTCATGGAGCCGCCTGTTGGAGGACAAGACGGAGGTCGAAGTGATTTACCTTGACTTCCGAAAGGCGTTCGACTCCGTCCCACACAAGAGACTGATAGGCAAGCTGCGCTGTTATGGTATTGGTGACCGAGTGTTGTCTTGGATTGAATCATTCCTGGAAGACAGAATGCAGCAAGTGTCCCTATATGGAAACCTGTCAGATTTGGTCCCTGTGCGCAGTGGTGTGCCCCAAGGCTCAGTGTTAGGCCCATTGCTCTTCTTGCTCTATGTCAATGACTTGCCAGATGCTGTCACTTCAAATGTGCGAATGTTCGCAGATGACACAAAGCTGTTCTCAGGCATCTCTTCTGAACATGATGTGCGGACATTGCAGGCAGACCTGAACGCCCTCGTGGAATGGTCTAGAACTTAACAGCTGCCATTTAACGAGAATAAGTGCAAAGTGCTTCATGTTGGTGCAGCCAAGGACCACCACTCATTTCAAATGGGGTCGGACAGACTGACAAACACGTCAGTCGAGAGAGACCTGGGTGTGCAGGTCGACTCAATCTTGAAGTTTCGACAGCAAGCGTCTACGGCGGTCTTCAAAGCGTCTCAAGTTCTTGCGGTCATCCGCCGGTCCTTCGCCTTTTTAGATGAATTTCCCCTGCCTCTTCTGTTCAAATCTCTCGTGCGGCCTCACCTGGAGTTCAGCAGTCTTGTTTGGGGTCCGTTCAATAGAGCTGATCAGAAGGCAGTCGAAAGGGTTCAAAGAAGAGCCACCCGGTTAGTGGTGAGCATCCGCCACCTTCCATATCCTGAAAGGCTGAAGAGACTGAAGCTCCCGTCACTGTACTATCGGCGTAGACGCATGGATATGATTCACGCATACAAGATGCTGCACGGCCACGTTGATACTGATCCTTCAGAGCTTCTGGCAACGAATCCTGAAAGGCGAACTCGGGGTCACACACTTAAACTATGGAAGCCTCGTGCAACCTGCCGTGCCAGACTGAATTCATTTTCTGTGCGGTGTATTAACGATTGGAACGGGCTTCCAGCAGAAATTGTACATTCGCCCTCAGTCAACGTCTTTAAGAACAGGCTGGATGCACACTGGGAGTCGATCTGGTACTCCACTCCTGTATCAGACTGAGTACTAAGTGAAGTTATGGAAATCGGCGAGAACGGGCCCTACAGGACATCGTGCCTCTTGCCCCGATAACACGAAGATGAAGATGAAGATATAAGCAAATGAGACGCAAAGTCACTGACAAAGACATGGTCGCCTAGTCGTTCTAAACGCGCTTCGACTATCCGTCCAGTGATCTTTCCTCTTCCTCTTCCCTTTCCCTGCACATACCTGTTCGGCCAGGCGCGCCAGCTCCTGTCGGGCCGACTCAGTCGGTACCTCAGCAGCCAGCTCCATCCGACCAGAGTCCAGTTCATCCAGCGACGCCTCGCGCTCGAGCAGGGTGCGCTGCAGCTCGCGCAGCCGCTCCAGCTCGGCGGCGGCCGGCTCCGGCTGCAGACGGGCCCGCTGCCGGCCCAGCTCGGCCACCATCCGCGCCTGCTGCTCGGCCCAGCGGCGTACCTCGTCCTCCCGCTCGTCCAGCCGCTGGAGGCCGTCGGCGGTGCGCTGCAGCTCGGCCAGCCGAGACTGGGCCTGGTCAATGAGCAGCTCCAGCTGACAGCGCACCTGTGGGGAAAGAGCGGCGACCGTCAGCAAATGAATCCTTTCAACAACATATATAGGGACACAAAAAAACAGCATGCTCAACAATCAGGTGAAAATTCGGCTAATCATCGCGATCACAGAACAATATTTAATCCAAAACGGACAAAATAATCACCACTAATTAGTCAGTGCAAGCATGTCCGCAAAGCCCAACCCAGCATCATTGCCGCCTCACAAATATAATAGTGAGTCGCTACTGACTGCCGCCCACAGCAACGTGCCCAATTACGGTAGTGATTAGACAGGAAAGCAACGACAACTCAGTGTTCAGTGACGCAGCTGACACACAGCTCGTGAAGACTCCTCAGTAGTCACGCACCTGCAGCTCCCGCTCTGGCACCGTGTCGGGCGGCTGGTCGTGCGGCGAGGAAGGGCGGCTGATGGAGGCCGTGGCCGCCTCGCAGATCTGCACGGCCGTGTCCAGACGAGACTTCTCCGACTGCAGCTCGTTGTGCAGACTCTGAAAACGGCAAGAGAGATCAAGTTATCAAACGCTGAAACGTGGTGAAAACAATGACATACCATTCCGTGTAGACACAAATAGGGCAAAGATCATGAAGCACATACATGATGGAGCACAAGATGTGTCCGTAAAATGTATCAACCATAAGGCCGCTTCTAATGATCCCTTTTTGACCCCAGACAGTAACTGCGCGCCCCGCCGACTGACCCTGGTGGCCTCCAGCCGCTGTTTGGCCGTCTCCAGGTCGGGGATCGGCTCGGCCACCTCCTGCTCCAGCTGCTGCTGTCGAGCCGACAGGTTCTCCCCAATGCTCTCCAGCAGCGCCTCGTACTGCTCAAACTTCTTCAGCGACTCCAGCAGGCGGGTCTGGATACGCAAAGGACACAAACACGTTACCAAAATGGAAGTCGGAGAAACAACGTGCATGACTTCAAAGAGAATAACTTTTATCAAATACAACCAAAATATAAACAAAGTATTGACATTTCACCTACATAAACCACCCTACCAAACCTACCCCCAATTTTATCCCAACTTTTCCCGACCACCCCAACAGTGCGCCACCCTGCTGATCGGGTACTGACGTTGATCTGTTGTGCGGTGGCGTGCAGCGAGCTGTAGCTGCTGCGGATATTGTCCAGCTGTTTGTCCACCTCCTGTCGGATGGCCGGGGACACTTCCTCGTACCGCTCCACCTGGCTGTGGCCGCGCCGCTCCAGATCGCGGAGCGAGTCCGAGAACGACTCGAACTCGGACATCACCTCCTGTGAGATAGGGGGAGGAGAGTCAGAGTCGGAGAATACGACTCGAACTCGGACATATTCACCTCCTGTGTGACCGGGGAGGAGAGAGTCAGAGAGTCGGAGAACAACTAGACCTCCTGAAGGACATGGAAAAGGGGAGCCAGTTACAATGCGTGCGACGCTAGGCCTCAATACCAGCCTCTCCCGGTTCCGTACTGTTTTCTATAGTGCGCAGCCCACCTTGTGTCGCTCTATCTGGGCGGCCGTCTGCTCCCGGTTCGAGATGTACTGGGCGTTCTGACCCATCAGCTGGTAGGAGATCTGCAGCAGCCACTTCTGCGCCTCGTGCAGGCTGCTGTTGTACTCGTTGAACTCCTGGAATACGAGAATAACAACCAGTAAGCGCCAGGGAATTTGTGCACTGCTGATCCGCAATATCGATCTGTCTGGTGAGCAAAGCTCGCCCTATCTCACGCAACCTAACCTAACCTATCTCATGAAACGACACATCCTACCAAAATCCGGAGTCGTCCCAGCCCCCGTATCACGCCACGGGCTTCTTACATACCCTCCCAGCCCAGTATCACCCAGTACCGTCACAGCCAGTATCATCACTCTGTATCATTCCTCGTCCATTATCAATCTCTCACCTCCACTTCCGTCTGCAGTTTGGCCACCAGCTCTCGGCAGCGGCCCTCGGCGGCCTCCCAGCGGGCGCGCACGTCCTCAGCCCTGGCCAGCAGCGCCGGGCCGCCGTCCGCTGACGCCACGGGCTCGGTGCCGGCTGATAGCTGAGTGGCCTCCTCCAGAGCAGAGTCCAGGTCCGGGCGGCGGGCCTCCAGACGCTTCTGCACGTCCTGAGAGGTGAAACGGAGTGGAGGTGTGAGTAATCGCCGTAAAATGTGATCAACCGACATTTTGTTACGTCGATTAGCTTAGCTGGAGATAAAAGTGAGGTACTGAGCTAGCAACCAGCTGAGAAAGTGTCGGACTCTCAAGAGGTTGCCATAATTTCTCCATGTAGATAACCACGCAGTAAAAATTATATTGCACGCCACAGAAAGAACATCAATGCCGCTACTAAATATCCGTGAGGAAACTCCCAACCAAGTCGCAAAACACCAGACTGGAGTGGCCACCGTCCGCCCCGCGCCCCTCCATCACCTGCGGCGCAGTACTCACCGTCAGTCTCTCCAGCGTGGCCCTCAGATGGGCGAGGTCGGCGGTGGGCTCCGGCGCCGCGTCCAGTCGGGTCGTCAGCTCTGTCAGCCAGGTGTCCAACTGGGTGACCGTGTCGGCCGTCTCCTCCCAGCGCTGCAGCCGCGACTTCACCTCCGAGCTCACCTGGACGACAATGATAAAGACACGTGAGGAAGTGAAAGGGAATGGAGGGGCTCCGTCACTCAACCGGCCGTAGTCCATAACTTACAGCAGCTGGCGTCATAACGACTAAAACACCACGAATGACACCGAAGTGTCAAACAGTGAACCAAAACACTAGCATCAATCGAGTTGAGTCAGTCAGCTAACATCTTACGCAGCGATGCATCCCGCTGTGCCTCCTCCCGCCCCGCTGATTCCCGTTCCACACCCCGCTGCATCCCGTCCCATATCCCGCTGTGTACGGTCCCACACCCCGCTGTCTCCCGTCCCCAGCTGACCTGTTGCAGTTCGATGGCCAGCTGGTCATACTCTGCCCTGAGCCGGGTCAGGTCCTCTGTCAGCTCCTGCTGGGCCTCAGCCGGTCGGCTCTCGGCCGCCGCTGTGTAGGAGGTCTGCAGAGCCCCCAACAGGTGCTGGCCCTCCGTCATACGGGTCGACACCAGCTGTGCAGACAGGAAAGGGACACTCGTTACCAGAGAATACAAGTCGGTCAGATGAAGAGTCAACGGCATTTCTTTCGATATTTACCAGAACGTACACTTGTCTTAAACATGTCTTGAGGAAGTTGCCAACTCACTTTCTTCACCTATACCACAAAGCCTACTGCGACTGCACCTGCTACCGCCCGCGCCCGGTGAGCGCCCGGTGAGCACAGCGCCCCACTCACGGTGAGCATGTGCAGGTTGTCGGTGAGCTGCGGCGCGGTGAGCTGCAGCTGCCGGCAGTCGGCCACTGTGCCGCGGTTCCGCTCCAGCCAGGTGGCCAACTCGGCGCGCGCCGCAGTCACCTCCCGCTCCGACTGACAGCGGCGCTCCAGCTGGGACAACGTGGCCTGCAAGAGTACGGGGAGGTACGGTTAGAGAGAGGAAGGGAGGAAACAGGAGGGAGGTAATGGAAAGTGACAAGAAAGGAAAGAAAATGTACTAGGGGAAAAAAGACGGTACGAATGCGGGAGATGATAAAATGATATATCAAGGGAAATGTAAAAATTGTGATCTGAAATCACATTTAAATCGATAATGTTCAGTTTTATGGGAAAGGTAGACCTTACGGAAAGGGAAACTTACAGCTGCACCAGTTAATCATTACTATGACAAAAATAGAATGAAGACATTTTCACAAACCAACGCCAACATTAAGTGCGAAGGCGTTCATGTTCGTCAAGCGCTGAGTTCAACGCCTCCACCTCGCCTTCCGGTCATTTTTACCCCGTGTGCACCGCTTGCAGAGCGGATATCAGCGCCGGAGGGCGTCCTACCTGAAGCCGACTGAGCAGTGCGGCGTGGTCGGCCTGCAGTTGGACGGCTTGTTCGCGGACCTCCGGCTGTCCACTGAGCTCGATCAGCGTCTCACAGCGGTCGGCCAGTCGGTCCACCGAGCGGCGACGCTCCGATACCTCCGACCAGAGAGTCTGGGGGTGATGGGAGGGAATGCGGGGGTTCAACGATATAGATACTGGCAAGGGCGACAGCGGGCACAGCACACCACCATCAACTGAAGTTGGAGTGAGACATCGCCCAAATATTTCCTCAATTTTCTTTTTATTGAATTTGCTACATTGCCGATGCATTTTAAGCTAGCTTCCCGCTGATTCACCGAAGGAGCCACGGCTGTAACCGCTCTCTCAAACCTCCCTATGTGCTATACGACGCTATACGGAAATTGATGTGCGCCCTACGAATGAACCCTACCACCCAGTCACCTTGACGGTCTGCAGGTGCTGGTCGTCGTCTCCGTTGACGGCCGGCGCGGCCGAGGTGGTCTGGGCGGGTGGCTCCCGGTCGCGGGCCTTCTCCAGCCACGAGCGCAGGTCGTCGTGCAGCGCCGTGAACTCGGACCAGGCGGCCACGCAGCGGGACAGAGCAGTCTCACTGGAGGCCGCCAGCTTACACAGCGAGTCGTACTCGGCCTGAGTGAGGAGAAGGGATCGGGTTTAGAGAATAAGTAAAGATAGTAACTTACAAATAAATATCTTTAACCATGTCAATTCCAGTTCACATTTCTAAATCATGCCCGTCGCACGAGCTAAACATCTCACAGTCGATATTATCTCGAAATACGCGCGCACACGGGTACATGAATCATTCGAAGCTCGCCTCTTCCTGTCCCCAAGAAAAGCATCCCTGCCTGCAATACTTCCCCCTCCTAAGAGTTCATCTGTCCGCCCTGACTGACCTGTAATGCCTCAGCCTCCCTGGCCAGGGACTGGTGACCGCCGGCCGGACAGACCTCCTGTAGCGCCTCGCCCTGGCTGACCACATCGTCCAACAGCGACTTGCCTGAAAACGGTCACAGAAACAAGTTGTCAGGGTTAGAGCAGTGGGACCAGATCAGGCTGCCCTATCAGGTTCATGTGACTGATACTGGTCACACAGCGTTCACACTGCATTCACCACTTGGTGGAACCGGGTCCTATCCTGTCATGTACACTCGAGACAAAACCCGTTAATTGTCTTGCTTTGCCAGTCGTGTACGCAGCGTTGGGCAGCCTTTGAGCAGTGGATCGGTCGGTGACTGACCTTTCGGCAGTGTGTCTGTGAGTGTCCTATTAGCCTCGAGCCGGGCGTTGAGCTCGTCCCAGGCGCCGGTGGCGTCAGACGCCTGCTGCAGACCCAGCCGGGCCGCCTTCAGCCAGTCGGCGGCGGCCGAGTGAGCCGCCGCGTACCGCTCGTGCTGGGCGGCCCGCTCCTCCAGCACCTGGCGGGAAGCGCGGAGAGCGTAAGTGATTAACTACCTCAGCTTCGGCTTACCATATCACTACATTCGCAGACATCCTCAGCTACTTCAACATCTAGCTAACTCGCTACATCAGAAAACCACTCCCGGCTAGATCGCCAACTTCACGTTTCTCTCTCAAATGACGAGTCATATCGTCCGCACCGTCATAACCCGGTATCTATCCCTTATGAGCACACCACAGAACAGGTCGCGATCCTGAGTTATTTGTTTAGCAAACAATCGAACCATCCCCGCCGTACCTTGATGGCGTCGTCCACTTTGGCGGCGGTGAGTCGGTGTCTCTCCAGCGTCTGTACAATCTCTGGCAGCGCCTTCTCGCCCTCAGCAGCGTCGGCAGTCGTGCGCAGCTGGCTCACTTGGTTTGACAGAGACTGGACTTCGGTCGCAAGGGCTCGGTACCTGAACCGGACAGAAAGAATCCCATCGTTACTTCCTGTTTTTAAACTTCCTTAGACCGTAGCATAAGCCTTCTGTAGAAAACTGAGCGAATGGAAAGGAAGCCAAGGAGGGAATAAGCGCGACAATGGAATTAAATTTCATTCGCAGCTATTCGCGATCGGCCGACTCACTTTTCCAGCGCTGTTTTCTTCTCGTTGAGTTCGGAGAACAGCAGGTCTCCGTCGCCTTGGATCTTGGCGTCGATGTCATCCAGGGCCTCAGTCAGCGTTTGGTTGGCCTGAAAACACATAAATTATTATCAACACATCACTTCAGTGACATTCAAACGATAATTATGCTGTTATGGCTAAACGACTTTACAGTATACACTGCAGTCAGCTGGTTCACGATGCCAATCACCATTGAGCATGATATCACCAAGCTCACCTTGAATATCTCGTCGAGCTCGCCGATTTTGGCGGTGAGTTCGTTTTTGCGTTCCATGATGTCGGCGATGAGTTTGTCGAACTCAGCGCTCAGGGTGTCGGCGTCCTGTTCTATCCGTGTGCCCCCGCCCTCTGCCGTGTTCATGATCACTCGCTCCTTCAGCTCCATGGCATACCTGGCGGGTAGGGAGGGGAGAGTCAGCACTGGGGTTTAGGGGTGCGAACAAGTGGGTGAATGGGTGAGAGGGAAAGAGCGGAGGAAACGCAGGCATAAACACCATTCGGAGATTAATCTACGTTTTCGAAATAAGCAGGGGATTCCGGCGAATGTGTGCCTCTTTCAACAAGTGTGAAATAGTTAGTTTTGTTCATAGCACGTCACATCATTGTAGTATAGCCATAGCAGCATTATATAAGAGGAATGTGTATAAGAGGAAGACATCATTCATGTCTTCCCACTCCACCCAGCCGTTCGATTCTCACCTGAGTTTCTTCTGTCCCTGCTCCACAGAGGCTCGCAAGCTCTGCACCGTGTGCAGTTTGGTGAGCAGTTCAGAGTGGCGACTGGTCAGCGGCGCCGTCTCGGCCAGCTTCTCCCGCGTCTTCTCCATCCATTCGTCGATCTCGTGACAGAGCGCCGAGTGCTGCTTGTGCTCCTGTGAGAGGGGAGAGAGGATTACGGGGGTCGGTGAAAGGTCGGGACTCACTTTGAATTCAGCGTCGCAATGAACTTTGGTCACACCAACGAACTGAAGAACAAAGTGCGACAAGGAGCGCGACAGTACTCCGCCTGTGAATTCAATTATCTGAATCAAAAATAGCCCAAATAACCATGAACACTATCGCCAATAATCCATCCCCGTTGTCACCAACTAGGCGTCTCTCACCAGATGGGCGACCTCGAGTCGTCGGAACACGTCTTTGGCCAGTGACTGTAGCGCGTTGTACTTGGTGGTGAGCTGGGTGACCGAGTTGGCGATCCGCGAGTCGGCACAGTTATCCAGCAGCAGGGTGGCCGACACGTTCAGCTCGTCCAGCGTCGACTGCCACTCGTACATGTCCGACAGCAAGGTCTGGAGACGAACGGTATGGTCAGCGCTCAACAGTTTTGGAGCGTAGCAAGGCTGTCTTGAAATAACTTCGGAAGAGAATGCGGAGATTGCAATAGATTATAGACTCTCGACGGGTCCGAGTCCGACAATTAGGCACAGACGAGTCGCCCTAGTCGGGCCAGGTCAAAGGAAAAATTGCCCAGCCTCGTACCCGCAAAGGCAAAAAAAGCGTGTAATGAGATTCTCAATGCCGACTTCACCCACCAAACAGATTATGTCACGCAGCCACATTTCCCTCCTTTCCTTGATCACGATACCGACCTGGAAGGCCTCGACGGCGGTCTGTTTCTCCTGGAGGCCGGCGTGCAGTCCGCCGTAGGTCTGCACCTCCGACTCCTTGTCGCTGATCCACGCCTGGCACTGTTTGAGACGCTCCTCGTACTTGGTCCACTTGACGACGCCCGACTCGAGCAATTCCCGAGTGGCGGCCACCGACTCCCTGCCGGCGCCGCGGGAGACGGGCGCGTTAGAACGACAGACGGCCGACACTCAACACACCGCACGGTAGACCGGAGACCCCCAAGCATCGCTCAAGCAACCTACATGACTTAACTATGCTGACTGATTAATGCCGAGTCATGGATGCTCTTGGAGTTAACATTTAGTTTTATTTGTTCGCCTTGAGTCTGCTATATCTACTTTGCTCACTCTGCCGGCCGCGCGGCCCGCCCGACCGTCGCCCTACCACTCGTGTTGGCTCACCTATAGTCATCCATCTGCGCCTGCAGTTTGGCCACCTGCTCCTCGATCACCTCCCGGTCGTCCTCGTCCTCAGCCACCTGCAGCGCCGCCTTGGCGAGCTCCAGGGCCGAGTCGAGCAGCGACTGGCCCTCCGAGACGTCTGCCTCCAGCAGCTGAAGAAAGAACAAACACAGTTGACAATCACAGCTCCAAACTCGAGTCGAGCATGGCGAGGAGTCGCAGCCATCCGATACGTCCGCCTCCAGAAAGTGAACAAACACAAGGACAAACACAGCTACAGAGCCGAACACACACTTAGGACAACAGCTTAGGACGGAACTAAAAGCAGAACCTTCTGATCGCCACCACCTCCCGCTCCCATAGACGACTGTCTGATCACTCAATACTCTCAACCCCCCCCCCCTCCCCTCCCTCTCCCAAGGACTACAACCATCCTGTCCCGCCCCGCGGCTCTCCCGTACCTTGAGCGCGGTCATGCGGCTGGCCAGCGCGTCCCTGTGTCCGGTGGGCTCCGCACACTTGGCACGTCTCTCTCGGGCCGTCTGCAGCCACGTGATGAACTCCCCTGCGGCGTCGATGAAGGCTCCGTGCTGTTCGACCAGCTGCTTCTGACGCTCGTACGCCTGGCGCGCCTGTCGGCTCAGCGTCTCGTACTTGTCGCTGATCTCGGAGGCGTGACGCCGCCGGCCGCGCGCGCCCTCTGAGCTGGATGTCACGGACGCGATCATCGGCTGGAACGAGACGATGTCCTGCCGGGACAGACGGGGGGGGGGGGGGGTCAGCCCATTCAGATGTCGTCAGAATCATGAAGTAGAGAGGTATCTCAATGATATCTCGACCAAGGCAGAAAAAAAACATACGGGGAAAACCGCGAATCGCTATGTTCTAAATTAAATCATAGCTGATTGCCTGTTGTGAATAATCAAATTCGTACCACAGTTAGATAGCATCAGCATCCAAGCACAACACTGAATAAGCCTCGGATCTCTTTACAGCATCTCTGGATAGTCCCACCCGGTAGGCCGTCAGTAACCGTTGACCGACCTGCATGATGCTGTTGGTGCGTCTCAGTGCGGCCTTCTTCTCGCCCAGACTGGCCAGCTGGTCCTTGTTGGCCGCCGGCCTCTGTCGGGGTTTGTGTTCCAGCACCTGCTGCAGCCGCGCCTCCCGGTCCGATATCCAGCGCTGGAGCCGCGTGTAGGTGGAACCGGCGTCCGACCACTGCAGCAGACTGGTCTCCAGTTGAGCCTGGGAGGGGAAGGGGACGTGGACGGCCGTCAGTAGCGTGTAGACAGGGGCAACGTATTGAATACAGGGGTGGAACGCACAAAGCAAAATAAAAAAGGAGAACAATTTTGAGCTGGGTCAATCTGCAGTCATAGGCACAGTAACTCCACTGGCAGTCGCTATAACTGGCTGCCGATAAGAATATGACCTGTAACAGGAGGGCTTAGATACGTCACAATGTTTAATTTTACGCTAGAATAGTTCAATTCTCATACCTACCCAATAACCAATCATCGCCAAAAGCAATCTCACAGCAGCCCCGGACATTGTTTCAGAGAGCCATTCACGCACAATAACTCAAAGTGTTTACCACTCGTTTACCTTGGCGTTGGTGAGTTTCTTGATGAACCTGTCCCAGTCGTTCTGGATGTCCTTCATGGCCTGTTTAACGTCCTCCCGGCCGGATGAGTGTGTGTTCCTGAGCACCTTCTCCCCCAGACTGGCGGCCTGGTGCACCAGCGTCTGGCCTTCGTCCTGGTTACGAATCAGCTCCTGAAAAAACGGCCCGAGATAATACCGTCGACTCTACAAGTTGTATGTATGTATGTATGTATTGATGATCAAGAGCAATCCACAATCGGCGTGGCGATTACACTCCGTAGGCGTTGGTGAGTTTCTTACACTCTGTATTACACTCTGTAGAACTTAGTCCATGTGCCGAAGTTTCATGGAAGCCCCGATATTTATATCGAGGCTTTCAAAAATGCCAATGTGAATCTATGCGGGATTAGTGGATAACATGAAGCAGTTTCCACAGCAAACATACGTTTATGACAATGTTTCAACGAAGCTCAAATTTTCAATCCTCTACGCCACAAGTCAGCGCCGCGCCAGACACTCGGCCACCCACCTGAATGGCCTTGAGGTGCTGCTCTACGCCCTGCCGTCCCGAGTCGGGCTCGCCGTCGGAGCCGGAGCCGGAGCCGGAGCGGCCGCGGATCACCTCCCGGGCCTCCTCCATCCAGTCAGCGGCGCGGCGCAGCGCGCCCTCAAACTCCGAGTGCTGGTCGGCGATCGCCACCAGCTTCCGCTCCACGTCACGCGCCAGGTTCACTTGCACCTGAGGAGGAGGGGAGAGGGGAGGGGTTAGATGGGCCTCAGGTTCACTTGCACTTGTGGGGAGGGAGGAAGGGAAGGGGAATGGTCAAGAAAATTGGACAGCTGAGACACAAGAGATCAGGCGACTTCCTCTTGAATGGGTCGATGGCTGGCATTACGAATAAGATCACCGCAGGCTGCTGGGATTGACAACCTGCTGCACTAAGCACGCAAAATCTGTTACTTTTTAATAGTAACTGTCGGGGCCGACGCGGCAACTCTCCTCTCGGTCGGCACCTGGTGTCTGGAGGCCAGGTGCCGCAGCTGCTGGCTGATGTAGCCCTCCAGGTGAGAAGCCAGCAGGCCAGACGCCGTGGACTGGAGACGACTGATGTCCTCACCACCCGACTCCAGACTGCGACACACGTCCTGGAAAATAACGGGCGACGGGATAATTAATCGGTAGTGCATATTGGATCCCTGGCCAGTCAAGACCGCTAAATTAAATGTCAGGAAAAAACATGCATCGAACAATAATAGACGAGCACACATAACCAACGACAATATCCCAACCGTAATCTTCATCGAAATCTTACCTGTATCTTTTCGACGAGTTGCTGTTTCTCTTCGCGCGTGGCCACGAACACAGTCTTGTGCTGTTTGACCTGGACGTCGGCGGCCTGGAGCCAGTCGGAGATGCGCTCATACTCCTCCTTGTACGACTTCAGCTGGCTCTCGATCGTCTCCAGGTTACGCTTCTGCTGACGGATGTCTGCGGAGAGGAATGGTAGAGTTTGGGAGATGTTACACACGATAATGCTTGTAAAGGTGTGCAAGAGAATATGGATAGAGTGGTTGATAATGCCTATATAGAGCAGGGGCGGATCCAGAAAATCTCCAAGGGAGGGGCCATTAGAAACCAGGAGGCCCCCCCCCCCCATAATCCCACCTGTTGGAGGCCCCATCTTCCCACTTGTTGGGCCCCCCCCCCCCCAAAAAAAAAAAACTGCGTCTATTGAGCTTATCTAGCTGTTCAGGCAACATCTCAACATCTGTGCAGGCTTGGAGGCCCTCTGTGCAGGTTAGGAGGCCCTGTAAAAGTGGTCATCTCTGTGAGCATAAGAGACCTCCAAGTTATGAAAAGCTTTACCAATCTTCTAACAAAGAAGTCTTCTCAGCTAGTCTTCTAAGAAATAACTAAGTGGGTAGGTTAAAAAAAACTCATCGGATTTCGGCCACTTTATTTTCAGGAGGCCCCCTTTTCAGCTTTTTAACTTTTTAACTTTTTATTTTATTTTTGAAAAAAATCGGCCAAGGGGGGGGGGGGCCATGGCCCCCATGGCCCCCCCCCCTTGTATCCGCGCATGATATAGAGTGGTTGATAATTCCTACTGAAGAGCGTGTACAGAGATGTAGGTGAGGGTGAGGGAGATAGTGACGTAACTATACCAAGCCCCTAGGCTATAAAAGGCATAATCAAAGGCCAAGTATTGAAGAATTTGTTGAATAAAACAAGTCAGCCGACTGAACGAAACTCTCGGCATAACTTTAATTAATCAAACACAAATCGTTCCCTATTGCACGTACCGTTGAAGAACTCCTCGAACTGGCTCTGTGCGTTGGCCACGTCCTGTCTGATCTCCTTCTGACCGAGCTCGGAGGTGGAGGCCATCATGACGTCACCCGTGTGCACCAGGTGTTCCAGGGTCAGCTGGCCGGCCGACTGCTTACACAGGATGCCCTGTGTACATACAGGAATGGTCAGAATGTTTCCACTGGATACACTGGACACAGACAGCCGAGTCTCAGATCACTGCTTACACAGGTATTTCTTTAGGCTACATGAGAACGACTTTCTTCCATGTGAAGAAAGAACTCACACGGTAACACAGGCTTCACAAATTACTATGGGACGAAGAAAAGGGTCGCAAAAAGAAATAAGAAAAAGGGCGAGCCGGAAGCAAGAACACTTCAACCGGTCTCTGTCACGTCTCAAATCCCTATTCCTAGATTCTGAGCATTGGACTCCCCATTCCTGCTTGTTTTACCAGCCCCATCCCACCGCCTTTCACTCACATCCAGCGCGGCCACGACGCCCTCGATGGCCGATCGGTCTCCGAAGGAGCGCTGTCGAACTGCCGGCACCTTCTCTCGCACCGTCGACATCCACGCCTGGAACTCGTCGAACGCCTGCTTCCAGCTGCGGTGGTGCTTGTACTGCTCCTCCCGCTCGCGGCGCAGCAGCTGATGGAGGGAAAACAACGGCGACAGCACGTTAGAGAGGCGGGACAGACAAGACACCGCCCAGCAAACAAATTAGAGGAGTGGAAATTGGCAGCCATGGCCTAATGGGACACATCATGGAGCGGATCACAGTCAGCGCCTCTCACGACAAGCTACAGCGAAGCTCTGGGCACGTTAGCATGACATCCAGCCACGGCGTTAAAGATGGCTCCCGAGGTGTGTATCAGCTCAGTGTCAATATCCACCATATTGGCGGCATCATTGGTGAAATTGGTGATTCCCCGTCCCCGTTACCGTCACCCTTCCCCCCGCCCTCATGGTCCCCCGATTCGTACCCGTATCCGGTCGGCAGTCTGGTCGTACTGGTTGAGGATCTGCTGCGCCTGAGCGGCCGCCTGCGCCTGGTTACCGGAGGCCGACATCTCGGCAGCCTTGCTCTTCAGACTGTCCACCTCGTACTTTTCACAGCGCAGACTCTCCTCCAGGGACTGGGGGTACGGATGCAGCCGTCAGCGCGGTATCACAAAACGCCAATGACACCGTGTGGCGCGAGTAGCACGAGTTAAGACGCTAAAGTAGTTTGTATGGAGCCTGCATGACACGACGGATATAAAAACAAAAAGTAGGTACTACTTGAGGATATTAGCCAATGAAGTGAAAGGTCTTCAGGTCTCGTGTTCTTTACTGAATATCCGATCAATGCGTGTGAAATCGTCTATATTGCGCAAGTTTCTCCGTTCTGTCCCTCAACGAGGTGTGTTTAACAAAGAACAGTGTGTCTACTGACAGCATCTCTTTGACTCAAAAGCTGTGTGACGCCATGAACGTCCTTCCGTACTCTGCCCTCCCACCTTGAGTCTGTCGAGCTGTGCGCGTTTCTCTGCCATTGTGGTCTGGAACTGCGCTGCCTCCTGTAGTACCGCGCCCGTGGCGTCCGAGGACCGCTTCAGGCGCTGAATCTCCTCCAGAAATCCGGCCCAGCGGTGGATCGCCTCGTCCAGGTTACTCTGCAAACGGGTGGGTTATATTCGGTCAGCGACGGGTCGTGATTGAGCACTGGGTGAATAATGTGCTCAGCACCAGTACGCCAAAGAATGTGAATCAGGACAATGCTCGATCAAAGCCAATCGCGAAGGTGCTCACAAATAATATCCCAAACAGTAAATTGAGCTCGCAAAGAGAGCGGGAGAAATCATCGACTCTCCCTCCCTTAACGTGACCGCAAAACTTAATCGTTACTATTCTCACTCCTTGTACACGATCAACCTAAGAGCACAGCGGTCCACAGTCCCTCCCCGACAGCTCATACCTTGGTCTCGGCCATCTGGGTGGCCATGGATCCCCAGCTCTCCTGGAGGGCCGTCAGCTGCTCGCTGATGGCCTGGTGGCCGGTCGGCTCCGTGTTGCGCAGCACCTGGTGGCCCAGGTCGACGGCTGCGTGCACACGCTTGAAGCCCTCGTCCTTGTATAGCAACAGGTCCTGGGGACGAGAGGGAACGGTGGTAAAGCAGAGTGCCAGCGGTGGAAACGCAACCCACTCGGCAACACAGTTACCAGTGACATTTTCGAATATCTCGACCAAGATACATTTATCTTTAACGTATGGAAGGAACAGAAACTTGCAGCTATATTAATTAAAGAGGCGAGCGCATCAACACTACCCTTTACCTATGTACAGCCCACCGCTAAAGTAATGTAGGGTTTTACCAATCTCAACGATTGGCTTTGACTGGCGATTGTATAATGCGGAGTGATCGAAAAGAAGATGTCAATAGCTAAAATTGCAGCTGCAAGGGTGACGATACATATAAGCTACATTCAAAGTTTCATTGTAGTCTGGCTAATCGTTCCCAAGCTTCAGAAGCAGAACATACCCATGACTGAAACAGCACATTACTTCTGCTGTGGACTGTACATCTCGCTGCCAGATGGTCAGCTTTCGTAAAGAAACGGCAACTAGCCTCGGCATACCTTGACGGTGGCCAGTTTGGCCTCTAGCTCCTTCTGCGATGTGGCCGACAGGTCGGAGCAGTAGGCCAGCTTGGACTGGACGTCTTTGAGCCAGACGGAGGTCTCACTGAGTTGGCGGCTGTAGTCGCTGTGACTGGCCACGTACTGCTGCCACGTCGCCACCAGCTCCTGAGGACGGACGTCGATACACACAGCTAAGTCCGGTGCTGGTGAAAAATGAAGTAACAGCGCCGCTTTGGTGTCTGATAGGTGTTACACCCGTCTCCTTTTACAGCTGCACAGTCAGCACTCAGCACTAACGTGGTTTACCCTTCCCCGTCCATAGTCCAGAAAGCGTGATGACTCAAGCGCCTGCCCAGAACTCCAGCAACACATCGTTCCCGTCCTAAACCATTTTCCGGCCTCGCCCGGCCTGGTAAATTAGTCTCTCTCCCATCCCAGCCCCGTGGTCTCTCACCTGTACAGTTTGTGCCACCTGCTGGTACTTGGCGATGATCTGTCCGTGCTGCGACTGCCGTCCGGCCGAGCAGGCCGAGCTCAGCTCCTCGGCTCGGTCCGTCAGCGCGTCAATCTCCAGCTCACGGGCGCGCACCTCACCCTGAATGGCCTGTGGGAGCGGCGAGAGGGGACGGTTAGCGATGGGCAGACAGAGAAGACAGCGCTAAGTGCGCAGGGGTAACTGCCAGAGAAGACACTATTTTTGTGTGATAAGTAAGAACTGCACCAAAACACATTAATGAGAAGACTTGATGTTAATTGCGCCGGCAATAAGGATTCGTCGTAATAAACAGTGAGACGACTGTCAAAAAAGAACAGCTGTACGCCAAGTACCAGAACCTGGCTGCAGATTGACGCAAGTTGCGAGTACAAGCATAAGGTTCGGTTCATGTTACGGTGTAAACTTCACTGACTAGAAAACTGTGTAAATGATAATTTAAGGCGGTACAGTGATACGGTCAGCAGTCTCAATTTTACGGCAGTAGCCCGCGCGCCAGTCCGTCTCACCTGCAGTTCCTCCAACTGGTCCTTCTTCTGCTGCAGCGTGTCCTTGAGGTTGACGGCGTGCAGCTTCATGTCCGTCTCCTTGAGCCAGGCGGCCCACTGGTCCTTCATCTGCTCAAAGCGACTCCACTGGTCCAGCACCCGCTGCAGACCGTTAATGGCCGCCCTGTAAGTACAGGTAGTCGCCACACATCATATCAGCACCAGCGGGAGCACTCCCACTGCAGGGATAAGCACGACCCGCGCACTCCGCAGTCCGCAGCCACAGGTCAAGGAATGAGAGTACGGCGTTTGGTGAGCGCAATAGTCGAAACACGAGCATGGGTGGTTGTTTTTGTTTCCGAAATACACAAGGCGGCTCGATACGTTTGCAGATTGATTGAGTTGGCTGGGAGCCAGCGGTGTGATGTAGGCCCGGCATAATAAAGCACACAACTGCGACGGCAGTTTGGATCGACAGGCACGTTGGTCGTTTCGTTTGTCCCAGCTCAATATGAACAGCGGGGGGGGGGAGTAGGCTTACGCGCAGCATTGTTAAAAGTCGTCATTCATGTCCCAAAACTGGCTAATCTGGCTAAACTGGTAGCCCACGAAAGTGGAAAACGCACTGACGAGACACAACAGCCAGGTCGACTTAAAACATTGAACAATAACTACATGTAACTAAGTTGCAGCTGTCAATATCTGCTGAACCATTCAGCTGTTGATTGGACAAAAATACACATATCTGTTTAGTTTGCTATCTAGGGTCATTGCAACATCGATCCTACCAAAGAGGTATGTGATGTAAAAATGTTGGCGTGTATAAACAACGAAAAGTGTACCAAGAGACCAGTATTATCACAGCCAAGTCACAGTCATAACCTTCCAACAGGGTAACACATGTCAACAGCCACCACGCTCATAAAAACAACCGTTACCAACAATCAGAAATACGACCTCGCCAAAAATACACAATCTCGGAGTAAATCCAGGGATGAGTGTCGACCTGATGCGTGGTAAAATGTGCGGAAATGTACGATAAATGTGAAAAGTTCCCGTGCCGTCCGCGCGAGAAAACACATAGTGGCGGTGTCCCGCTATGCCACGCGATAATACAGCCGGGGCAGCCCCGGTAGGGTGGAGAGGCAGGCCCGCTAGCTACCGCTCGACCACCCGCGCGCCGCGCCACCGAGTGCTGTTAATAAAGCCACAGAGATAGTCCGAGAGAACTTACTCCAAGCCACGGCCTCCCCTAGAACAGAGCCGGCGGGGCGGGTTACTCATCGTCGGTCAGACTTAATGCCGGCCCTCCTTAAATACTAATACAGTCCTGTGCAGCTCAAAACGCTACTGGCGTTCAGAAAATTAGTTTGCATGACGCTAAATCGCAGCCAAAACCTATTCGTTGTATGTTTTATTAATGTTTTACAGTGTGATCCGAAGAGTCACGCGATGACACCCGACCATGAAGTGAATCGGTGACGTGTGTGACGAGGGAGTGTTGACGCCGTGAGTTCTCCTCCGCTGTGGGTGGGGATGGGCAGCAACCGCTGCCATGGTGTATCGTTGATGTTACGCGAATGCCAGTTACACACAGACACGAATGTTCCCTCTCTCCCACCTGCCGACACCAGTCAAGACCTCCCTCCCTATCCCCAGCTCTCCCAACTCACTCGACCGACGCCCCTCTCCCTCTCCCCCGGTGCCTCTCTACTCACTCTGCCGACGAGCTGAGCGCCTGCCACTCCTGTTCGGTGCTCTCCAGCTGCGCCCGCACGTTCTGCTGGCCCTGGGCGCTCGTGTTGGGGATCACCTTCTCACCGAGGGTCTGTACCAGGGTGACGCGGCCCGCCTCCTCCAGCAGGCCCGCCTTCAGTTGCTGTTCACACAAATCGGGAGAGAGCATAGCAGTCAGTACACACGTGAGAGGTAATACTACCCGGTCAGAGCGCACTTTGGGCGACAACCGCAGCTCGCCCAGTAACAGAGCGCAGAATATGCACATGGAAAGAGCTGGGCTTGGCGATGACTCGTCTGTGAGACACCAGAGCGTGGCAATCATTTTACTGACTTGATAGATTCAGTACTGACAATACTGACTGTACTGATTCGGTATTATTGTCAGTGACCTACAATACTGAATCAGTGAGTGATGTAGTCAAAGCACACTGTGCGCCGGATACAGCAAGTGCCTTCTCTACGTTAGTCTCCTTCCATCTCACTTGTCCGTCCGAGTACTGTCCCTCCCGTCTCACCTTCAGTTTGTCGAGGTTGGCGCGGATGGTGACGAGTTCTCCGTGAGCGCGGCCCCACATCTCTATAGCCGAGTGGGTGGACTCCAGAAACTCCTGGGCGTCCAGCACGGCCTTGGTGTACTGCTGGTGGTCGGCCACGATCGCCTCGTACCGCTCCACGCGCTCCTGAGACGTGGAGGTCACAAGTCAGAATGAAAATATGGTTGTACTCACAATCACAACTCACGACAGTCATCGCGGCAACACTTATAGAATTTACGATCACCTCACACCGCTACGACTTCGTCAACATGCTCAAACAGCCCTCTGTCTGACGTAATCCGCCACCACCACCACCACCGTGCGTGTCGTACCTGGACGGTCTCCAGCATCTCCTGGTGCTGCTGCGCCAGGCCGTCCAGCAGGCGGGTCACCTCATCAGTGCGGTCCGGCAGCGCGCTGGCCTTCTCACGACAGTCGGCGATCGCCTGCAGAAGGGGAAAACGACGGTCGCTTAGTGAAAGTGCGCGACAAAGGCGCTGACATACCAATAGGCCATCAGCAGCTGTACCCTAATTTGGAGCTTGAGAAGCACTTTGTTCACATTTAAGGCTGAAACAGACTCTTTCCGCGTTTAGGAAATCGCATGCGAGAGCCTATTCAAATACATTACCAGTAAAACGCCTTTTGGGCGACCAACGAGCGAGCGAGATAGTGAGCCCAGCACGTGCGGAAGGGCGAGAGGGTGCTTCCAACGGGCTTGCGCAAAGCACCCTTCTAACCGGTCGCTAGCGGTGTGCCAAATTTGAACGCAATCGGCCCAGCCGTTCCTGAGATCTGGAAGCGGCATTCTGCACGTGCGCACGTGCAAACGGAGTCCAAAATGACTTTTGCACGGCACCCTACTAACTGGTCCCCAACCGTGTACCAAATTTGAGCGCAATCGGACCAGCCGTTCTCGAGATCTGGAAACGCCCCCTGCACGTGCGCACGTGCAGTAGCACCCTAACTGCAACACATGGGAATGCATTGCCTGGTGGGTGCCTACCTGTATGCCAAGTTTCAGCGAAATCGCCCCAGTAATTACCGAGTTACTGAAATGGGAACAAATTTGGCACCTCTTATTGTTGTATTTTGCACGTGCACTGGGGGTGACCCACATGCATCGAGAGTATCCTATTTTGGGTAGAAGGGATGCTGCTACACTACAAAAATTACCGCAAGTCAATCGCCCAAGCGGCTGCTGAGATATGAGCCTCTCAAAATCACTACTTTTGCAAAACAGCTTGAACACCCTTGACTTTTCACGTGGCACGTGCCACGACGGTCACTGAGATGTATCAAAAGTAGTCAATTACGGGGTAGAAGGGATGGGGCTACCCAACAAAAAAGACCGCAGGCGTATCGGTCCAGCGGTTGCTGAGATATAAGCCTCTCAAAAGCGTTACAGGCCGGGCCGGGCCGGGCCGGGCCGGGCCGGGCCGCTCATACTGAGATTTTTCCGTTATATTGAAAAGACTCACTTCGCTCGCTGCGCTCGCTCGCTCGTAATAATTCTTCTCGCATCAATCGCTTGCGGGAGGTGCGTGCGATTGATGCGAGCGTGCTTCCTTGTATTTGAATAGGCTCTCGCATGCGATTTCCTGACTGCGGAAAGAGTCTGTTTCAGGCTTTAGGCCGGATTCGATGTCTCCCGGACGACTAAGATTCTACATCGTCCGGCCAATGGCGTTCGATGTCGGCGGGGACTGGGCTGCGGTTATCGAACGCCATTAGCCGGACGACGTAGAATCTCCGTCGTCCAAGAAACATTGAATCCGGCTTAATTTTTTGAACTGATTATGAACAAGCCGACGTTAAAAAATGCGAGTGACATTCTAAATAAAAATATGTTGTGGTTGAACTTCTGGTCAGACAAGCTGAAGCCATTCACTGACCTGCTGGTGGGACGCGAGGTCCGTCTCCACTGACCTGCTGATGGGACACCGGGTCCGTCTCCACTGACCTGCTGATGGGACACGAGGTCGTGCAGTAGCAGCCGGTACGACTGCAGCTGGTGGGATACGATGTCTCTATCCACTGACCTGCTGGTGGGACACGAGGTCGTGCAGTAGCAGCCGGTACGACTGCAGCTGGTGGGACACGAGGTCTCTATCCACTGACCTGCTGGTGGGACACGAGGTCGTGCAGCAGCAGCCGGTACGACTGCAGCTGGTCACATTTATCGTCCAGGGTGGCCTTCAGTTCGAGCTCCTGGCTGACTCGGGCGCGTGCCTCGTCCACCCAGCGACGCAGCTCGGCCGCCGACTCGTCGTAACCCGAGAACCTGGGATACACAGGGACACGGTGACGAACGCCACTGGGGGACGCCGGAGAGTCTGGCGCACGTCGCCAGAGCTAGACGTTTCATAGAGCTGAGAGCATATTCTAGTTCGTGGTGCAGCGGCACGGGCCAAATTAAATTAAATATTCCTAGAAAAATGTACATATTCACAATCATAAGTTAGTTAATATCCGACTTCGAACCAAAGAGGCCAGGAAAACATAATGTGCAACCCAGCCCCACTGTTGGCACAGCGCGGTCGACTCACTTGCTGTCGCTGAGCATCAGCTGTTTCTCGGTGGCCGCCAGCTGGTCGTACAGCGTGTCGTGCGCGGCCTGCAGCTGCTGCAGCTGCCCCTGCAGCAGCTGGCGGCCGTCGGGCGCTGTGGCCGCGTACAGCCGCTCGCCCAGCTGGCTGACAGCTGCCAGCTGCCGGCTGACGGCCGGCTGTCCGGCCAGCAGCTGCTGCACCGTCTGCAGCGACTGCTTCAGGGTGGAGCGGCGCACGGGAGCCGTCTGCGGACGGAGAGAGGAGCGTCAGATACAGAGAAGGACGGAAAGATGCTGATCGGCCGAGTTGGTTACCGGTGTTGGCTTCTAGCGATCAGCAGCAGGCGTCCAATTCACCGCCAGCAAACAATAATTCAAGACTGCAGGACTGTAGTTTTACGTAAATGTATCACGTGTACACTGTATAACTGCTGTCGTCAATTAATTTATACCACTATCAGCAGACACTTCACACCCGTCACCCATGATTTTCTCACCTGCACGGCGGCAAACTGTTCCTGGTAGCCGGAGAACTCGGCCAGAAAGGCGTTGTACTGCTGCACGTAATCCCGGTGCTGGCTCACCCCCTCTTCGTACCGGGACAGGAGGTCCTATCGGGAATAGAGTGAAACGTAAAATTACTAGCAAACACAATCACGACCAGACACCCATATCAAAACCAAGTTACACTCGAACGTTGATCATGATCTGAAGCTCCCCACGTCCTCTAATAACGATAATAATCATCATCATAGCCTGGACGTTGCCCCGTTGCAGGCTCTGACCTTGGTCATGACCTGGACGTTGTTGGCCCGCGAGACGGCCTGCTGTACGATGAACGTCATCCGGTTGTCGCCGCTGCTGCGGCTCAGCTCCTGCACGTCCGCTGCCAGTTTGTCCAGCCGCGCCTCCTGCTGGTGCAGACCGGCACTGAGCTCCCGGAACCGGCGCAGCTGCTCCTCCTTCTCCTCCAGGGTGTTCTTGTGCGTGTAGTGGTTCTTTAGCGTGGCCTCTGCCTCGTTCAACCAGCCGACCACCGACTCGAGCGCCGCCTCGCAGGCCGACCACTGGCCCAGCCGCGACTGGAACACGACATCGGGGTGTCATACACTGTTGAGAGAATGGCCAAGGCTGCAAAAATATCTACGAAAGAAGCAAACAGCTACTTGCGAATGAGGATCGACCAATTCTGTTCATCCTGCCAAAAAGTTGTGCCGGGCTCAGGCCCTGTAGGCTTGCCAATGTGTTAAATCGGTGATATTTACAATGACCAATGATTTACGAAGTTTACTTTTTCGAAAGAAACCAGCGGTCGCCCCCCACCCCTCCATATTCTCTCACCTGCAGCGCGTGCTGCGCCTCCTGTACGGCGAGCAGCAGCTGGTCGGCGCCGCTCTGGTGCTGCTGCAGCTCCCTCTGCAGCGCCGCCTGCCACTTCTCCGGCAGCAGCGGGGACAGGCGAGCCGCCTGGGCCGTCAGCGCCGACAGGGACGGAGCGCCGTCCGTCAGCTGGCGGCACAGCTCGGCGGCCCGCGCCGCCCGCTGAGACAGCGCCGTGCGGCCGCCGGCAGCGTCTGAGCGTAAGAGGAATGGGCGGTGTTAGACGGTGGACAGCACGGAGAGGTGGACATATGTGCAGCTGTTGCAATATGCGTCGGTGACCAACTTTTAGACTAGAAGTTCGACCATCTGCCATCCATCACGACTGTCTAACACAAAATATTGACAAGATTTCAATTTCATATCACGCCATTTTAGCGAACGTATCATCAGATTAACAGTGATAAAGCAAGAACAGAATGATAAGGAGTTACCACAGCAGTCTCTCTGCTCCAGCACGACATCTCACCTGAGACGGCCTTGATTTGTTCGTCGGTGGTGCGGTGCCAGTCCTGGTGGGCGCGCACCAGCTCCTGGTGCGCCGACAGCTGGTCCAGCAGCGTCTCTAGCCGCTCGCGCTGTCTCCGGCTGTCGGCGGAGGCGGCCTGGAGTCGGGCCGTGGCCGACTGGAGCGCGGCGCGGGCTGGTTCGGGTAGCAGGCCGCAGCGGGGCTCCACGCCGTCCAGCAGGCGCCGGTAGTGCGGCTCGTCCGACTGGGCCGTCTGGGGAGCGGACAGAGGTCAGACGCGGGATGGCACAGCGCGCAGCGACGGGCAGACTGCTAACAATGAACTGGAATGCATTTCGTGAGACATTTTGGGTATTGCCACCAGCAATTTAAGGAAACACAATACAAGACAAGCGGCATTGAAACATTTAAAATCTCACAACCCTAACCCGTTAAAAAAATACACCCCGCACCAGGATCATCCCCTTCAGTGACAAGGATCCACTCCATCACTAACCTTGATTTTCTGCAGTTTGGCCTTGAGCTCGGCCGCTGCGAGCCAGCTGGTGGGTTCGGCGGCCAGGGTTCGCTCTGTGCCGTCCAGCCAGGAGCACACCTGACTGATGGCCTCTGTGCAGGCCTCCTCGGCCCGGGAGCGAGCGGCCGCCTCCTGAAATACGTCACGATGCGCAAGTCAGCAGCGGTGGGGAGACGGAAGAATGGCAGAGCACGTATCGAGAAAGACAGCAGGGTGAAATTGTGAGAACGAAAACTGAGCTTGGAGATATTTAAGTTTAATGAATTGGAAAAATTAATTAAATAGCTGGGATAACCAAGTTTATCAGAAGAAATTAAATTATTCTAGAGAAAAACAGAGAAATAGTCAACAACGACAACGAACAGCCAGACTCGAAAGTCAAAGTAGCCGGCACAATTTTTGCAGCCATAAGTCACGGTGCCCGTTGCGGTCCGCTCGACACACGTTCAGAGAGCGAGTTGTGGTATTATTCCTACCTGTTGGGCGGCCCGGTTGGCCGCCTGCCGCGCCTCCCAGCCCTCCTTGGCTGAGCGCATCTGCTGTCTGACCAGATCCCGGCCGGCCGCCGAGCTGCCAGAGAACAGCCGCTCCCCGAGTGAGCACAGGCTGCTGACCAGGTGCTGGCCTGGAGCGAACAGAAGAGTGGCAAACGGTCAGGGCGGCAGATCGACATAGGGAGCTGGCGCCCAGCAGACTACCTAGGTAATTAGGTTAAAAACACATGATACTGAGCTGATGCAGCTTAGAGCCACAATAATGCCAATAAAGCCATCCGCTTTTTTTCAGACATAGACAGTCAATTGTACCTGGACTCTAACCAGTTCCTTCATGGTCTGGTCCATCTTACCGCGGTCGGCCTGCTCGGTGGCCGGCGTGTCCCGGAGCCAGGCCTCTGTCTCTGCCAGCTTCTCGTCGTAGGCGCGGTGGTCGTCCACCATGTTCTGCCACTTGGTCAGCAGGCTCTGGGATGCCATGTGCAGCTCCTGGTAGCGCGTCGACACCTGCTTTACCTGAGATGAAATCCAGACGGAAGCGACGTGATGAACTGGATATCGAACTCCAGGCGATAGTAAAAAAACGGCGAGATATTATAGCATACAAGCTGCAGACAAACTGTATGAAAACCTGAAAAACTGGAGACCAGAGCAGCTGATTAATGACTTCAAAAACGAGTTCATTCCCATCAGAAGCTCTTCCCACCTACCTGAGTGTTGATTCTCTCCAGCCCTGACAGCTGGGCCAGGTCGTTTCCACAGTCAATCAGCTGGTCAACGTCGGCCTCCCGACCGACGATGGCCTGCCGGGCCGCCTGTAGTCGCTGCAGCACTTCCATCTGAGGGAAGGTCGGAGGGATGGGGAGGCAATCATATGAGCTGCACCAACTGAAGCGTGGGTTTTCAGTCGACTATTGGCTCAAGCTACGCAAGTGGAAACATTTCATTCCGATATCTAACTGACTTGACGTTCTTTTCTGATCGAAGTTTCTGTTGCACAATGCACCGTTAGCAGCTGCAGACAATTGCCAGAAGGTCTACAAGTGTATTAATACCAAAAAATGACACCGAGCTTCTCGTCCATTGAGACGCCTTCGGCTCCCATCGTCTCACCTTCTCGTCGAGTGTGGCCTTGAGCTGCAGCTGGGAGAAGAGCTGCTCGTGCTCGGCACACCAGGCGGTGAGCTCGCGGTGCCGCCGCTCGTACTCTGCCCACTGGTCAGCCGCCTCCTGGAGCCGAGTGTCGGCCGCCGCTGGAGGACAGAGAGGCAGACAGAGGTCAGTCAAGGTCCACACAGGTCGAGGTCAGGGTTTGCACAGGTCAGCCGCGCAGGCCGACACAGGCCGAGGTTAGGTTCAGCATACAGGCCAAAACTCACATCCAGGGTCAGAGCGGATGTGATAGTCGGTTCAAGGAGGTGACAGACAAATCATACATCTAGGACAGCGCGGCATAGCATATTGCAAAAAAAAAGATAAAACCCGTTTACTAAAAAAATGCACTAGACATCTACGTTACAAATTTGACATACGATCCACCATCAATGTGAGTTTCGTCGGTAGTGCTCTGACCGGTTTCCTCCGCCCGTGCCCCTTCTGCATGCTCACCGCACTGCTGTTCGAACGCCTTCCAGTCGTCATCCAGCGCGGTGACAGCCGCCTGGAGCGCGGCGCCGCCCTGCTCCGAGGTGCCCAGTACGGTGTGCACGCAGGCGTCGTGAATCTTCTTCATTTGCCGGCGGCCCTGCGGCAGGCGCGACTGCACCTTCTGCCGAATGGAGTCAGGGGGACGGCGTTGGCGTTATATCGACAGTCGGACTAGCAATGTGACAGACAGAGAGCGAGAAAAACAGCGTGGGTAGAAAGAGGGTGGATAAAATTCAAATAGGAACGGGACGAACTTTGTCGTATTGCAGAAGAGTGGGTAAGTCATCACTTAATTGGTCGGAATACGAACCAGAACCGGTCATTAAATTATTAAAATATACCACACTCCTTATTTTACTTTTATCTGATCTCCAATCACTGAAATTCTTTACTCGCTTGCATTTATTGACACGATGTTGCATGATAACACCACAAATCAATCCATGATCATCCAGCACCTGCGGCTAGTATTTAGCAGTCGCCGCCCGTTCCATCTATAGCCTGTCCAAACACACAGCCCACCCACCTGCAGTGCGTCTCGCCGCTGCTGGACCGCCGTCGGCTCTCCGCTGACCGAGTCAGCAGCTGCCAGCTGCTCGCGCTGACCGGCCAGCCAGCTGGCCTGCTGACGGCTGGCCGTCTGCAGCTCCTCGTGACGACGGACACACTCGGAGAGGTGCTCCAGGATCTCCTGCAGCGGAGGAGCAGGACCGGCAGATACAGCGTCAGTGCATGACAGGTGGGTGGGGTAACACGAAACAAGTAGTGGCAAATTGCACAATGTACAATAACACGGCCATCAAGCTGCGATATCATAACGCGCTGTGAATTCAAATTGCTCGCAAGCTAGCGTGCTTCTGAAAACAAAATGACAAGCGAGCCCAAGAATACCATATGCTGCAAAATGAAAGCAAAAACAGAGACGAACTACATAACATAAGGTTACATTTAGCACAGTACACGAGACCACGCCATGTCGCCCACCTCATCTCCATACTGTCGCCGACCTCACCTTGGACTTGGTGCGTATAGTGTCGAACAGCGCCTGGATTGAGGTGACAAATGTCTGCAGCGAGTTGTCCTGGGTCTGAGCGATCAGCTCCCCGGCCCGCGAACAGACGTCGGTGACCAGTGACTGGTGGGCGCCGATCTCCTGGTCCGTCAGCTCGTGACTCTGAGGGACGGAAGGCAGACACAGGTCAGAGGTTATGGTCAGAGGTCAAAAGTTAGCATAAATAAAACAATGAAAGCGGAAGGCGGAGAGAAGGAGCGAAGAGAGAAACGAGAAAAGAAAATGTGACAAGAGTGAGAAAAGGAAAGAGATAGAGAAAGAATAGAAGAGGGAAAAAGAGGTGAGGGAAGGGAGAGAGAGAGAGAGAGAGAGAGAGAGAGAGAGAGAGAGAGAGAGAGAGAGAGAGAGAGAGAGAGAGAGAGAGAGAGAGAGAGAGAGAGAGAGAGAGAGAGAGAGAGAGAGAGAGAGAGAGAGAGAGAGAGAGAGAGAGAGAGAGAGATGCGGTCGTTCACAATTGTGAGCGCACCTGCAGCTGTGCCTGTTTCTCCTGCAGCGTGGCGCGCAGCTGGGCGTGCGCCGCCATCGCCTGTTCGACGTCATGCAGCCAGCGCGTCAGCTGCTCCTGCTGCTCGCTGAACTCGGCAAACTGCTGCAGACAGCTGTCCAGCCGCTGGCAGCCGGCCTGCAGCGCGTCAGAGAGACGCTCCCAGCCGGCGCGCACCGACCTGTGAGCCGGAGAAGGGTAAGGGGCGACGGTCAGATACGGATAGGGTCAGAGTTGTAGCGTCAGGACTGCCACCAGAACTGCAGGTCAAACCATGACAGGAGACACTTCTCACAAAGAATATGGGATTAAACGTTATGTTGACACTTAAAACGACCAGCTGCGGAAAAAAAAATGATGGCCGTTCCCACACGCTCGACTCACATGTTGTGGGCGCGGACGGTCTCCCGTCCCAGCGGTCCAGTGTGCGCGTACAGCCGCTCTCCCAGTGTGAGCAGAGAGTCGAGCTCGCCGCTGCGCCGGCACCACTCGTCCGAGAGCTCCTCGAGCAGACGGCGCCGCTCGCGTAACACAGACAGCTGGCCCACCACCGCGCTGCAGGGAACGGGCATTGTGAACAACGTGTGTGCGCATGGAGGGTCAGATGACAGTCAAACGGAATCAATATCAAGAAGCATTTGTCACAAATCGCTCGGCGAAATAGACTTCAAAAAAAAGAAGTACCGAGAAAGAAGCGATGCATCAGGAATCCTGTGGAATGCTTCCACCCGGTGGAATACTCTTCCATCTCACCTGTTTTCGGTCAGCTGCCGCTGCGCCTCCTCGATCCACTCGAGCAGCGCGGCGCGGCGCGACTCGTACTCCTCGTGTTCACCGGCCATCTGCCGTGTGCGCGCCGCCTGCTCCTGCAGCTGCGAGAGCAGCTGCTGACAGCGCGCCTGCAGCGGCTGCAGCAGGCCGCCGCTGCCGCCGCCCAGCTGCTGCGCCAGCTGCGACTGCCGCTCAGACACCTCGGCGCAGAGCGCCTCCAGACGATCCGCCTGAAACGGAACAGGGAGCACGGGTCAGCCAGCGTGATGTCCGGGATAGTTTACAAAGGAAGGCTCAACGGTGAAGATAAATTAGAGTTCATTATAATTCTAGAAGAGATTCGTGGATTCCTAGAAACCCAAACACAATATGATTCCAGCGTCCAAACAATAATAAGATTGTAGCATTCTTTTCCCCTTTAACTCTCAGAGTATGATTCATTTCAGTCAGCTGGAAGATTGCAGCACTTTCGAGTGAATGGTGTCTGTTGTTGATATAAGTCCTAAGCACCAATATCCCTATTGCGTCACTGTGTCTGTTTCCGTCAGCGGCGTTTTTTTCACCCACCTCTGCCACCTTCTCTGGCTGCGTGTCGAGCAGCGCCGGCTCTGCCACGGCCTGTTCCTGTTTCAGCAGCCAGTCGCCCAGCTGTCGGCTGCACTCCTGCTGCGCCTGCTGCTGCTGCTGCGCCGCCTGCAGCCGGAAGCGCAGGTCGGACACGTCTGAGATGTAGCGGTGGTGGTCGGCCTGCAGCCGGCCCATCTCGGCGTCCAGCGCCGCGCCACCCTCCGGCGCCGTGTCGGGACGGACCGCGTCCAGCGCCGCCTCGCAGGCCTTCAGCAGACCGAGACCCTCCTGGGCGGCCGCCTCGAGCCGCTCCACGGCCGGCAGCAGCGCCGCCGCCGGCTCGTTCTCCGCCATCACGGCGGCCAGCCGACCCTGCTGGGTGGACAGCCACTCGCCGACCGCCTGCTGCGCGCGCGCCAGCGCCTGGTGACGGTCCACGGCCGCCTGGGCGCGCTCCACCCGAGCTCCAACCGCCTGTTCGAGCGCCTCGTAGCGGCGCAGGCACTCTGCCAGCTCAGCGGGCGGAGCGCCGTCGGCCGCCAGCTCCGCGCGCTCGCGCAGCTGGGCCACCATGTGCTGACGAAGCTGTACCTCCTGACGGCGAGCCAGCTCGTCCCGCAGCACTGCCGTCTTCTCGGGTAGTGTGGCGCGCGGCTCCAGCTCCTCTTCCAGCTGCGCCTCGGCGCCGTCCAACCACGTCACCACTTGGCGGAAGCAGTCGTCGAACGAACTCAGCTGCAGCACCAGCGCTTCCAGCTTCTTCAGAGCTTGGTTGGCGTCGTCCATCAGTTTCTCCCAGCTGTCTCTCAGAGCGCGCAATTCGGCGCGAACCGTCTCCCGGGCGGCGGGAGCCAGCTCGGCCAGAAGCTGCTCGGCGGGAGTGGTGGCCGCGGTGAGGTACTGCTGGCCGTCGTGACAGCGACCCAGTGCCTCGCGCATCTCTTTCATGCGCTGCTGCTGGCCAAGGGTGGGTCGGCTGGCCGCCAGTACCGCCTCGTGTTTGGTCAGTTCCTGTCGCGACTCGTTCAGCCAGTTGGTCATGGCCCGCTCGGCCTGTCGGTACTGCTCTGCAGCCTCTGCCGCAGCCACCAGCCGGCGCTGCTGGGCGGCTGCCAGCCGCTGCTGGGCCTCCAGCCGCGCCTCCAGCTGCCGCGCCTGCTGCGGCGCCGCGCAGTCAGCGCTCAGCTCGGCGAGTTCCGCGGCCAGCGCGGCGGTCCGCCGCAGCGGCTCGGCCAGACCCTGGAGCCGCGTCACGTTCTGTTCCGCGGTGGCGCGGTGCGGAGCGATCTCGTCCGGTGACGTCAGATGTCCAGCCGGCAGCTCCGAGGCCTCAATCTCCGTCAGAGGCTGGCTGACTTCAGCCGCCGCTGTCTCGAACTCGGTCCATTTAGCCAGCAGAGCGTCGGTGCGTGTCTGCGCGTCAGCCGCCCGGCCGGCGACTTCGTCCACATCTGCACCATGCTGCTGTAGGGCGGCAGTGACGGCCGGCCGCCGCTGCTCCGGCAGCGCCGCCAGGTACTGGTCGGCCGTCTCGGCGAGTCGGCTCTGGGCAGCGCGAGCCGCCTCCAAACCCTGGCTGACCTCAGTCAGAACGTCCCGCCGAGTCTCCACGGCCGCTCGGTCTTCGGCCGGCGCCGACTCCAGCCAGGTCAGCTTGTCAGAGAGAGCAGACAACTCTTTCTTGGAGTCCTTGAGCAGCAGGGTGAACTTCTTCTCCAGTGAGCCACCGAGCAGCGCGGTGACTCGCTTCAGTTGTGTCTTGATGTTCTTCAGTTTCGCTGCCAGCAGCGAGTGTTCTTTTTGGTATGTACTGGTGGGTAGTCCCTCCTCCTTCATCGCGTCTATATCGGTTTGGATGGCGGCCAGCGCAGTCTCCAGCTCGGCCGCCGTCTCGGCGCACTCGTCAGCCGTCTGCAGGCGGGCCACCACCTGCTCAGGCGTTCCAGCCGGCTCGTCCAGCGTGGCCACTCTCTGGCGCAGCTCGATGGCAGACTCGGCGCAGCGGCCTAGCGCGGCGCGCAGTGTGGCCTCCCGCGACACCAGTCCGTCCAGGGTGGTCTGAGTGCCGCGCAGCGCCGTCTCCACCGCAGCCAGCTGTTCGGCCAGCCGCCGGCGGCCCGACTCGAGCGCCGGCACCTCAGAGGCGGACAGCAGGCGTGTCACCTCGTCCACCTTATCAGCAGCAGCCCGCGCGGCCGTCTGGTGTGCGGTCAGCTCGTGTCGGCACTGCTCCAGACGAGCGGCCGTTTCTCGCAGGCCAGCCGCGCCGTCGGCGGCCGAGCGCAGTGTCTGTTGTGCCGCCGCTGCCCAGCGCAGCCCCTCATCCTGTGCGCGCGCCGCCTGCGCCCAGAGCACCTGGGCAGACTCCAGGTCAGGCAGCGTGCGCTCCAGTTGAGCCCGCAGCTGATCAGATTGGGTCTCACGTGCTGACGCTTCTACCCTCTGTAGCTCATCTTTCAGACACTCCGTGAGTCCGGCAGCGGCGGCAGCGGCGTGCGCTCTCGTCACAGCGGCGGTCAGTTGCCGCCGCGTCGCCGCCAGCTTCTCAGCTGCACGCCGTCCGTCACTCAGACTCTGTTCTAGATCAGCCACGGCGCTCGGCGCGGTGCCCAGGCTCTGCTGGAACGCCTCTGCGCCGTCAATAGCAGCATTCGCAGCCTGTAGAGCGTCCTGTACGGCCTTCCAGGCGTCCCAGAGCGATTGGTGGCGGGCGGCTGTCTCGGTCAGGGTCTGCCGCAGGTTGTTCCAGGCGCGATCCAGGTTCACCACCTCCTCGTGTACCTCGGAGAAGCGGGCCGGGTCCGACTCCAGCACCGCCTGGCTCTCCTGGTGCAGTGCCTGAGAATACGGGGAGCGGTGTTGGTGACGGGATAGAAGATGAAAAATGTCCTTCACCTGATTATAGAACATTACTATCCCGAACTGGACAGGCCTAAGCTCTCTGCGAAGTGGCAAAAACCTTCCGTACCTTATACTAAAATTCATAAACGCGCCACAAATCGCGTCCTCATTCCACTTCCAATGTCACCCATCTCGCATCGTAACATCTCAGTTCCCCAGCCTTTGCTCACCTGAAAGGCCTCTGTCCTCGAGTCGGCCTCTCTCTGCGCACAGTCCAGCTGGGAGAGGAGCTCTGGCAGCTCCGCCAGCCGGGCGCAGCCGGCCTGCTCCGCCGACACCCGACTGCGAGTGGCCTCCAGCCAGGTGACCAGGCCGTCCCGGTCGCCGCAAAACTTCTCCCACACCTGACAATACACCGAAATCAATGAAAAATTAGATAAGCTGAAACTCATACTTACGGAGTAAATCTAACATGATGCCCTGTGGTACTGAACACGAACAATGAGCAAAGCATGCAGAGCGGTGAGATAATTACCATTAATGACTAACTGCAGCGTACATTTTTTATTCAGCTCCGTCGATATGTCAAACAGTTTCATTGCTACAAACAAACAAACAAAGACCATGAAAGCGACCACCCCGATCGTGCCGCAGCCGCACCTGTTGCCGCTCGGCCAGCCGTCCGTCGTGCTCGTCCAGCTGGTCCAGCAGCTGCTGCAGGTGGCGCAGCGTGTGGTCGCTCAGCTCGGCCGGCGGCTGCTCCAGCTCGCCGCGCAGCACGGTCAGACCGGCCCGCTCGGCGGCCGGCGCCAGCGCCGCGGCCTCCGCCTCCAGCGCCGCCTGCTCGCTCTGAGAGAACACACAGACGGATGGGTGGGGAGTCAGAAGTTAGCCGGGCTACGCACACTGCACGAAACGAGTGAATCAGTTCGTAGATCGACACAGCTGTGCCTGAAGGATGGGAAGTGTTTGGAGCACACACACGGCGGTTAACATGTAGTTTTACATAAATATCTAACACGAGTGCCTAATCCGCACAAAGCAGCTGACTTTTTGTCTTTTGACAAAACATTTTTTGACAGACTCTTTGTCCGCTGCACTTCTATAACAATATTCGACGTGTTTCAATACCAATTCAATTAAGCCCCCACCCACCCACCCCCCTAGCATCATTCACATCACTCGCTGGCAGGTACTAGCGTCGCTCGACAAGGCTGCACCACTTACCTGCAGCGTCACCAGATCCTGTTTGAGCTGCGGCACCTTCTCGGCGGTCAGGGAGTCGGACTGGAGTCGGTCCGACATCACCGATAACTGATCGCCCAGACGCTTACTGAAACACACCGCAGACACCTCAACAGACTCGCTAAAAAAGACATCACACGCAAGATAAGACGGTAGACAAAGTACAGATAAGCACAGCTCCCATCAGATATTGTTCTATGAGGAATTCAAAACATTATTTTCTTTTTTCATCATTTCGCTCTTGCGTTTATATTAACCACCTTTTCATTCTGTATTTTGTTGTCGATTTCACAAGTAAGCCGGCCTAAGAAAAAATACGGCTAACCCGAAACGTTGCCATCAGACAAGGAATCCAGGGTACGGACCTGTGCGAGGCCAGCTCTGCCCACAGTCCCACGGCCTGGTGTCTGTGTCTGTGTCCTGTTAAACGGACCTGTGTGATGCCAGTTCGGCCCACAGGCCGACGGTCTGGTGCCTGTACGCTGTTATACGGACCTGTGCGAGGCCAGGTCGGCCCACAGTCCCACGGCATGGTGTCTGTGTCTGTGTCCTGTTCTACCGACCTATGAGAGGACAGCCCAGCCCACAGCCGGTCGTTGTTATACGGACCTGTGCGAGGCCAGGTCGGCCCACAGGCCGACGGCCTGGTGTCGGTCGGTGACGGCCGTCTGCGTCTGGCGCGCCGCTGCGCACAGCTGCTCAGAGTGGTCGCGCAGCTGGGCGTTCTCCTTGGACGGCCGCTCGTTGTAGAGACTGGTGGCGTCCTCTCGGACTGACTCGCAGTTCGGTAGTTTCTGAGGACGCGGCGGCAGCGATACACCGTCAGCCAGGATTTACTGACCATCTGGAGGGCGCTATTCACAGCTAACGGCCTATAAATATAGTTAACTGATGCCACAGGGCGCACATCATTACAATGGATCCCCGTTGATAATGTATCATGGAAAAATGGCAATATTTGAATATGCAAATGGTAGCAAGATGAGAAGAAACAGCAATAATAATATATGTTCCCACACCTAACACTGAACACAAGTCATTAATTAAATTAAATAATCGAGGCTACGCCAGCTACATTTCGAATACGTCCAAATAACGCCAAATATGCCATCGAAAAATAAAAACTGCAAAACACGTGAACAAATAAGCTTCTTTCGTTACGACGAATTTTATTTTGAATCCTTTTGCTTCGGTATAATCTGGCGCGGCGAGCTATCTCTCACACAGAAAAGCATAATAAATACGAGGGGGTATCGGAAAGTTCTGATCATCACCTAGAAGATGTAGACCGATCTTGATGATTTTTGGTTGGTATTATATTTGGCTCTTAAGAACAATGCTACCGCAAAGAGAATCCTGAGAAGTGGTTTTATCTAATGTAGGAGAGACTTAGAAGCAAAAAAGATGAGTATTGGGCCCATTGAGGACCGAACCGTCATCCAACTAATGGATTTGAAACGGTATCACACTGAGAAAATACATCAAGAACGTAAAATCAGTTTATGGCGAGGAAAGCCCATCTCATGCACTTACCGAAAACGAAGAAATAATTTTCAACTTGGTTGCATGGCCCTTGCAGGGGAGTCAAGAAGTGAGTGGCTACCAGTGACTGACAAGGTGGTGACTGTGAAGGAAGTGGAGGACCTCATCCTTACAGATCGTCGTGTGACCTTTCAGATGATTTTGCAACAGAAAGGTCTCAATGCTGGCAGTGCCTGAAAATATTATCAGCGAATAACTACAGACGATAAAGGAGTCAGCCCGCTTAGAAGTTCGTGTGCCTACTTTGTTCAAGAGAAAAATGCGTCTTGGCCCTTCGAAATCAAAACTAGGCCTTTTTTAGGAAATTGAAGACATCTTCGATAATTTGATGACTTGTGACGAATGCTGGGTCTATGTGCATGATCCAGAGACAAAAAGATGATCAAGAAATTTAAGCACAGCACATCTGTCCTTCTTAAAAGGCGAAGATGCAGAAGCCGATATGGAAGGTCAATGCTATCAGTGTTTTGGATCTGGCGTAGGATAGTCATTACCGACTGTCTTGATGATGGTCGGATAATGATAAGCAAGCAGCACTGCACACTTTTGAAGAAGTTGCGAGATGGCCTCAAGCAGAATCGCCGCAAAAAAAGCCAAAGAAAGATGTTTTATCCGCACCGACAGCGCTCCCGCCCATTCGTCCTGAGCTGCGATTGAAGAAAGAACATGATGTGGACATTAAATCCTACCGCATCTAAGAAATTCACCTGACCGGGTATTAACTGACTCTTGATTGTTACGGGAGATGAAGAATCCACAGTATGGCCGGTGATTTAAGGACAGAAATGACGTCATTGATGAGGTGGAGCAGTGATTTACGGGACAGTGCGAAGGTCCTACAATGACCGCCTGAGGCAGCTCAAGACGCGATGCAATAAGTTTTCGATCGTGTGTGGTGACTTGTAAAGGAGTAATGAACATCATGTAAAAAAATCAAATTTCTATCACATCTCATTCGTGGTGATGATCAGAACTTTTCGATACCCCCTCGTAAGAAGACAAGTTCCAGAATTATATATTTTACTCGAGTATGACAATCACAACATCAAATATTGAAAACTCCTCAGTGATAATGTTCCAAGTAGCATTATGCTGCCGGAAAAAATAATTATTAAATAAATCGATCATCAATTAAGCCATCGAAAATGGCTCAAGTCGCTATCTTTGAATCACTGGAGCTCGAGTCGCGCCCGAGTGTACACTGTACAGTACAGCCACAGCCGCGTTCGTCTGATCTGGGGCCACCAAAATTGTCAACCCAGACCGACGAGCGGCGGAAAACAGTTATACGGACTGACTAGTGACTAGAGACTAGACAAAAGACGTCTAAATCGTGCACGCGAGGAAACGCTGCCTTATCCCTCGCCACTGCCTCCCACGGAAGCCCGGCGGGCCGCGTATTCTCACCGAAGTGAGCTCCTGCTGCATGGCGGCCAGCGATGTGAGACACTCCCAGAGCGAGTCGATCTGGACCCGGTCAAACTCAGCCAGCTGGGTCTTCAGGCCGTCCAGCCAGCCGGTGAGCGCCGTCAGACGACGGTACGTCTCCTCCCTGAGAGCGAGAGCATTAGGACATTTGCGTCACGTAATGCGCATCAAGGAGGGTTCAATTTGCATGACACACATGCCATGCGATATAACCGCAATAAGAACATGTCCCAGTTGACGCATGATTGGTGTGCGTACGTTGGTTGCGCCGTTATTGAAGACGGACAAGCAGAACATAACGGAAATGACACAGCTTGCTAATCGTAGCCAAATTGCAATGACTTATCCATAGACAGCATAAAACTATGATGTGCGAAGCCCCTTTTTCCCTTCTACCCCGCGGTTCTCCCTGCCCTTCCACCTCTGGTCTCCCTTTCCATCTCCTCGGCACCCACCTCTGACTGGCAGCGTCGGCAGTCTTGGCCTGCCTCTGCCTCAGAGTCTGGTTCAGCTGGGAGACCTCGGAGCGCAGGGCAGCCACGTGAGACCGGAGCGCGGCGGCGCCCTCCGGGTTCAGCAGGTCGGCCAGCTGGTCACAGCGCTGCTGGAGGCCGAGCACGGCCGACTGCCGGCCGGGCAGCTCACTCACCGCCGGCTGCGGCAGCGCGGGACGGGCAGGGAAAGTTAGCGGGTGGGACGAGCCATGACTCCAACCGACACTCGATAGACACACCGTTCTGGCCAAGGAAGTTCACGTGCTTTAGAGTTGGTGAACAACCGATTGATCTTGAATTTGTGTGCAGCCTGCTATATAAAGAGCGTTTTTGCTTTCGCACCATTAACCAGTCACTTTTGCTTTTGCACTCAGATTTTCCCATAAATCATCGCTGCAGCGAAGTACACAGCACTCACATACTTGCCTACCTGACCACAGCACTACACTAGGACCATAATTTAAACTTCAAAATCACTCTCTCTGACCTGCAGTGTATCCAGCTCCTGGCTGGCGTCAGGAACGTCTCCCTCGGCGGGCACTGCGGCGCCCACCTCGTCCAGCCACTGACGTACTGAGGACAGCTCCGTGTGCACGTCCCTCAGAGCGGTCACCAGACTCTGGCGGACGAGGAACAACGGTCAGCGACGCATCATTGGGAATATGGGAGTGATTGCTGAGCCGGGCCATCGAAATTGAAAGAAACATCATAGCTGACCGACTCCGGAAAGTGAGGTTGAGTGGAGCTGGACGCAGCGGCCAGCGAACGTTGACATTGATCAGTGAGCTGGAAGGTAAGCATAAGAGTCTTGCAAATTACCCCAACTTCACAGCTTTAATTTGGAAGTTCAACACAACAGCAATAACGGAAGGTCAGGGCGTGCTCATGTACGCGTGTATAAGTCGACAATTAATTAAACAGCTGGACAGCATTTTGGAATCCCCGCATCCCCAGTCACTGTCTCTTGTTCAGTCACCTACCTGCATCTGCTGCACCCAGGCGACCGATGTCTCTCGGACCTTTGTCCAGCGTGTGACCAGCGAGTCGGCCTGGTCCGAGACGTTAAACACCTGAACCATCTGGGCACTCTCGTCCACTATCACCTGAAAACAACGGTGATGATGATGATCATGGTGATGCTAATGATAATTATTCAGGTTTTAGAATTAGAGTGGCAACTCAGCATATTCACCAGTTCAATGGCAATGACAGTCTAACTTGCATTCCTGCGATTGAGCCGAAAACTTCAGGGAGCTATACCAGATGGCTGTGCAAAATGACGTCCTCACGATCAGACATTGACGTCGTACACGTGGCATGTAAGCCCTAGTCTGCCCATGACAGACTATCACCATCCACCCGCCGCAGAGTATCTCTCCAGCCCCAAACAATACATGCTCGCAGCGCCAGCATCCACTGCAGTGCACCCCTCACCTTGACGGCCGGCTCCTTGTCGACACACTGGTCCTCAAAGTGCTGGCACTGCTGCAGTATCTCGGCGGCCTCCTCCAGTTGAGCGGGCCGCGGCAGGTCGGCGGCCACCTTCTCCTCTGCCCAGTCCAGCCACGGCACCAGCTCACCCACCTGGCGGGGCGGCACGATCAGACAAATGCTCAATGGAGTGACATGGTTGGCTTCCTAACCTTACCATGTCTCCCGCTTCCCCACCGGGCGTCTCCAAACGTTCCCATAGCAGCGCAGTCCAAGTCCCAAGACGAGCTCGTTTGCAAGATAAGTCATCATGTACAAACTCACAGGTAGGGCGCAAACAGCCGCGCCGAATACGCAGCCCTGATCAGAGTTTAGAATTGTGCCGCTGAAAAAGCTGTAGGAACTTCACTCAAAATCACAATAAAAAAGTGAGCAGATGGCGCCATGTCGAAATCACGCTGAGATGATAGCGCAAACAACTATATAAAAAAAAAAATGGACAACACCAGCAGCTCATTAGAGAAGCAGGGCCGCGCGTCCCAATTTCCAACTATCCGCACTACTGAGAATACAGGCTACACCGACCCATCTGGACGTGTCCAACTCTTACCTGTTCCTGGTAGGTGTGCCAGTGTTTGTACTCTCACCTGCTCCGGGTACGTGTACAAGTGTTTGTACTCTCACCTGTTCCTGGTAGGTGTGCCAGTGTTTGTACTCTCACCTGCTCCGGGTACGTGTACCAGTGTTTGTACTCTCACCTGTTCCTGGTAGGTATGCCAGTGTTTGTACTCGTCCTCGAGCACGGCGCGCTGCTGGGCGGCCGCCTCGCTCATATGCTGCAGCGTGTCTCCCAGGATAGCCAGCTCACTCCGGAACTGGCCGCCGTCGTATCCCTCTGTGGTGGAAGTCGGGCGAGCGCGAGTCAGTACCGAGGTAAGTGTGCGATGATACACATGGTGGCATGATATGTTGATTCTCTCCTCCCAGACGTCGTACATCAGAGTGATACGAGAGAAAGCAGACCGATAATTTCTTTATGCCCCATGAACGGCTTCTAGCCCAGGTCCAGGCTCTAGGGGTGAATGCAAAGACTCATCAGTGGATAAGGAGTTTTCTAACAGGCAGGCGGCAAAGAGTGAACGTCAATGGATCACTCTCAGACTGGGAGTATGTAACAAGTGGAGTGCCGCAAGGTTCAGTGCTCGGGCCTCTCTTGTTTTCCATGTTTGTCTGTGATGTTCCCGACCTCTTAAATTGTCATATCTCTATGTTTGCGGACGATACCAAGGTCTATCAAGTCATCAACGAGCGCGATGGTGAACTTCACAATCTGCAAGAGGACATCAACTCTTTGCAAGATTGGGCAAAAACAATGCAGATGATCTTTCATCCACTCAAGTGCAAGGTCATGCATCTAGGACCAACAAATCCTGGAAGTGAGTATACCATGACAACTATGGGTGGAGGCAAACATACCCTTGAAGCAGTCTGTGAGGAAAAGGACCTGGGAGTCACTATAGACATGAAGCTATCCTTCTCAAAACATGTCACTAACCAGATTAACAAGGCCAAACAGCGACATTTTCAAAGCCTTGTACAAAAGCATTGTCAGGCCCCACCTCGAGTATGCAACTGTTATATGGAGTCCCAAGTTCAAAAAGGACAAAGATGCACTCGAACAGGTGCAGCGGCGGGCAACAAGGCTGGTGAACGGACTGTCTCACCTTTCATATTCAGATCGCCTCAGGAGCCTTAATTTACCTACTCTGGAATTCCGACGGAAACGGTCGGACATCATCGAGACCTTCAAAATTTTGAAAGGCTTCGACAAGGTGGACTTCCAAAGAGAGTGCCCGTGTTGTCACAACAGCATGTTCAAGAACTCTCTCAGCCGTGTCACCCGAGGTCACGATCAAAAACTTCAAGTTCAGCATCAATTGGGACCCAGAAAAGCCTTCTTTGCGGCACGAGTAACTCAGACATGGAACAAGCTGTCAACCCACACCATCGATGCTCCAAATGTCGATGTGTTCAAGTACAGACTGGGGAAGGAATGGAAGGACCACCCTGAAAAGTTCAACTACAAGTTCTCATACTAATGATCATCGTGGCCATCAATGTATGGCCTCATCTAGCATGGCAGTCTACTCGTCTTCGTCAGAAGAAGAGGAGGCATCTCTTGAGTAAAGGGTCTGATTACTCGAAAGGGTACCTAATGACCTTTACTTAAGGTAAATACTTAAGGTAAATAAGGTAAATACTATATAATAAAGGTAAATACTTAAGGTAAATACTTTATACTGAGAACACGTCACACTCATTTGCCGAGATATCTTATGCGGTCATGAAAACAAAGATCAACGTCATCTCAATAAAGCAACGCATTCACACCACATCGTGAACAAAATATACGTTCTCATTAGTTTGTCATGTTCCATACCCCTCGAAAAGTGTCCCGCTCTTTCTCTCAACACCGTTACCTGACTGCAGCGTGTCCATGAGTTCGTTCAGCTGCTGGCGCTCCTCGGCGTGCTGCTGCAGCTGCTGGGTCAGCTGCTGCAGCTGCTGACGGCGAGTCTCCGGCGGCATGTCCAGGGTGCTGAGCCGCTGTTGACTGCGCTGGGCCGACTGAAGACCCAGTCGCACCGCCTCCACACGGTCGCTGACCTGCGGGCGGGTCAAGTCACAGGTCACATACAGAGCTCTCTGAAAGGTCACTGAACGTAAATAAAAAGTTGATCCGGGAGACTTGCACAACATTATTACACCAAGGCGACCAGAAGCGTCTCCCAATGGCTGAGCTTTCAAGGTGATCTCTTCACCTTTCACGGTTGACAGCAAAACAACCCTCATCGCTCCTACTCCACCAGAGTCCCAGGTGGTGACACAGCGACTGCAGTGTTGCGCCTCTAGACCAGCCCTATCACCACACATGGTCAAGTCTTCGCGCCCGTCGCTTACCTGCGCCCAGGTCTGCGCGGCACTGGTGAGGTTGTCCATCTTCTGTTGCAGCTGCTCCGAGACGGCGGCCACGTCGGCGTCACTCTCCTCCACCTAAGCAAGGGTGGGATACGCTCGTCAGCACACAGAAACGCCAATCAGGGAAGCAAAAGGGACAAGCCGACTACGGTCCAGACAACCAACAGACAATGACTGAGGACAATAACAGTTAGTGATATTCAATCCCGACGCACTTCATCAGGACACCAGAAAACTTCTCTCATCAGCCAGTGTTATTCATAACTCACCTGCTGTTTGAGCTGCTGGGCGGCTTCGGGCGCCAGCCGGCCGCCGAGCTGCTGGGCGATCTGCTGCAGCCGCTGCTGCATCTGGCGCGCCCGCTCCGGTTGCTGAGTCTGTACGTGCGCGGCCAGCTCGGCCAGCGCCGGGCCCGGCTCGGCGGTGTCGGCGGCAGCGTCCAGCGCTGATCGGTGTGTGGCCAGCGCGCACTGCAGGTCGGCCCGCCGGTCGGCCAGCTCCGTCCACAGCCGCTCCGTCTCTGACGGGTCGGAAGGAGAACGGTTAGACAGGTTAGACAGATGTCAGACATTAAACGACCGTCAGATGAGTCAGACAGACACTCCGATAGGGACACGGCATTAATTTTCTCCGAATTAATGCCTCTCCGCCGAATTAATTCTCTTCGCTATTATAGTTTCTCTGATATCGAAATTATAATAGCGACGTCTTTCAGTGACACGTACACTGAACGGACAAATAAAACAAGCTCAGTGCCTATCGCAACCTTTTCACACCAGCTGTGCCCTTGTCGCCCGCCCTTACCCGTAGCGCTGTCCAGTCTCTGTATGACCTCGGCGTTGCTCTCTGCCCAGACGAGCTCCAGTTGCTCCAGTGCCTCGGGCAGCAGTGCAGGCGCCTGGCTCAGGTCCCGGCTCAGGTCCCGGCCGCGCTGCACGGCCGCCAGCACGCGCGGCCGCTGCTCCTCGAGTCGCTGCACGGCGCGCTGCTGCTGCTGCCTGCTGTCGGCCAGCTGATCGGCGCTCTCCCAGACAGTGGGCACCGCGGCCGACTCGGCACGCGCCTCGTACAGCACGCGAACGATCTGACGGGGTGGGACAGGGGCGAACACAGGCGGGGTTAGCCAGCCGGGTAGTCGAGCTCAGCTGCAGTGTCTGTGCCGCACACAGATAGCGATAGCTATAATTGAAGGCTTGCAATGACACCCAGACTTCATTAGTCGCCAACACAATAAGACAGTATCTGCTGAGCCACTGAAAGACATCGAAATAAGTCATCCGATTCATTTAAAAGCATTTCATTTTTCATGTCACTACAATAATATTTGCAGTGGCTGCCATGCCGCTGACTCAAATAAGACGCACGAATAGTAGCAAAATCTGGAACAATCCTGAGATAACACCCTAGCAACCATCCCAGCGCCAAACCTGTGCCCTCCTCCGTCTAGCTGACGGCGCCCATCCGCACCCACCTCATCGATCTCGACTCTGTAGCTGTGACACTTGGCCAGTCCGTCCAGGCGGACGGCCGTCGTCTCCAGCCTCGGTACCAGCTCCTTGTATCGCATCACCAGTTCAGAGAGCTGCTGTCTCTGCGTCTCGGCCTCGGGGCCGGGCACGGAGGTGACCAGCGCGTCCAGGGTGGACACCAGCCAGCGCATCGTCTGCTTGCGCTGCGCCAGCTCGCCGAACACAGCCTGGGGAGGGAGAGGAGACTGAGTAAACGGCAGCGCAACGACCAGCACCCGATTCTAAGCATGTCACTGTGTCAAAATGAGACAGAATGGTGAATATAGTGATTATAATATATGGTTAGCCTTTACAGCTAACCTGAGTAGAATTACAAGAGTGGTCGACGCTATGAATATAGTCTAGGCTATGAGTTGTATCACTCGACCTGTCGTCAATAAGATTAGGTTTAAGCATACATATATCGCTCCTAGATGGGTGCCCCATGACCCCCCACCGGCCACTGGCATGTCCCCGTACCTCCCTCCGTCTCCCAGACTTCCCACCACCTCTGACGGCAGACCACCCACCTGGAACTGGTCCCTGGTGTGCTGCAGCTGCTCCGGCGAATCCACCGTGTCGATGTCCGTCTGCAGACTCTTCTCCACCGCCGACAGCCAGTCGGCCGTCTGCTGGCGCCTGAAACGAATATAGGAACGCTAGTCAGCCAGTCAGGCGAATACAGCATGAGTCGGCTTTGATGGCGTATCAGCACAAGCTTTATTTATTCCTCCCTCCCCAGCCTACTCTTGGCTGCTGGCACCGGTATCGTAAGTTGATACTCGTCCAGCGCACCCGTCCGCGCCCCGGCGTTGAGCTCCCGACCGACTGACCTCTGTTCGTACTCGTCCGCCGCACGCGACAAAGAACCAGGTGTGCAGCGTTCACTGACCTCTGTTCGTACTCGCTCCATCGTGCCGACATCTGCTCCAGCTGACTGCTGACGGAGTCGGATCGGCGCTGGAGGTGGCGCCACCGGTCCTCCAGAGAGCGGAGCTGGGTGACCACCTCCCGGTCCTGGGAGCCCAGCTGCTGACATGTCTCTCTGTAAGACGGACACCACAGTCAATTAGCTGGGTGACCACCTCCCGGTCCTGAGGGTCCAGCTGCTGACACGTTTCAATGACGTAAAACATAGCAGTCAGCACGCCAAGTCCCAGCAGCCCAGGCTGCTTTAGCCCAGCCTCCCTCCCCATGTGCCTAGCTTTGAGTCTCCTTCCCTTCCCCTCCCACGCTCTCCCGTACCTGGCGTCTGCCAGTTTTTCTCCGATCCGCTCTGCCAGCGGCTGGACGGTGCTGCGGTGCCGCTCGGCCAGCTGCGCCAGCTCCCCGCCGCGGTGGATGGCGTGGTCCTCGTCCGCCAGGTGCCGCTCCAGCTCCGTCAGCTGCTGGCTCAGCTGACTGAGCGTGGCCAGCACCTCCAGACGGGCCAGGTGCGCCGGGCCGCGCTCCACCGTCCGCTGCCAGAGGCAAGCCAGAGTAACAAAACAGAGCAGAGCACAGGTGAAAACGAATAAATAGGCGGTCAGACAGGCTAGGGTGGGGCGGTGTGTTCCAAAGGGTTAGCGTTTGAACAGCAAGCATCATCTGAGCTATCTTCAAAAGAGTTGGTGCCCAAAAAAAACAAAAGCTAGATAGACATTACGCCGATCCGTTACCACTGACTCCCCATGATCCTGCGTCCATGCGAAAACCCTCGCAAGACGTGCTACACTTCCTTCCAAACATCAATGCCGTCAACCGCGGGACACCACAGATGTGATATACAGCAGTCACAGCCAGACTTGTAAGCGATTCAATTCTGATTGAATCGATTCTCATGAATCGCTTGAAAATGCCGACTCACTGTGATTGAGTCGGTTGAATCACCTCTTGTCACCATATGAATCCTGATTGAATCGGTCACACATGGCAACTGCTAGTGATTGAATCGGCAACTCATCAATTCAAGTTGATTGAATTAATAAAATGATTCAATCAACATGTGCTGGAAATTGAAGTTATGACCATATTTAGTACTATATTATGTAGAAATATATGTGGCATTTGCATCATAGTCACACACAATGCACTGCAAAATTTTTAGGTATTTTGTCAGTATTATAAATGCGCACAGCTATTAGTATTGAAAAAACATAAAAATTTTGTTTTAAGTTTTTAATCAAACTGTAAACGCAAAATTATACATAAATGTCAATGCATGAAGATGAAAAAATGAATGTAAAGTTTCTTTCAAGTGCCCTAAAATCAGTATAGTAATCAAGTTAACAGTAGCAGTAAGCAGGCGCACATTGCTCAACACACATGTTTTAGATACCATGTTAATCTTTATATTTTCAATACCCTGTTTCATCAGGACATTTGTGAGCAAGCATAGATTTAGTACTTTTCTATGTTTTTTGGTATTTTCCTAGTGTATTTGGTTGGTATCAGTTTCCAAAAATGTCTTAAATTGATATCACATATGTATATATTTTATATAACATCTTGATTGAATCGCGTTGAGTTAAATTATGAGTTGAGTCATTCCCTGAATCACTGATAATGGGATGAGTCGTGACTGAGTTGAATCACAAGGTCCATGAGTCGTGATTGAATCGCTTGGAACATCAGACTGTTTGATTGAGTTATGATTGAATCGGTCATTTCATCAAGTGAGTCGTGATTGAATTGATTTAATTTTTTTGAATCGTTTACAAGTCTGGTCACAGCTGCGGTGGCCCCTGTATCAGAGCGGACCCTGCACCGTCGTCAGTACCAGGGCTGCGGAGTCGGAGTCGGAGTCGGAGTCGGAGTGGGTCAGAGTCGACAGTTGTGACCGGAGTCGGAGTCGGAGTCGGACCTGGTTTTGAAAGCCGGAGTCGAAGTCGGAGTCGGAGTCGCCGAAAATCCATCGACTCCGCAGCCCTGGTCGGTACGCACCTGCCATCGGTCGTGCAGTCGGGCCACAGTGGCCTTCACTGGCTCCCGGGCCTCTGGTGGCAGCGACTCGAACAGCTCTCGGCCGCAGTCGCTCAGCTCGGTCAGACGCTCCGTGGGCGCCTCGTAGAATACTCGCTGTGGAGGGAAACCCGTGGTCAGTACGCGGTCACTCACAAACCGTCCGGCAATCTAGCCGCCTCATAAGCAAACAATTCCCCACCAGGCATTTTTGGTCAGGGAGATGTCATCATGGACGTCAAAATTGGTCATATCGGAGAGCAGCAAGGCGTTTTCGATTCGCCACTATAATAATTCGCCTGCAGCCTCTTTTCAAACACCGGAGATCGTTATCCCACAGTCTCTGTTCTAAGTTGTTCCATCCCGTCTACTGCCTTGATCATGAGACCCCCTTTTGCCGCCCCCTACCCTGTTGCCGCCGTCCTATCTCAGTCTCCAGAATCTCCACCCCGCAGGTCATCAGGCGCCGCCTCGCCATACCCCTCCCATAGTCTCCCCTATCTCAGTCTCCAGAATCTCCACCCCGCAGGTCATCGGGCGCCGCCGACACCTGTCAGACTGCGGCACGTGACCTAATGGTCCCACAAATAGACAATGCCCAGCGCTGCAAATCACCCACTGTCGGCGCGCCGCTGTATATTTACACAGGGCACCGGGTGTCAGACGGTGCAGGGGACACGGGAGGGCGACTCTGCCCCGGCGGCGTTCACTTTCACCACGGCGCAGCGGGCGGCCAATGAAAACAGTCAATGTCACGGGTCATGAGCGGTGACTGACGGACTGCGCTGCCGTCTCTGAGCTGTCAGCCGACCGCCCGGCCACCCAGTGGTGTGGTGAGTCCGCAGCGGCGTACGGAAAACGGGCTGGGATAGGGGGATTTTGACATTCCAACGACCGAAATAATTGTACAGTGATTCACAGTCTATGACTGCGACGGCACATCGCGGTCTAGAAAACGTTTCAAACAGACAGTTATAGACACACAATGGAAAAAAAATATAGCAACGCTACACCCCACCAAGCGCACGAATATAGCCCGCAACCATTAAATAAACATCAGCCAAAACGGTCGAATAGTGAGCTAGCGACTAATCCGGAATGACAAGCTAGTACAGACCCAGTGCATACCTGTCGGACATTTGCCAGCATCGGGCACCTGAATACAAAGCGTCACTGCTGCAGCTCCCCGCTGTACACTGTCTGCTGTACTTACCTTGTGCTGTTCGACGGCGGCCTCGGTGTCGGCGCGCTCCGTCAGCAGCTGCTCGGCCACCTCCAGCCACTCTGTGACGCCCCGCTCGGCGGCCTCGAACCGGCGCCACGCGTCAGAATAGCTGCTCAGCTCCTGGGAATATCACAGACATAATACAGGTCACCACTCGGCGGCCTCGAACCGGCGCCACGCGTCAGAGGAACTGCTCAGCTCCTGGGGACACACAAAAACGCACATGTCACGCCTCGAGCCGGCGCCACGCGTCAGAGGAGCTGCTCAGCTCCTGGGGACACACAAACACACATCAAGGTCAGAGCGGTTATCCAAAGCAAATAGTAAACCACCCAATCACCAACACTGTCTCCGTTCACATGTAGATTTCCGGTTCCTTCTAGTCCCAACCTTCCGCAGCCTATCTTTCCACTCCCCACGTCCTGCAGTCCCTACTCCTTCTCTCCCCGTCCCCCTACCGCATCTCTGCTCTCTTCTACTCCCCACCTGCTGCAGCCGCTCGGCGCCGGCCGTGAGCTCGGCGAACCGGCCACTGACGGCCGCCTGTTCCCGCTCCAGCTGAGTGGTGTCCAGGGCCGGTACGGCACGCGCCGCCTCCAGCAGACCCGACACGATCTTGGTGGTGGAGTCCAGCAGGGAGCGGCAGTACAGCTGCCGGGAGAGCACCGTCTGCCGGGCGGATACGTGCCGTCAGTGGGCAGTAACTCCGGGTGGACGAGACAGGGGAGCGGGAGGGGAATGGGAGGCTCGAATTGACACCTAGGCGAAATCAGATACCACGCTGAGTAAAATACAACACTTAACCCACGAGCCGCTGGGGGGGGGGGGGGCATAAAGTTGCCCCCCCTTTACGTTTTGTGGAATATCTCCGAAACCTGATGAGCTACGAGCGTGAAACTTGGCATAGCTTCAAATGAATACCTAGGCAATGTTTGAAGAAAGTTTGGTGGTTGTAGCATCTAAGATGACGTCACAGTGACGTCATAAAGTTTTGTCGTTTTCCGATATGGACCGTTTCTGATGACGCTGAGCATGAAACTCAACTGTAAATGAACTAGACAGGACCTGCTGTCATCCTAAAACAGCTAAGTACACTTCCATCTAGTTCCTTACCAATAATCGGCCCTTTATATTCGGTCCCATATACCTGATGTATCGTGAGGAAACTGAGAGTCGCAAATCTACAATTTGACTTATGACGTCACTGTGACGTCATTTCAAATGGGATCGACACCAAATTTGGACACAACCTCGGCTAGGTATTCAGGAAGATGTGTGCAAAGTTTCGCTTCTCTATCTCTTCGCGTTGCGACGATATCGCCGCGGAAGTAAAGGGGGGGCAACTATATGCCCCCCCCCCCCCCAGCGGCCGGCGGGTGGCGCGGAGGCCCAGCGGCCGCCGGGTTAACCAAAACCGAACCCAGAACATTAGGACAGGCAAGCTTACGCGAACAGGAAAGCACGAGGCCCTGAAAATGAAAGTCTAGTGTCTACACATGTACGTCTTCACGCCAGCAGATGCTACCCGAAATTCGATGCCGAAGTTCCCTCCCTGTTCCCAGTTTCCCCATATATGCGCACCTGCAGCTGGTCGGCCCGCTGGGCCACCTGACCCGCCTCGGTGGCCGGCGCCGGCCCGTCCAGCAGCTGGGACAGCTCGTCCAGCCAGGCGGAGACCTCTGCCTGTCCGCGGCCGGCCGCCGCCAGCCGGTCGGCCGACTGGGCGCACACGTCCGCCTGCTGCTGGCAACCCGCCTGGCCGTCCGACACCGACTCTGAGGAGCACGAGGGTGGGGTCGGTCAGGGGTGGCACATCACATCTGCGGTGGTACTTAGCTCGACGCAAATATTTTCATAATTTACAATACCTACGAATTTGATAGCGAAACGCAGCTTAAAATCACCACTAAAGGCATCAGATCTCTTCAGAAATCATAACTACGTCGACATTGCTAAATCATTCGGCAGTTAAGGACTCGGTCATTCTGTTCCGTCCTACCATTAGACAATCTGTCACCTCACGCAATGTGTCCATCTCCCCAGCTGCCGCCCCACAAGGCACCCGCCTCACCCCTGAGCTCTCGTAGTGTCTGCGTCATCTCCTGTTGTTTCTCCGGAGACACGTCCTCGCCAAGTAGCTGGATTAGCTTGCCGGCCGTCTTCAGGTCGGCTTCAACGTCGGGCAGCTCCGCCAGCAGCTCCTGAGGAGAGTCAAATGAGAAACGGAAATTATTCATGGTCAATGGTAGACGTGGTGCTGTGGAATGTTTACAGATTATAGTATCTCAACCAGGCACTTCAGCTGCATGATTGTCTCGATGGAACAATATTTTGTTCCGATTGAAGGAAATTAGCACGAGTCAAAAGGCATACAAATAGTCGGGTAAGATAAAAGCATCCTCATCTGCGCCTCCTATATCCTAATGTGCCCCCTAATTCTCCCCTCCCACTTCCCACTCCGTTCCACCCCTCTTTACCTGTGCCTCCTGTCTCCCTTCCCCTCTTTACCTGCGCCTCCTGCCTCCTGTGCGCCAGCTGCGGCTGTCGACAGTCCAGCGGCGCCGTCAGCAGTGCCTCAGCCGTCTCCGCCCAGCGCCGCGGCCGGGCGGTTGCCTCAGCAAACTCGGCCAGGCGCTGGCGGATCTGACCGCTCTGCATGTACCGCTTCACGTGCTGCCGACGGAGAGGGAAAGTCAGATGGAGGATTTACAGAATATGTATTCGACGGAGTCATAGAGCGTGGTCCGACGTGGGTTGGAAGGTCGGAGAATGGAGGTTTGATCCGGAGACCACGTTCATTATGCGTAAAAAACTTTGTTGACATAAAAATGGGCGACACCAGTTTGTAATGAAAGCTGTGGTGGGACGCTGAAGTACGAAAGATAAAGAGCAAGGGACCCAGCCAGCATACACTTCTCCATGTACCTCACTTGCACATCCTGCACCGCATGTGATGCATAATTTCACGCAGGGGCTTAATTGTTAGTGCGTTACACCGCGGATGTCCAAACAAATCATTAAGGTCAGCGGTCACCATGAGTCTGGCACGTACCTTGAAGAGCTGCTGCCAGCGCGTCTGTAGTTGCTGTAGGGCGTTCTGCACCTCCGCAGCCACGTCGTCCTGGCAGGCGGCCGTCAGGAACTGGCCAGAGTCCTCCGTCTGTTGGTACCGCTCCGACCACGATGGAAGGTCCTGCGGGAACAAGAGAACACGTCAGACGCTTGACAAACATGACGCTCGGCGTGAGTGATAAGATCGAACAAGATGCTCAACAATGAGACCTATGCATTGCTGCGGTATTTACGGAGCTGTTGCCAAATTGTTCCCTATCCCATCTCCCTCCCAGTTTTATCTGCCGACCCACCTGGAAGAACTCGAGCTTCTGTTCTTCACTCTGTGTCACCATTGTTTCAGCACTGTCCATCCACGAGCTGAGAGCCTCACTGCCCTGAGAGAACTTCTTCCAGCAGGACAACACCTGGACATAAAAACGATGCGGTCAGCTTAACGTGGTCGCTGCCGTTGTTGCCAGCGATTACTATGGCAAGAGATATAACGATACGATAATTAGAGGCAAAATTCAAATGATACGATAACGAGACGGAAATTGGCTAAAATAAGGATTTTTCTCCTTGCCCTTTACGCCACTACTGCGTCGAAACGTCATAAACTGACATTTTAGTCAAATATCCCGTGTTCACGCGGTACACTCCAGACCGGTGCCTTTTACGGACAAAGAAAACTTAAAGAGAACGTTGTCAACAGCCTGTCCGCCAGCCTCACCTCCTCGAGCATGGAGCGGAGACACTGCAGCTCCACAGATACGGAGCGCCACCGCTCGCCGACCTCGTTGATAAAGTGTACCACCACCTCCTTCTCTTGGGGACCTGGCGAAGACAAAGCCACAAAGAGCCAGGTCAAAGGCACTGAGACACGCCTCATTCATGACGGTTCAAACGGTAAGAACCCGTATCGAACACCAAAATGAATAAACATTATAAATAAACAAACAAATGAGCTATATAAACGTGAAGTCTGCGACAGTTGATGGCCGTTGCAGCAGCTGCAAAATAATTATCAGCTTCGAATACTAATGTACAAGCCAGGAAACGAACATTAGTTGGCCCTTCTCGTATAATTTAACCTGTACGCTTGAGCTAGATCATACCTGCGTCAGACAACTACGCTAGACTAACTTACCGACGCCGCCCTCCTTGACGAACGCGTCTGCCACCTGTTTCATCTCGATGAAGGCCTGCTCGAACTCATGGAACACGTTGCGGTCCGAGACGAACGTCTGGTACTCGTGCAGCATCTGCTCGACGCGCGGCTGGCGGCCCAGCTTCACCGTCCAGGCACGCACCCGGCCCTCCATCAGGATCAGGAAGGCGATGATGCAACACTGTGAGGAGAACGGAGACATTTCGTCAGGCAGAGACACGGACTAAACACGCACAAACACACACTCAAAAACACAAACAAAACACTAAAAGCGAACAATAAAAGATGACAAGCAGAAAAACGGAAAGCTGAAAATGATGCAGATTATATATAGCACTTACCAATTCAAGGTATTCGAAAAAAAAATCGTGCACAAAGTTGGCGCTCCTGAAGAAGGTTATTACTTTGTCATCCACCAAGACTGTCACCAGTCATACCACCCACGACCCTAGCGACCCACTCTTTTCACTGACCCTGTGCTCGAGGTACTTGAGCCGCACCCATCGCCGGTGGGCCTGGCCGCGCACCGCCTTCAGTCGTTTGTCGATGTGCGCCAGCTGCTGCGGCGGCAGCTGGGCGGCTGCGGGCAGCTGCGCGCCGCGCCGCAGCTCCGCCTCCACCCGCGGCAGCTCGCCGAAAAATGACTGTCAGAGAGGAAAGATGGCGTCAAAAAATGGAAAGGAGGTCGGAGAGACACTACCATTTCGATAACCACCACCTACCACCTTTTCTAACAGTCATCGCAGATTTAAGCCCGTGAGCATTCAAAGCCAAAGCACATGTTACAAAACGTTTGGTGGCTCATAAACACAAAAACCTCGGAAATATCATAATTTAGCAGGCGTTTGAGTAAGAAATCAATCAAATCCTTGCCCACACAAATCGACATGAATGTTAACGCTAAAATGACTAACTGGCTGCGGTGAGCCGGGGAGCCGGCCGTACCATGTGCTCCTCGAGGCTGGCGGTGAGCAGTTTGGCGGTGCGCTCGTCGGCCTCTGTGGGCGCGTCGTCACCCGCCTCCAGGAACGTCTCCGCTCCGGTGATCCACTGAACAACCGAGAGCAGCGGCTCGGGTAGCCGAGAGTCCAGATGGCTCTGCCACTCACTCAGCTGTCGGGGAAATGCACGCAATTACGAGCAGTTGGCCGAGGAGGAGGACCGGCTTTAGTTATCCGCGGTCAAACGCACACACAGTTGCATTTAATTATCATCACAGAGGGATGACCCATCGTGATATCAATGAGCCATAGAGTAACGCGCAATCAACCTATAAAGACGCCAGGAGAACAGCTGTTCTAGCTCATGGTAAGCGGACAGAACGCCGTAGTCCGCGACAGGGTTGTGCTTGACTCATGAGTCGAGTCAGAAATTTGACTCAACTCTGACTCAAATGAGTCAGATTTGAGTCGAGTCGGATAAAATGTTGAGCTGTTGAGTTGAGTCAGAGTGGAGTCGGACAAAAATATTAAGGCGTTGAGTTGAGTCAGAGTTGAGTCAGTAAAATAACTTTTGACATTGAGTTGAGTCAAACATTTAGGAACATGAGTCAGCTGACTCAACTTTCTAGAAACAAGCTTTTCATCCCTCCCCCGCTTAACAACTTCGCCCTGGCTCTGCTGCCGGATTTTTTTTTCATCCCGCCCCCGCTCAACAACTTTTTTATCTGAGTCAATTTTGAGTCAACTCACTTGACTCAACACAAAATTTGAGTCAAGTTTGAGTCGACTCATATTTTCATTGAGCCGCTTGAGTCATGAGTCGAGTCAAGGGAAAAAATCAGCTCCTTGTTTGAGTCAGAGTTGAGTCAGGGCTTTCTGAAGTTGAATGATGAGTCGAGTCGGCAATTTTTTTTAGTCGAGCACAACCCTGGTCCGCGAACTTGGTATCAACTGGCGACATTTCAGCCGCTCAAACATCGCGTCATTAGGTTTATAATGTTCAACGAAAATACGAGCCGCGCAGTGCAGTGGAGTTTGGCACTGACCAGCCGCTCCAGGGAGTTCCACTCCTCGTCCACTCGCGTCCACATGTGTCCGGGCACCGACAGCCCGAGCGTCTTCAGCTTCTCATAGCGCAGGTAGCGCTCCGACGCGTCATTCTTCACCGATTTAAAGCTCTGTGCACAAACACATGGCGTTAGCCATTGCGAAAAAAAAATTACCTAAACAATACGCAAAACGAACAAGAGACAACCACAGACAGCTGCAAACTAGGCCACTCGGTGACCGTGCAGCTGTAACTAAATCAGTTTCAACGTGAGCACTTTTTTCAGAAATGAGGTCCTAATCACGATGCTGACAAAATACTTATAAAGCACCTCGCCAGAAAATAGCCCTCTTCCAACCTTCTCTCCCCCCCCCCCCACACACACACACTGCTATCAGCATCAGACAACTGCGTGCCCTTAACCTGTCCGGTTGAGGTCAAACAATGTCTACGCATCGGACCCTAAATAAACACATAGGCTCGGGCTGGTCGGCAGCGGATCTAAAGAGCTGCTCCGCCGCAGCCACTGGTTCAACAAACAGTCCGCGCGTTAGGTGAATAGCGATGGTAGGGGTGATCGATAATCCCTTTCAACGTCGCCACCGCGTGGGCGAAGTATCATAAAGTGGTCCAGATGAGAGGTCATCCATGAATTCAAAAGTGAAATTTTCACCCCCACGAAAAGCATTAGCTACTTGTCAACTATTTGTCAAACAAAACTTCGCATTAAATTAACCACTGAAGATATTTTCCGGTTGATCAATTTTTCTTCCGTTCTCCTCAGTTTCAAGCAGCACCCACGAGTGACGAGGGTTACCCTGATCTGCCTCAGCCTCATCCACCATGGGCCCGCCGTCATACTCACCATAAAGTCATCCTGCTGGGGCGGCCGGAGCGCTGATAGCGCCTGTCGCGTCCTGGCCACCCAGTCGGCTATTTCGTTCACCTCCTGGCCCGGGGAGCGGGCCGCGCCGGTCGCCGGCTGGAACAGCACACGGAACAGCTCTGATCCCAGGGAAGCGTAGCATCAGTAGCAGGGCAGAACACCAGGAGCATGGCGGGAGAAGCGAACACTAAACAGAGCTACCGTGGAATGTAGGTAACGCTATCCACGTGGGCGAACACAAATACAAAGCTTAATTAGAAGGGATTGGACGGGCGGCTTGACTAGCTGAAACCGACATCTGTATTCACGATAAGACGTTCACTGCCACATACTTTTACTGAAGCATGCCATACGGCCTTACCCACGCAGAGAGTGCTAAACCAAAGATCAATAGCATCAATAACTGCATTCCTTACCGACCTTATTCATTCGGAAGGGGAGGTGTGGGATGAAGTGGATGACGAACGTCACACATACCTGCGCCACGGCCTTAGGGTCGGGGTACTTGTGCAGGAACTGCGCCACGTAGGTCATGATGGACTTCTCGTCCGGGTCCCGCACGTTCACGTCCTCGGCATCCAGCAGGCGCGCGATGCCCAGGTCCTCTTCAGCTACCTGGAGGTGACGACGGGGTCGCGCTGGGTCAACAGTCTCATAAAGGCATCTTGCTGTCGTTATTGTATAAATCGCACTAGAGGCCCTTTCATATCCAATGATTGCCCTTGGCGGCACCACAAAGCACCGCTCACCGCAGCATCCCATCTTATTTCCCAGGTCTGTGGTCACCGGTCACGACCCGGGGCGGCTGACAGCGCGGTCCGCTGCCCGGGGTCGGTGGGAGCCCGGCCACAAATCAGAGCAGCGCCGTCCGTGGCCCGGCCAACTCTACCGATGGCGCGCCAACAATGTGGCAGACATCTCTCTGTACACCCTCCCCCTCCCTCAGCCCCACGAGAGGGTCGCCGTCGCGCCCACGCCGGGCACCAGGTGGCCACACGGTGGTCAACAGGGGTCACTGAGTACAGTTTGTGCGGCGTGAAGACAGACATGTGACGACAGCGGGTACAGACGGTATGCGGCCAAAATACACGACACAGCCGTAGGCTAAGGTGTCCCTCGTTGCAAGGGTATAAATCTAATGCAATTTCAAGAGCACCGAGAATGGTGGGCAAACATATCCCGACAGTAACTGATTGTAAAGCACCATAGCAAATGTAACGATTCAGCCGCTGGCTGACATTTTGCAGAGACTTGTTGCGAAACAGTCCCATTTAAGTGGCGCAGTCGCAACACTGCGTCGTTGACAGTTAATAGATCCGTGCTACATTTAAAGATATAGCTGCGCCGTACCTTGAACACTTTGTCGAGTCGTTCCTGAGTGGCCATCCGTTCGGTGGCGTTCACATCGATACAGGTGGGGTTAATACAGTGGACGATGGCCACAAACGCCTTTCCGTCCCGCCACGAGCTGCCGAAGTCGTTAATGTCGATACCATACGACCTGCAACAAACGAACCGCAAGGTGTTAGGTCAAGGTAATAAAGCATATACAAATAACACGTGTGTGTGTGACATGCTTGTCCCGTCGTAGGATATCCAAATGCCAATCCTTCTGCACCCTGGCTCGCAACCTGGCTTCTTGGCCATCGTCAACCTCAGTCCCCAGGCCGGTGAGGACAGCCCAGATCACCACATCAAGCCATTCGGTGGATCACAGCTGCCGCTTAGGCCCCGACGACACACATCACACACGCGCGGTACTCCGGGGACACCCGCTGGATGTGCGAGGGACCAGCCGTGGATGGACACGGGCCAGCCCGTGCCGCCACACAACCAAGCCCTCAGCCAGCACAGACGGGTAGGGCGACAAAAGAGCCGGAGCCCATTCCGCACACAGGTGAGTGACGAGCACGTAATATCCTCATTCGAGAACACACAGAATCCATAACCATTGATGATCTATCGGCTAACAATAATCAGGAAACTTTTTTCCCAAAGATCGATACTCGACACAGTTGAAGATGCACGTATGCTGGATGACGACGCACCGCACCTAAATCCAGTGTCCACTAAACCCAATATCAAGGTCGGGTCGGCAGTATTGTCGTTCCACTTTGTTTATTGGAGCTTCAGGGAGTGCCGACTGCAATGGTCGCATGTCCTTCCACTAAAAACATCATTATTGAGCCCCAGGTAAGTCAGCTTCTCTGACCTCTGACATATCACCCACCGTTTCACGCTCGTTGCTGTTCCACCCTTCCATACCTGGTGGCGGTGCGCGCCCAGTTGAGCAGTGTGCGTCGCGCGCCGCCGCGGGCCGCCGGGCTGGCCTGGGCGCCGGCCGCTGGCGCCGTCCCGGTCGGCGTGGCCGTCGCAGAGCGCGCCTCCTGTCCGGTGACGCTGCTGCGACGAGCCAGCTGCTCCAGAACACGGGTGTTCTCCTCAATCTGGTCGCGGATAGAGAATGGGTTAGAGACGGGGCGAGAGAGGTGGTCAGAGACAATGAGAGAGTGGATCGGAGCCAGGGAGTGAGCAAGTCAAGGAAAGTAGTCAGAAACTCACGACATTCCGTATGGCATATTTTGGTCATCAGGTGCATGTGTTACTTGAGAAACGGTAGTGATTTAATCAGATGATGGCTTATCACAAAGAGAGACCGAGACCTGTAACATCGGCATGGTATTTTGGCAGGCGCCAGTTCAGAAGCAAGTGAAATATGCTTAGTGCTAGGTATCCATCGTAAATCGTGGCAGTTGATAGTAGAATCAGAAAACGAGAAATAATGGTCGAAGCCATATATCGTTCGAACTCCGTGACACCTTGGCATGTCATCATCAGGAGCGCGGTTCACTGTTATGGCCCTGTTCACTGTTCAGTAAGCCGCGCCGTGTCCGCACGTAATCCACCACGTGGTCTGTGGCCCTGACCGCCTGAGCTGTGCCATCCATCATTGGTCGCTTCCCCCCCCCCCCCCCCCCCCACCTCTCCGCCCTACACGGCCAGTCGTGCGGCTGCCCGCAGTCGGCAGCTTACGGCGATGGCTGGAGAATACTTCCTGTGACCTATTAGAGATGAAATCATACAGCCAGCAACTGTACACGCCCTTTCCATGGTCTCCGCTATTCATACCACGCATAAGATGGTTATATTTCGATGTAGTATCGACTCTCCAAACGCAGTCCTTCGCAGACAACTTCGCCCTGTTTTATAACACCCAATGGGGCGCACGGCGGCAGATAATAGAAATCACACGGGACGGCTCCAATATACGGCTCAATGTTCCGTACCAGCCGGCTATCTACCGCCGTATCACACCTCAAATAGACGCACCAGGACAATACACAGACGCCTGTGTCACCGGGCCAGCGCTCTACCGCGCTCTATTTCCACCGCACGCACAAAAACTGAAAGGAATGCCGACAAAGTCGGTCGAGCTCCGGATGTGAACAGCGATAACATACTTCATCCGTGCATAATACCCACCTGAGGTTACCAAACTTCATTCACTGAAATGTTTGAAATCATACCTGAACCGGTACCTAAAACCTGTATTAGAATTTGTAAATAAATAAATAAATTAAATAAAATACAAGGCCCAGCTGCGTTTCGGTGAGCAGAATTAGCTTCTTAGAGATGGATGGAGTCAACCGGTTTGAAATCAGACTAACGCTATGTTTGACACAGGAGTCCGAGCGGTTGACAGCGACAGACTATAAATCCGTCACGCAGACGGATGCCGCACAAGCGGGCCAAGGGACACGCACAGTAGATCACCGGGCTGCGTGATGAGTCACCTCTCTCGTGCACGTTTGGTATCTTCCGACCACAAATAAGGCAGGCTGCTCCAAGTTCGCTGAGTCCACGTCCTACGACCTCGTTACCTTCACATCGTTACCTTGAGATATCACATTCCCTCCTCTCCGGAATCGATATCTTGTCGCGGTCTCTGACCAGATTCGCACCTCATTAGTGGCATTATAGGGTTTCCATCCAACGGCCTTAGAGGACACGCTACACCGCATCGGCGTGGCCTGAAGTAGACTAGTTACAAGGTCGTGACAAGTCCCTCGACTTGAGTCACACGAAAGGTGCCCGGGGGGGGGGGGGGGGCTGACCACTCCGCCTGCAGGGTTTACACCGCGACACCGCCGCATTAGTGGTTCACACCGTTTGTAAACAGACGTCTCGTTTACGTCCTATTTCCGCTCAACGGACAGAAATAGACTATCTTTGCACCACCAGCCGCGCGAAGTTTCATTAAAGGGACCCTCCCACCTTCAAAAAAGTTAATGAATTGGCATGAAAGTGATGTCGCTCGGTTCAGAAAGAGCAAAAACGAATATCTACCAAATTTCATCGAAAAATATTCACCGGTTTTCAAGATATAAGACTTTTACTTTTGTTTACTTTTTGGGATCTCCGCTGTTCCTAGCGACTTTATTTGAAAGTGCGGCATTTGTTGCGCGCAAAGCAGCATATACCACCGCGTGCTACAAAACGTTTTAGTCAAACATTTAACGGACGTTCGAAAGCCTGATGACGTCATCAGATTCCCGTAATGGTTAAGAGATAGGGACCACGCTGGTCCCACCCTGCAAGTAAAGGGAAGAAATTTCTTGAACACCATAAAGCTGCGGGGGTCGCGACCAAGATAAATGGTGGTTTCTGAGCCTGGCCGCAAACTTGGCTATCTCAACTCAAAACTAATGTTAAGGTGGGAGGGTCCCTTTAAGTTTCCGCCGTAAATAACCTTCGCTGAGTCGTAAATAAAGCTCGGCCCTAGCGGCAACAGGGCTTGGATGAAAATGATGGCCCTGAAGTCCACAAGAACCTGGTTAACTAATATGCAGCACACAACAGTAGGAATTCATTGAAAGAGTGAAATGGAGTCTTTCATTCTACCATAATGAAGCAATGTAAGCCGAGACCCTGCGTTTTTACATACAGCAAGAGCATCATTTGTGCTCAAGAATACCACTTAGGTTGAGGGTGCATTTCAAACATCGCTGTCGAATGTCCGCATTGTTTCATGCTGCAGACATTCTAATCCCGAAGTAGCTATTCAGAGCTTACCGCATACTGCAAGTGCAGACAGGAATGAAATACTACTGCTTCTAGGCATACAAGTGAGCGAACCTAATCCACGTGTATGCCTTTGAAGTAGGATTTCGTTGTCTGCTCAAGGTCTAATAGCGCCACATAGCACTGAAATTGCTGACCTGGAAATGGTATTCACTCACCTATAGTGCTTTCTCTTCTAGAAATGGTGTTTGCTCACCTGGAAATAGTGCTCGCTTACCTAGCAGTAGCGTTTTCTTTCCTAGACATCGTATTGGCTTATCTGGAAATAGTATTCGCTCACACGGAAAGTGTTTCTCTCACCTGGAAATAGAGTATCACGGTCCAGATGAGTCCGAGCACCACGGCCGGCCGGCCATCCACGATGTCCGACGGATTGATATTGACTAGCTTTATCTGCCGGAACACCAGTAAACATCGGTTAGGAGCACGCCTCACCACACTGCGCAACACAACACAGGACGAGATGTGTGGGTGAACAAGCTTACGTGTGGTATTAAAGTTGATGTTAAAATGAAAGAACATTGCCCGAATGAATGAATCCCTCTTTGATGCACTTAGCCGATGCAAATCAATACGATCGCCTTTTCCGATCTAAATATCCAATTCAAATCAATACCCTCCCGATGATTCTGACATCGCACGTCATCCGCCACTTAGTTCAATCGATGTCGGAAGGGCGGCAGGTGACGAGTGGTCCACTCTGAGGCACGGCACAATGCCAGCCAGCGGGAGGGCCCTAGGACAGCTCTGACAGCGCCGGCAGGTTCAGCGCGGTGGTGGGGCGGTCAGAAGAGCGGGCGGTTACCACACTCACTGCGGCGCGACAGTGCAAGTGGCTTTTGAAAAGGGCGCGGTGCACCAATTGAAAAGGGAAATAACAGAAGAGTGACGTTCGTGGAAGCACTTACTAAAATGAGTTCACGAGAGAAGGCTGTCGCAGGGAAATGTGAAGCACCATTGAAATTACGGGAAATTATTAAGTACCCACTTGACAGCTTTCAAACAAGTTTTGGCTAGCTGCTAAATTCACTTTAACAATGAACCAACCATAAATGAACAGAAATGAACTAATAAGTTGAACGAACGACTCCCGTACAGTTGGACTGAGTTGGACCAGCAGTTGGACGTCTCCGATGAGCCAGTTGAACCCGGGAGCCTCGTGACACGCCACCCATGGCGCCGCCGGGTCGGCCGAAGCCCCGATGAACTCCCCGCTCCCACCCGGCCGCTCAATACGGTCACTGTTGGACTGCCCGCGGGCTGCCGGGGCACGAGAGGTCGTGACCTCCGCACAGGACAGACAGCCGAGCGTCGGTGCGAGGGTCTATGGGTGGGACGGCTAGGTAGCTGTAGATTTCTCGTTCGACGGAAACGATTGTCGGCCGAGGCAGTTTCAATTACCTTACGGTATACATATGCAAAACTTTTATACGCGTTTGCCTGTAGATACTCGCGGACGCGGTGTAAAACTTTTGAAACTGCTTGCTTTATTAGCTCGGAAAAATATGACATTGGAAAAGAAGTAAGCCGATTACATGAATCCATAACTCTTTTGCATGCATACTCTAAAAAGGAATGTTCATTCGATGTTGAGGACGGCTCGCAGCAAATTTCCCGACCATCCCAGCTGAATTATACGGCAATCTCCCGATCGCACCAGCTGAGCTCCAGGTCCCGATTTCCCGAGCGGCAGCCGATAATCTAACGACTGGCGCCGAGGGGGGAGACAGCTGTTTTAGACTGAGGTTCGGAAACTAACCGACCGACATCAGAGTGGATAGCGGCAGTTTAGTCAAATCAAACGACCAGCCGACGGAGGTCAGGTCAATGCAACATCAAAAAAAAAACTGGCCTTCGCACAACTCATGTGTAGGCATGTTATTTCCTTTCACAGGCCCACCAAATGACAAACGCCTACCTATCATAGCGAATGATAGCTGCTTCTGACAGATGAAATACAGCAGCCAACAACACCGCTCAGAACAGACAACACTCATCAGAACAGGTGCCTGAGTGACAGGAATGGCAGCGTGACAGGAGTATGACGGAGCCTGTCTGGAGGTGGCATATGTCGGGGCGAGGGGATATGTCGGTGTCACGGCAGAAGACGGGGGCGGGGGCGGGGGCGGGGGCGGGGCGGGGTCAGTCGCGGGCAGGAGTAGGTGGGTTCTCCCAGACCAGGCAAACAGGCCAGAGAGCCGATCAAATATACTCTCCGTGCAGCGAAAAGCAGCAGCCGCACGCACTTCAGCGGCTACTCCACAGTAGAGTACCCTCCCTCAGAGATGAAGCATTCTCGTCAGGTTATAGAGGCCAAATGGTCTACCATCAAATCAAATGACCAAATCCAATGGCTATCCGTAAACTCTGGAGGGTTCTATTGGCAGCAGGAAATGCCATTGAAGAGCCGGGGAAATGGCGAGAAGGTAGGGAATGTGAGATAGTAAAAATATATTACGGCCGCCAAGAAGCCGCCGGAGAACGAAGCAGAATTACTATCAAAGAGCTCTTTGTAAGCTTGATATGGTTATGACATTGATATGGTTCACGACATAGGAGAACTTTTTAGACAATCTTATCTTCTTAAAATCATTATGAATAAATCGTGCTGCGGCCTGGGACATGGAGGGACAAGCCCCTAAGGAGAGGCCGGAGCAGCATGCCGCCAGCATAAATTGGCTCCAATCGAACAGCGGACGGGCGAGAGATGAAATCGCGCCATCACGGTGACAAAGGCCGACGCACAGAATCCCACCCTGAGCGCACACTGACAGCGCGCGCTTCACTCGGATGACAGCCCAGCATAAAAAGGTGACGTCCAGCCCAGTGTTGACAAATCAAACATAGCGCGCCAATCGTCGCCACTTTAGCGTCGGGAAATCATCAAAAGATTCACGGGCCGCGCGCAGAGGTCACAGCGGGGGCGGCGGTCGTGCGGGGGCGGCGCTCGCCGGGCCGGGCTCAGAGCTCCGACCCGCCGCCGTCGCGGGCGGTCGGTGGGCCCGTTCCGGCGCTGTTCCCAGTACGGCGCTCTGTCGTTCCGAGAGCCGCCGTCTGATGTGTTCCCGACCGTGGGCCGATTACGGCCGCACACAGACAGACTCACGTTTTTACTGTGCAGAAACTGGAGCGCCGTGTTGGCGTTACTCAGGAAGTGGGCCCGCTTCAGTATCCTTCCGCGCTCCACGGGCTGAAAACGGCGGAGCAGTTAGAACGGTGACACACACAAAGTTGGACAAAGCACACCCAGCCAACTTTCAACAAAAGAATCTCTCAACAACCGGCATTATCTAATGGCGAGTTTAGGCATCGCGGCTACGTTTTTCTACATTTAGGACTGACGTGTTACCAGGACAGATCAGAAGTCGCGGTCCCACTGCCAAAAGCAGCGGCCCGATCACCTCACCGCCCGAAATAGGCGCCGTCCGAGCCAGTTGGGAGGCTATTTAGGCACATCCACGCCCCTCCCCCCCCATCCCTCGTCCGCGCCGGTCCGCTTCGACGCCCGTCAACGGATGACGCTTCGATGGCGCCAAATTAGCGCCCCCTCCATTCTCGAGCTTTTTGCAGGCCCAGACCATTCACCGTTGCCAAGGAACACTCGGCGCGCCTCCCAGCCCTGACGCCCACCTGGCCTTACCTCACCAGCCGTTCACGTGGCGGGCGCAGCCGGTCACTTACCAGTTTCTGTCCGGAGAGCACCTGTAGTAGCGCCAGCAGCCGCGAGCCGTCCTTCAGGTCCTCTATCAAACTGTGCATCTGCATCGGCGGCTGATGCTGTGGAGAAAAACGGGAGATTGATGTCAGAAGGCTGAGTGAGTGAGTGAGTGAGTGAGTGAGTGAGTGAGTGAGTGAGTGAGTGAGTGAGTGAGTGAGTGAGTGAGTGAGTGAGTGAGTGAGTGAGTGAGTGAGTGAGTGAGTGAGCGAAAAGGTTGCGAACTTGGCACCAGTCTCAAATACATATCAGAAAGGTTGGTGCTGTGTTGTCTGACCTCGGAAGAGCCCGGAGAATGCAGAGCTTAACACGAAAAAGATTCTTCACAAGAAAAACAAGAATAGATCAAAGAAAAGAACGTCAGTTAAGTGCAGCGATGCGGAAGCGGAAGCCTTCAAACAAAACGTCGCATCGTCTGCCCCGACGCAGTAACCAATTCAGGCACCGAAGTTCTGGTCAACGAAAGCATATCATCTAACGCGGGCGATGCATGGTTTGGAGGGAGTCCATCCCCAGCGCAGCCCCTCAGCATTGGATCGACCGCTCCGGAACGTGAGACACCGAGGCAGTTGCTCCGGGACATAAGGCAGTCGGCTAATTGCGGCATTGCCGCAGGCTTTGAGTTATGTGGCTTACTGCAGAACGCAACACCGTTAACCAACGGAGAATAGACAGAAAGGCATGCATGCGACGGACGTCACAAGGCACCGTGCGCGTCCACTGCTCCAGCTTCGACCGCAGCCCAGCCTCTATTCAAGATCAGTCAGTTACTTTTGCATATTCACCAATTAGAAAGTGGAGCACCGTTTAGCTTTTCTTAAGTGTACCACAGACAAACCGCTTGCTATTGTGTCCTCTACTAGCAAACCATTAGAGGACATAATGAAGACCATCGCTCACATAGCGAGCCGGCAAATTGTCGTGTTAACATTTCAACTTACAAGGACATCAACAAACGTTTTAGCAGCGTCATTTAGTACACCACCGTAGTGCTCATTTATTACTCAATGAGGCCCCACCATTGTCGAGGGGTGTTGCCCCGCCCTCATTACATTATACAATCCGATGCATATCGCCGCATTAATTTACGGTCCGCACGGCAGCGGGCCGCCGGATTCCATCGGTCGTAACTCCTGTCACCACCCCAACAGCTCCCTCTCTAATGCAGCGCCGCCAGAGTGGGTCAGCTAGCCCCCGAGTGGTCAGGGGCTAGCCCCCTTGGCCTAGCCGTGCGTCGCTGACAGCACAGGGACCGACAGTGGCCGCTGGGCAGGGCGCTCCGAACTGGGGCGGCGAGCGGGTCGACTATTGGTTGGTGGTCTGAGGCCAGCGCAGTGTCACAGGGCGGCAGGTGGCCGACGACGGAACCTGACCGAGGGTCTGCGGAGCGACAGGCGACAACGGAACCCGACCTGGTTTTACGCAGCGCCAATGTCACAAGTCAGGTTAGTCATCACTCACAAGAAATGTTTTCGACTAATACTCACAGCTGAGCAGTCACCCCGCATGGAATCAATCAGAACTTGGCTCATTGATTATTGGGCGATACATCTTTCATCCCCAGACTACAGCTCAAGCATACTTTGCCAAGATCCGGTGTCTGATCTATGATAAAGGGGATCACCGTTTATTCTGGCGATCTTTTGGTTCTGAGTTCCCGTGACTCCATCGCGTTTACTCCGGTGATGCTTCAATCATATTACTTCAGGCTGCATCACATTGTATCACTAATCACACTGCATCACACTTCATCACACTGCGACACACCGTGACATGTGTCATCTATCGCATGCAACATCAGCGCGGCGCTGGTCGGTCGATGTCACATGGGAAATCAAACAGAGACAGACCGGGGACTACAGGGGAGGGCGTCCACCACCAGCTCAATATTGCATACCGCCCTGTCCGCGGGCGGGTAGTATGTTGTGGCGTGGACTCAGCGGAATGACATACACTCCCAGACTACCGAAGATTGAGAAAGAAACGTTGGGGGGATACACTACGGCTACGCTACGCTCATGCCGCGACTCACGACTGAAACTGCTGGTAGAGAAATAACTAGGCGGCACAAAAAAAGGTTAAAACTCATTATCAGCAGAAGACAGCAATCTTAGAAAAATCTAGCTTAGTGTAGCCTTCGAGCCAGGTAACTAAGTCCAACAATCGACTGGCTTTGCAATTCAGGTACTCCATTAGTACTGGCGTTCCTGCATTTGCGAGCAGCACAGAATCCGCGGGCCTAAAATATGCATCACTGGTAGGTACCGTGCGGTGAATGATTTAGTAGGCAGAAGGCCCTGTGAAATTAGTTATAATCTGATACTGAATTGGTCCAAACTTTGCCAAACAAACGGCGTGTTTGCATTGGTTGTGAAATGTACTGTGTGATAACGAGTTGAGTATGGGTTGGAAATTACGATATAATCTCACCATTTACATAACACGCTGCACACAATGCACGTTGCACATGACTGCGACGGTAGCGCTGTGGCGACCGCAGGGTCAGCCCACTCCCACAGAGGTCGTGATCCCGGCATTCCGAGCGTTCGGTATCGCGGACAGCCCAGGCCGGGTCGCGCCCTTCCCTGACCTCACACCACTCTGGGAATCAGTCTCAGCCAGACACCCTGACCCCGGCGGCCGCTGAAGCCCCGCGGTTTAACAGGGACCGGGATGTGGTGTGACATTGACCGGCCCGACGAAGCCGGACGACCACCGACTGTGAGAGCAGACCAGACGGCGCCATCGGCTGACCGGCGGGCGCTGGGTCCGTTGACCGTCGCCGGTCGCCTGGCGTTTCAGCCGTCGCCCACCTACCGCCGCCTACCGACCACCGCGACCGGTCAACGGTCGGACTGTTGACAATCGACCATCGAACATTCACCATTGACCACCGACCATCGACCATCAACCATCGACTATCGGTCATTGACCATCGGCCATCGCCAACCTCCCTCCAGCTACCGCCCACTGTCCTCCAGCTGCCACCGACCGGTCACCGCCCACCGACCGGCCTACCGCCCTCCGACCACCGCCCTTCAGTAACCGCCCACCGCCAGCCGCACGGTATAGCAGAGCTATCAGAAATAGCTCTGCCGACACGGTCGAACGGGCACTGATGGATGTAAAGAGCCGGATGATCGGCCACAGCAGTGGAGCAGAGCATGGGCGAAAATTGACCGGAAACAAGCTACGAGGGGCGTTCAAAAAGTTCCCGGCCCAACCATGAAGGAGTTGGAATTTCGGCCTGCAACGCGGTGTGTTCAATGATGTGTTATTGGGATGTCCACTTACGTAGCCATGAACCAATCTGCCCTGTGATTGGTTCAGGCTGCTAATTAATCGTAACATAGTTTGCCATTCCCGGTCAGAATGGGCGACGCCCAGAAGAGAACAGTGATTTGGTTCATGCATTGCAGAAAAATTCACTAAACGTTATTCACGAAAAGCTAGTGCCAACACATGTTGAGGTTTGTCTTTCTTACAGTAGCGTCAAAAAGTGGGCATCTCTGTTCAATTTTGGTCAACAGATCATTAATGGTCACCCCCGCAGTGGCCAGCCATCAACAGCATTGACTCAAAAAAATATGAAAAATAGGCACTTCTTTGTGAAAAATGACAAATGTTCTGGTCTGGAACAACGCAGCAGAAGTGGAGGTGTCTATAAGGTTCCTCAAAGCCATTCTCCGACAGCGTAAGATCTCTGCAAGATGCATCCCCCGTTTGCTGACTCCAGAGGAAAGGCAAACTCGAAAGGAGGCGTAACGCGAAAAGTTTGGTCCCTATATCGAAGATCCAAAAGAGTACATTGAACTACTTGTTACCGTGGAGGGATTGTGGGTGTCACACGTTGACCCTAAGGGCGTGACCGAGTTGCACAAGTGGAAGCACACTGAGTAAAGGCCACCAAATGTGTGCGACGTGTTTAAGTCAGACGGCAGGGTGACAGTGGTTGCATTTTGGGAGCCGGGCGGGGCTCTGCTCGTCAACTTTCTAAAACAGGGGCGCACAATTGATGATGAATACTACACCTTCCTTCGATAACAGTAACGAGCAGCAGATATCAAGGAGAGACTAGGGAAGCTGACTAAAAGTGTGCGCCTGATCCAGGACCACGCACCAGCACACATGAGCAGGGTGACGATCAGCGAAGCAGTGAGCTCTGGCCTCGAGTTGTTGCCACAGCCACTTTTTTCTCCGTACCTTGCACCCTCAGGTTGCCACCTCTTCAGCAATATAAGGAAATTGCTTAGCAGTGGCAACTTCGCTGACAGCAAGGAGACAAAAGCAGCCGTCTTGGACGTGCCAGATGCGTCCAAAACCCACTTGGCTATGGAGGCTCAGGGGCCTTTCGCGAAGCGCTGCGCGAAATGTTTTTGTCTCAACGCTGGTTATTTGACTAAATGAACATTTTTGGTCTAATAAGTCGACATCGTATCTCTGCTCCTTCATGGTCGGGCCGAGAACTTTTTGAACGCCCCTCGTACTGGAAAAGAGGGTGAGTGGAGAATCTGGAGAACCCGTACGAGACTACATCAGACGCCAGTGAGATAGTCGAAAGTAATGTTTCCCATTATTTCTTATGAGATTATGTCAGGATTGTGGTTGAATGACGGTCGAGAGCGTGGTCACTGGTCAACGACATCATTCGTGGTGACATGTCCGTCATCACTGACAGTGGTCCCCTACCACCACTCAACATGAAGTGTGGTCTGACAGCACAGACTGTGGTCTCCGAACACAGCTATCATTCACCTCGGACCGCGAGCTACGACCAACACCACTCATCAAAGACCGCTCTCCGTGTTCCCCGGTCGGCGGTCGCCGTCATTCAGCATGGACCGTCGTCTAAGGCTCATGTCCGTCATCACTGGCCATACTCCTTGACCGATGCGAGCACAGATCGGCCGCTGTCAGTCATCACAGACCACGGTCCCTGACCAGTCTGTTGTCACCCGGGCCGGTCCGCCGGCAGTCGGTGTCGGGCGGCTCGCCAGCCTGCAGCTGACGGCCCGGCGCCGCCGCCGTCCATCAGACCGGTCAGCTGACCGTCGAACCGCCGACCAACTCGGGAACCGTCCCGTCGCAGCCGACGATCCATCGGAGCCGTCGGCAGTGTCGGCAGTGACCGTCAGAAGTTGGACTGTCAGGCGTGGAGTGACACATTCCAGACCGGGATCATTTCAAAGTTAGCTACGAAAGGATGAGTAATGAGTATGAATGCAAATGCCCCAAGAGGTGAAGTCATTGATTAGAGTGGTTTGGGGTCGAGTTCAATAGGTCACGTCGAAATTGTTTGGCCACAGGCCATGTGATCAAAACTACCTAACTGGGTCAACTCGGGTCAGGCCCATTCTGGTCAGGCCGGTTCTCAGGTCTCAGGTCAGGTCGGATTGAGATAGACCGGCTTAAATTTGGTAGACTCGGGATCAGGTCCCAGGTCACAACAGGTGTCATCGCATCAGGCCGGCGCGGAGCCAGGTCAACTTGGCCCAGGTCGACCCCTGGTCAGACTCGAAGGTGTGTCACCTATCCCGGCACTGATGACGGAGTGGCCGTCTCATCACAAAGGCAGCCGCCGGCCGACCGCCGCGAAATGGGCGGAAAGAGGCGGTGCGCCACTAATGCCTCGTTTGTGTCCCGACGCTCTCCTCTCGGCTGATGGATGGAGCGGGCCCGGCCCAAGCGACTTTTGAAGTGGTTCGCATATGAACGCTGTCTCCATATGGGCACGCGTAAATAACAACTTCGTCACGAGGACGAAAGCTCGCAAATTGTGGATGGAGATTCGTCACAAGGAAATAATAGTAGGTATACGTCAGAGCTGGTATAGCAAAATCGAGCATATAACTGAAAGCATACTTAAAGGGACAGTATCACCATTTTGATGAAATTTGACATTGCATAGGCCCCACCTTTCTGGTCCGGGAACTGAAGACCGATCCTCGAAGCTCCACACCGTTATCCCGCTATCGCCGCTCAAAGTACGAAAGGTGTACCACACTTTGAATCGTGCTTCATTATCTTCACTGTTTAAATGTTTGCGCCGTTTTGAATTGACCGCCAGTAATAAAACTTTTACCCTGGTCATTTCATCAAATTTTATAAAGCCAAAACGTTTTTCGCACTTATTCATCACCGTTAAATTCATTAAATAGTCGTAGGCAATTTCCGCTGTTTCCTTCGGATTCTAGTGGCTCAACAAAGGAATTCCTCCAGCTTGAATCACAATCTCCCTCCAATGTATGACGTTTATCACGTGATTGTCACGTGATATTTTCTCTCATTGTCAATTGTCACGTCCAATTGTCACTCCCTCCAATTGTCACGTTATATTTTTATAGGCAATACCTAAGGCTATCTCTCCCTAAGGACAACTCAATCAGAAGAACGACCGCGTAAGCGTAGCGTCAATAATGTATTATCTGCGCCAGTTCTGTAGTAATTTTGCATGCTTCCCCAAACTGGCGGCCATGCTTGTATAGTGGTGGTTCGCTCATGAAAATGAATCATGAAAATGAGATGTGGTTGCAATATTTTTCACCGAGTTCGGTCCTCAAACTATGTTTTTCTGATTCAGAAAAATAAGAAATGCTAGTAAAAAAAATCAGCTCCATACATGGATTTTTTTTTCGATGATACTGTCCCTTTAAAGGTACAGGCTGCATGTTGAAGTTGTCGTGGTAGAGTAGTATTGCAACACTTATGTATTGATATCCGCATTTGCTATTTCGTGGACTTTCGAGTTGTTAAATGATATATTGAGCTGATAGCATATCTTGTCGATTGACAGCTCGATGTCTCACTTAAAAACGTAGTTGAAAATGGGGAAATCGTGCTGATCGCCGATCATTGTTTCGTCGTTAATCCCGCATTGACCGGCCGTCGTTAACGTTAATCCGATGATGGCTGGCCGCCCGAGTAGGTCGGAGTCGCTGGGTGGCCGGCACCGGTCAGCTTCTGACCAGCGACCGCCCCTCGATCACTTCACTGATCACCGAGCGATCAATCAGGCGTGATAAATACGCGCACGGTCTCCCAAAACAGCAGCCAACTTATGAGCGGCTCCGGCGTCCGGCACCGGCCATCGCTCAAAATCCTCACTAGAGCGTTCTCTCGTCCATCAGCTGGGCGGGCGATCGGCAGAATTTCAGTGAGTTCAGACAGATTATCACCCAGGGAGCCTGTTGAATGCTATCATTATTGACCAGCCATAGATCATCTTCAAGAAAAACACAAGTTCAGTGGCATCTCTCAGCGCCAATCGGGCACCAAATCATTTTTCAATCCATTCATTCTTAAATGCATTCCAACCGCCAGCACTGACTCGCTGCGTGATGCTGCAAACCAGCCAGCAACATCTACACCACCGTGACCGGCGACATCATGTAGCGGCCTACGAACCCATGCGTCCCGCAAACAGTGCCGGAAGGAACAGGGTCGCTCCAGTGCTGGAGGAGAGGGCGGAGTCCGTCCCACACCCGGTAACAATTAGTCAGGGATGGGCGGTACGGACCGACGTGTAGCTCCCCACGTGTGCCGCCCAGTGTCGCTGACAGAATGCAGCACGATTTTCATTTGTCTAAGTTGTCACGGACTACCCAGAAGAAAACATGAAGGGAAACGGAGCAGACTGAGGACTCGTCAATAAAGCGTATGTCGTCGCCCCTCACCTTTCTCAGGTACGAGTTGATCCAGTTCAAAAACGTCTTCTTTTGCACACGTTCCTGTTCATCTGAAACGACAAAGTGAGACAAATGTCAGGCGACACAGCAGTGGCAGTGCAACGAAAATGTTGGGCTTCCAGCGTGAAAGCATTTCTGAGGAACGGGACCGACCACTCCTGATCACATGGTTGGTTATATGTGATTGCAATGTTGGTTTTGGAGTGCTCGCTCCAAGGACGTCAAGAGTGACACGGAGTGCTGAATGATGTCTACATTGCAGGCGGTCCTCTGTTTTTATCGATGGTGACGACAGCACCAACCAGCCTATGTTGATCTTATCGCCGTTTGAATTGCTGTCAAATCTTTGGCAGCGGTACCGTTTTCAGAGCAGCAAACAACACAAAAACCCGCGAACGGGGCCAAGAGCAAGTCAATTGCCATTCCAAACAAACGGAGCAAAAACATGACAAAAACCAGACCTCACACGCGTCACTTCCCGGCTGCCACAGGGGACAGAAGCTGTGAATAGGTACACAGGCATAGCGCATCCGAACTTTCGTTACTTTGGTTATTTTGTTACTGGTATTTAGCTTTGCAATTGTTAACTTGGATTGGAATTTGACACTTGGGTAAGTGTCCGCCACCTCATCGTCGTTAGCCAAGTTCAGGTCAGGGCCTCAGCGAGGTTAAAGCCGGCTTTGGACTAAAGACCACATTCGTTAAATCTGGATGCGAGTCACAGTTTCAATAACCTTCCCACCTCTTCACAAACCGCCCTCACTTCCTTCCGTCTGCGGTTCTGTTCGCGACCCACCGTGTCTTCGGTACAGCACGGCTCGACACACCTCGATACGGTTCGACTCAGTTCGACTCAGTTCGACTCGGTTCGACTCAGTTCGACTCGGCACGGCTCGATACAGTTCGACTCGGTTCGATGCGACCCGGCGCCGCTCGACACTGTACAAACAGCCGACGTCTATACCGTCAGCCCGCCGCACGCACAGACGACAGCCCACCGCGCGCACAGTCGGCACCTCTGGAACCGAGGGCGTTCGGCGTTGCCGCTTCACTGTCCGCATCGTAAAACGGTCCACGTGAGATTTACACCTGTGTCAGCCTTACCAAGAGGCGGGTATAGAATTCGGCATCATCGTCTGAAGTTAATCCGTCATAAGCTGTAAGCAAATATAACATGTTTCATAGGGATTCGGGCTATGCATGCTCACTGGGGTCTGCTATGCTCACTGGGGTCTGCACCAGCGACATTCAGAGACAAAAGATCTCCTCACATTTCGAAGTCATTTCTATGTAGACAGTCGACAGATCACAGCTCTCCCCCAGTGTGAATTAAAGTCCACGTGCTACTGGACAATGCAGTCTGTCCAATCGAGAGCAAGTCTTCACTCTTCAGGGGCAGCACCTGCCGGCCTGGGTCAGCCGCCCCTGCCCGGCGGCCATTTCGGTAGGTCAGTCTTCGGCCCGAGCTTCCCATCTGTCTCCCGTTGGCCCGACGCCAGCGGCCACCACCACCGCGTGGGCTCGGCATGGCCGGTGTTCGAGCGAAAACAGCCGAGCAGTGGACAGACGAGATCGGGCTGATGATGTTCGGAATTTTTAGTGTGTTGCTGTTGTTGTTGCTTTTGTTGTTGCATGGCTTTGAAATAATCCGATAACTTGCAGCAGTTATGGTCCGCCGACCTCGTATTGATGGAAATCGAACACCAGGAGCGCGTTGTTTACAGCACGGCATTACGGTACTCGCAAAAGGAACGGTATAATATCCAATCAACATTGGCATCTATAGAACGGTTCCATGGTCACTTCAAGACTGGTTCGACTACACAGGTGGAGCGGAGCCTGAAGCATGCTAGCGTATCTAAAAATGCGCCAGCATACGCACACACTCGACCGTTTGCAGCGTAAAAATCGGGAATGAACAAGCAGGTCGGCAACGGAACGTCAGAGATTCAATTTAGAAAAGAGGCAGCATAAGTCGAGCCAAGTTATGATGGTCAGGTCATACGTCATACTTCGTCATGCTTTCGACGTCATACTTTCAGAGCTAATTTGAAAACAAAAACAGAAACAAAAACTCACCAACAACATTCGTGACGTAAACATAAACACAGAGCTCACACAAAACCTCGCCTTGATGGCGTCTCTGTTTACAATCCAAACACGGCACCTCTTCCACACCACAGCGGCCAGTTAGCACGGGCTGTAACGCTCCGGTCTTCACAACGGGCACAGTGCAGTGCCAGGACACTTACTCACGTCAAGTGTGCAGTGTCCGGACACTGGGTCCACGTTTAGTGTATAGGACCCCGTTCCTGTCTGACGCAGTCCCTGGTTCACACAGGTGGTAAAATACCGCGGCCACTGGTCTCTACAGCACCCAAAATATACGGCAGATAGTCTCCACAGAGACTGCAATACCCGGACTCTCACTCCTACAGCGATCACAGCATCCGCTCCACAGCCCCAGGTCTGTTTAGTGGGGTTTTCGATCGCGACACAGTAGACACAACACCCAGCCTCTGGTCCCCGCAGAACCACAGTACCGGTCGCTGACACGTACATAGATCCCACAGCTGAGCATGACATGGTTTCCGCGAGACATGACAGCCCGTTGTCTGGAGCACCCGACACGGGGAGGACCGATGGATGTCTACCGTGAGGACAGAGCCATTGCTCCCATTTCTGCTGAGGTAAGAGCTCGAACAGAGTAAGCTTTATTCCACTGAGCCGAGGCCATAGGTCGCGTGAGCGATAAAAACGCGTATGTTTGCATGTTGCCGATTACGATCGAATTACGCTCTATCAAATGTAAACACTTAGCCGCGAGTTCGAAGTGCTAAAGTTAAAGCTCAGCATGTCACCGTTTACATCGTCTGCAGGCTAGCACTCGGTAAACAGAGCGACATTTATCCGTGAAGTCGCTAGTCGACCGGTCACGTCATGTGGTCAGTTGGGCTCTGGACATCGACCGCCGCCGCTCGGCGTTTCCGAGGGTGGCCGATCAATGTCCCATGGCGCTCACCGACATATGGCGACCACGGTCTGTTCACATGACCTTAGAATCCAACTGAGCCCAGTCATGTCACACTACAGCAGCTCAGGCCTCAGGTCACATAAGGTCAGTTCACGTAAGGTTAGTTCATGTAAGGTCAGATCATGTTAGGTCATGTCAGGTCAAATAACGTCAGATAGACTAAAAGATCGAAGCCTTCTTCAGCAGCTGCCCGAAATGCGGCTACTGATCTCGCTATGGTCCTCAGATAGTCCACAGTCCGAAAAGTCCTACTGACTTAAACTTCCCTTGGCCGTGATATGGCTCTTCCCAGCAATGTTCAACATCACGCTCAGCTCTAATACAGTAAAGAAGCTGGGGCATTCCACGATAGATCGTACCACTTTTTTCCAATTTGACACCCTCATCTCTCGGAATTTGTCGAGAATTGGTCTCAGGGGTAATCAGGGACTCTGAATCCACCTGAAACAATTTCAGGCTTATCAGATAAGTATTTTTTGAGTTATGGTGTATAACATTTTTTGGATCTTGCTTTGCAGCGCTAAGTTTGGCGGGCTGTAACTCTAAGACGGATTATTCAAATGCCAAATGTTACATAGCATTGAACTTGCAATGAAAATTGAAATAGAGATTAATATGTATTTTTGAAATTTCGAAAAATACGCTATTTTTGATATATGACATCTCGAGTTTTCTTTCATTTGTATTTTTTGGACTTTTGGACCAATTTTTTTTTTGAATTTTTATTTCTTTAAAAAATATTTGGCTTATTGTTAAGAAGTGTGCAAAAAATTAGGAAGGTGTTCTTTCTATAAATGTATTTATTTTACGTCACGATAACGGTTTCGAATAGTGATTTCGGGAGGGGAGCTTACAAATGGCGTGGTAAAGCTGCCTAGTGACATCACGGGTTACTGAAATTTCAATTGAAGTCTGAGTCATCTGAAAAAAAGTGAAAAGAGGGTTCATCCAACCCTCTTTCCTATAAGCGCGAGGGTGAAAAAGGCTGTTTGGTTCTGACATTGTTTTGGACGCCAATGACCATAGTTAGCTGTCCGAGATGAAAGTTACAGGGCGCATACATGGTGTCCTCCAGAGCTCTCACAACTTGTATATCTGGGAATTTTTTAAGGTTACATGAGGTCAGGTCGGTCACGTGACATCACTGTTGTAAATCAATGGGGAAATATAAAAACTGTTATTTTGGCGCCGAGAATGATCTAAAACTATCTCACGTACATGGTATCATGATTTCATGCACTCCTTACAAAGTCCAATGCTTCACTTTTGCATTGTTAACCTTGCGTGACGTCATTTATGACGTCCTTAGGGTCGTACGAGTTTTTCGTCAATAACTCCCGATCAAATGGAGCTAGAGAGTCGGGAAAGCCACCAATGGACTCGGGAAGACCTCCCAAATCGAATGATATGCCAGATGATACCCTTTCCCCAGCTTCGTGACCTGAGGGGCTCTGACCTGACCTTGACCCGAGGTCAACTACTTAAGTTGACCTCACCCTAGCAAAAAGTATACCATTCGATGCACCTGAACTAGGCGAACACAATGATGCCAAAATTTAGGCTCTGCGGCCATTTTTTTGCGAAGTTATTTACTAAAAACCGAACCCGTAACTTCAGTCACTTGACCTGACCTCAGACGCTACCGGTTAACCTGAGACCTTAAAATCGGGTACCAATCGCTGCGACTTGTAACGGCATACACGCTCGTTTTTTTTCGCGAGGCTCTAGCTCTATTAGAAGCGAAACGGCGTGCTGGGGTCGTATCAACCCCTTCGAAACCCTTTTTGTTTGCGGGAAAATGAGGAACTTATAGAAAGAACACCTTTCTAATTTTTTGCATGTCGATTTGCAATGACATGAAGTTTATTTTGAAAAAAAATAAAAATGTTAAAAATTTTGGTCCCAAAAGTCATTAGAGGCAAATGAAAAAAAAAAATAAGGTTTTTGCTCAACATTTTTTGACATCTGCGACATCTCCGGAGCCGATCTCGGCCGGGGACGGCGCCCCGGCAGCCC